TGTCACTCTACACAAAATATTCAAAGCACACAGAATCAAGAATTTCCAGTTTTGTATGATGCTGTGTAAAAGAACACTTTCTGAGATTTTAACTGTCCAGTCTGACCTACGATTAGCTGACACTTTTCCTGCAACAAGATCCACTCAGGATCCACCTACAGGAACAAAAATGTTGCATTTCAAGGTTCAGGAATTTCAATAGCAGAGAGGAGGAAAGGATTAATAGTTATAACAGGGAGAACCTTAGCCGACATTATCCCATCGAAAATCTTTTCGACACACACAAAGCCAACCTTTACAGGGTCATACAGACATCATAGAGAAATAACTTACTTAAAAAGAATTAAATTCTTATACACATGATCATCCGTTTCATTGTCGAGTGACCATTATCACGTGGTCACGTTAACTGTTTTGAAGGGAACCTTGCAGACATTAGCGTCACTTTGAGAAAGTGGCCTTGACCCTTTAACTGGTGAAGTTAATCTGTGACTACATGACAGTCACACTTAGACGGGGATTACAAGGACATTGAGGAACTTACAACAAAGTGGAGATTTTGTTTATGACAAGCTTGGGGAAATGTTCAACTTGGGTTGTAGAAACATACACCCACAGACCACATGCACACTTTACGTTGCTGAAACATGGTCCAATGTACAAATATACACCCACAGACCACATGCACACTTTACGTTGCTGAAACATGCTCCAATGTACAAATATACACCCACAGACCACATGCACACTTTACGGTGCTAAAACATGGTCCAATGTACAAATATACACCCACAGACCACAGGCACACTTTACGTTGCTGAAACATGGTCCAATGTACAAATATACACCCACAGACCACATGCACACTTTACGTTGCTGAAACATGGTCCAATGTACAAATATACACCCACAGACCACATGCACACTTTACGTTGCTGAAACATGGTCCAATGTACAAATATACACCCACAGACCACATGCACACTTTACGTTGCTGAAACATGGTCCAATGTACAAATATACACCCACAGACCACAGGCACACTTTACGTTGCTGAAACATGGTCCAATGTACAAATATACACCCACAGACCACATGCACACTTTACGTTGCTGAAACATGGTCCAATGTACAAATATACACCCACAGACCACATGCACACTTTACGTTGCTGAAACATGCTCCAATGTACAAATATACACCCACAGACCACATGCACACTTTACGTTGCTGAAACATGCTCCAATGTACAGAGATACACCCACAGACCACATTCACACTTTACGGTGCTATGACTTTGCAAAGTCCAATGTACACATACCACATGCATGCACACTTGTGTTACTTTGAACATGTACATGTAAAACTTATTGTTGCTGTCTGAATCTTGTACACCAGATACACACCTACTGCCAAAATCCAATTCTGCACTGACTTTCCACCCATTCAAAGGTTTCTGATACAAAATTAGGCAATGGAATTTTTATTTAAATCAATGTGCACGAACAAAGGAAGACCAATATGGTAGAATGCAGACCTCTCTGTCACAGGTGCCTTAGCCACGAGCTACCGGTAAGTAAAAGCATTACTTCACATGTCTGATTAGATAACTGAGCAAATGTAATAAAAGGTGCTTAAAACAATTTCATCTCACAAAAACGCTTTTTTCTTTTACAACGGCCCTGCACAAAAATGTGGTTTTTCTTTTCTTGCAACTGTTGTCACAAATTGTGATTACAAATATAAAAACAAACAAAAAACAGTTCAACTTAACATTTAAAGTTGGTTAAAACCTTGAAGACCTCACATAAAAAAAACCTGGAGTTTATTCTGAACTTTTGACACAAGCATTTTTGCTATCCAATCAACACCTCAGCAACCCCAGCTGTTAAACGGGTGACCAGCAGCGTTCCACATCACTGGCCATCCATGTCATCCCTAATACCAACCCCCCCCCCTAAAGAATACCCTCAGGCAATAAAATACCTTACCACCTAGCTGAGGGTAATCAAACCTGCATCTGTTGAACAGTGGCAACATTTGTATCAGGTGTAGAAAGGGGGACGGAGGGGTGGGAGCTTCTGAAAGCCATATGTAATACCATTGTAATACCATTGTCCAACTACCTAAAAGCCACTTTCCATACCCTAGAGACAATGGCCTTATATGCTGGACTGGTTATAGCCTCAATAAACAGTCGGATCATGTGATGGCAGATGTTGTATATACAACAGACAGTTTGGGCCTCGTAAATAATGAATTAGCAAACTCTTTGCAAACTGAAAACACAAAATGATTCTAGATAGAGTCTGCATTCTTCATTGTTCCTGACAAAATGACATCAAACGTTTGATGATTCACACCTGTGTACTTCCTCAACTGTTATTTTTAACTCAATTTAATTTTTCTATTGAGCCCCGAGTCAAAACAAGGAAAAAGATTGAAAAAGACCAAATGTGTTGTGTCTAAAAAAATATATAGGTCTTTCATCCCAGTAGCCAGTGAGTGCTTATCAGCCATTTTCCTTGACATATCCTCAACAAACTAATGATCCATTTGCCCCAACATGACATAATAATTCAAACGAAAGCTGCAGTGAATTAAATGAGCAAGTTCACAGTGGATATTTATTTTTGGGGAGCCAAGCTCAATTACAGCGACCATTCAGTTTTGAGTGGGCGGACAATGTTTGCTCACACCCACAAGCCTGATGTACTGTTACTCACAGGCTCCTTGTCACCGCCAGGGTGGGACACCAGGCACAGGGGTCCCGACCAGGATGGAAATTGGAATGTCCATTACAACAGGGCAAAAGGTGTATGTATCTTCTAACAGGACAGTATCAACCATTTCCCCTACATGTACGCATTCAGTACAACAATAATAAATATCTAACACGTTATCTCACTAGAACTGTTCTGGAAACGTAGCTGGTTAATTGGAAGATCTGACATTGATTTTCTAACAATTGTTGTTCCTTGGTATTTGTTTCTTAGACAATCAGATAATATTGAATAACCTTAACGGTATCTTTGTCTCGTCTGGAGCAGAAGGAGAGCTAAACCTCTGTCTCCACTAATTCAGGAATGGTTATGTATGTGAAGTTTCATACAGGAATGATACATGATGATATTTGGGTTATCATGGTTATAGCTAAAACGGCACCTCAGCAAAACCTCTACAGGGGGAAAACGGCACCGATTGGCGAAAACGGCCACTATTTCCTGGCGAAAACGGCACCTTATTATTTTTTACCTTGGTAAAATAAATGAAATTTAACTTAAATGGTAACTTGCAAACACCAATAATTGTGAAATGTTGAAACAAGTTTACATTAGAAATTAGCCTCTACTCCAACTATATTCCAACTTAGCCTGTACACTACTCAACTTATTGTGAAAACATAACATGCTTTGAAGTAAAATAAATGAAAATAAACTCACATCGTCTCTTACAAATACAAATAACAGCAAAATACCCTGTAAATACATCAAATACATCCAATAACATGTAAAAACATCCAATATCACGTAAATAAACTATATACACATGTATATTACTACATGTTCGTTCTTATCGTTATTAAAATAGAGGTGCCGTTTTCGCCCGAGAAATCGGTGATGTTTTAGCCTGCACCCTGATATTTAGCCAAACCACTTGAGGCTAACATCCTCAACATTATTTTCAGATAATTAAGAAAAACAGTAACTATTATCAACTATGCTTACTCAACTGAAACCAATTTGACTAGACTTTCGATTCAGCACTGTTCATACTACCGGTAGTTGCTTGTTAGTCACAGACTGAGTTGACAAGCAGACTGTCCACACCAAAAAATAATTCTGAAACATTGTACACCCTTTAGCTTGTTTCATTAAAAAATTGAATTAATTTGATACAATAATCTGTGCTGCTTCATGCTATGTACAGTGTTGTGAAAGACGATTTGACTACAACCAGATCAAGTTGACTCTTTAGCCACAAGTGTCATGATAATAACATGTAACATGTAAATTGCAATAGTATCATACCCAACATGTACTGATTACATTGCATGCTGAGATTAATTTCACTTGGCAAAATGGCTTCACTATTGTTAAATGTCCAACTTGACAAAGTATTTTCTAACAATAGAACATGTGTGTACATGATGTAATTAATCTATGTGAAATGATCTTCTGACCCAGGTTTGAATCAATATTAGACCATAAAGTGAATGTTGTCTTGATAGTACATGAAAATATTCAAGTTTCAAAAACATGTGACAATCTGCAAGCTTTCAAACCAAATTTTTTATTATACTGATGAAGTAACAGTACATTGGTCTGCAAATTTAAGATACGACTAAAACGTACATAGGGATCAGCATGATATAACGTGTATATACTATATTGGGAAGTAAACGATAATGAATAGCAGTTAGTTTTAAACAATGTTACACTTGAAGAATGTTACACTGGTAATACCCGATATATAACACTTCCCAACAATACACTCTACTACAGTTAGTTACGTTGAAAAACGTAACAGAAATAGTGCACCGTTACTTTGATCATACGGTTACATTGTAACTACTGTGCGTAGCTTTTGAAGACCTAATATCAAACTTTCAACAAGACTGGCCCACATGTTCACAGACCGTGAAAAACAATTTCGCTGCCTAGATAGCTTGCAGATGTGACGTCCCCAGCAAATATACACAATCCTGCAGCCGGCAAGGCGCAACCCTTAGGATTCTTTGAAGAGCGATTACCACTGTTAACGAAATCGCGCCTCAAATTGAAATTGGCGTGTGCATATCCCTACAAGGCCGGTAGAAAGCGTCTTTGATCGGGGTGGAGATATTGATAATTGCACAACCTTACGCTGTGTAAAACAGTGTCAAGGTGGTAGTTGTCAGGCTTAAAAGCCTCTAAAGCCTTGCCTTTGTTTACTATACAGCACCGGTAAACATCTGCATACTGCACATTTGCACTCTCTGGTCACTGAACATTACATACCTTGAAATTTAGTTGAATCGGTTCCGAATCGTCCAGAAAACGGATACTACATGAGTATTCCGTTTGAACTTCACCCTTCGTACTTCTTTTCCGGAACATTTTATCCGGTTTTGAGAACAATCCACACAAAAGATGCTGTCGCGAGAGAGAGAAGAAAAGCAAGGCTGGCTACCGCATCCAAGTTGTCGATGAATCTCCAACCTTGTTTCAAGATGGAGAGCGAAGCAGGTCACATGACTCAGCTAGGTCAAGGGTCAACGGTCACGGCAGGTGCTCCACAGCACGCTCAAGCCGGTTATCAGCTGGTTGTGCTGTGTCGGGGCTCTTGACGTTGGATTTTAACAGTGTATGATATAATTGGCACGTTGTTATCTATTATAATTTTATTTGTCTCTTATCTATTGGTGAACAGAGATATGCGATGATGAGTTTAGTTTTTTTTGCGCTGCGTTTGCCTCGTTTTGAGACAGATTCCGGAATGTAACACGTGGTAAACAGGTCTCAGGTAATCTACTGCATCCACGGCCTTGAACAGACAACACCGGCAAGCTGAAATAGACTACACTGAAAGCGGCAGCTATAGCACCATGATTGTAATCGTTATGGGGGTTTGTGGGTGTGGCAAGTATGTAACAGACAACTCAAGTGCACGTGCTGCTGGTACTGTGACGCAATATGCGCGGAAGCTGTAGCGCAGCTGTCAAATCACTCAATATTCCACTGCGCACGATTTCACTGCATGTACCGCACAGTTTCAATCAGGATTAATGGACAAGTAATGCTTCAATAAGCACGTGGCGCACGCGATCCACGCGCATGCTGCCAATACAAGGTCACCGCAGTGTAAATTGTTTGTCATGAATAATCGACTATCCTCGAATGAGGAAAACTTTGGATTATCAAATTCAATTCAAATGTTTTTTGTATGATTGGCAAGAACCCAAAATACTTGAAGTATTAACAAGACAGTACAGTGTAACATTCCAAGTAGAATCACATGTTTCAATTCTGGTCTTCAAGGCATATTTGAAATATAACATGACAGATTTAAAATTTTGATCATTTAAGGTTGCCATAAGTCAAATAAATTGGTAGACTGACGGTTGCATTACATATTTATTTGGGATGTATTGCTTTCGATTATATGTGAAGGATGGACATAAATAGATGAACTGATACAGATCTTTGATTTTGTTTGCATTACAATATGTACATAATCTTACAGGTGTTGGAATTTTGTGGTGTCTTCCAGTATTAATGTTAAGTCTTGTACACCCAACTGGAGCACGGGCAAAATGGGTAGCAAATGTACAGGTAGAATCTATTATATTTTCAACTGCTTCTAGGCTTATCTTAAAAGGTGTATGATATTCATATCTAGTTCTAGATGATAATATATTGGTCCATTCTTGGCTGTACATATCTTTTAATCTGGCTTGAAAAAGGTTAAGAAAACTAACTATCGTATTCGACGTAATAAGCGCCAACAGCGATATTTGCTAATATATTGGCTAGTGAACAATCCCAATAAAATCTTCTGATTGATCAATGTACACAAGACTTATTTTTTTCGTGTATAATACGTGTTATATGCATCCTTAATAATGGGAAATTAAATTCTGGAAAAATATATCTGGCGTATATAAACATGTCAGGTTGTCAGCATAAACCACAAAATTTTCGATCTTTCAACTCTGTTGTTTTCCACCAAAATAATATTCTAATAAGAGCCCCCCATTTCTAATTTTGAGAGTGCTCTGGGCACTTATTATGTCGAATACGGTATACATCCAACATCTTGGTAAACCCAAGCACATCCAAGACCTGAACTAAACAGAATAAGTCTAAAATTACTTGCCCAGTTCTGTCTACCTACTGAATCGAAATTAAACAACATTTCATGTGCCTAATGCAGAAGTCTATTAGATGAAATATAAAGTAGTTTTAGCCAGTATTTAATGCATTTCCCCAAACTGTTTATAAAGAATGGGTACCGTCCACATTCCCCTTAAGCCATTACATTGAAGGTGTTAAGTATTGTACCAAGAGGTTTTTTGCAGACCCTTTCTACTACCTCTCATCTTTGATGTCCCAATATTTTGCATCCATAAAGAAGGATGGGTTTAAGTTTTTAATCAAATATTTTGAAAAATGTTCCAAGTGTGATTTTTTCACATGTTCAAACCAATTTTCAAACATTTATTAACAAGCTTTTCCTATTTAACGACAAATGTGATAGATCTGTTGTTAATTTAAAGATGGAGTGATCATGAGTCCAAGGTACGTATATTCTGACACAATTTCTACAAGTTCATTACGATAATACCATTTCTCACGTTGTTTAACAATTCCACCTTTACAAAAAAACAATTATTTTAGTTTTAGTCAGATTAACATTTAAGTTCAAGCCTGAACAATGATTATCTCGAATATTCAGTAGCTCTTGTACCCCACTTACTCAATCAGAAATAAAAATAACATCAGCAGCAGACATCAATAGAAAAAATTCATGTAAGTCTGGGAATAATTGTACTCCTCTTCGACAAGTATTAAGAAATAAATTGTGAAAATAAAATTGGGCTTAATACACAGCCCTGTTTAATTCCAATAGTGAGGTCGAAACACTCCGTAAAACCAGCGTTTCACCACACACATGCTGTAACAGACGAGTACACAGACTGAATCATATTCAACATATTAACAGGCAGGCTAAATTTGTGGAGAACAAATAATTTTTTTTCTATCTACAGAATCAAATCCTTTTTTAGGTCTACAAATGCAACATAAAATCTACCTCTACATTTATTTAAGTATTTGTTTATACAAGCAGTAATGTTAAAAAATGATGTGTTGGTGCATACAATATGATTATGCAGTCACTGACCTGAGTGGAAATATAAATTTCAGAAACATTTTTTATTTTAAATAAGTTACTTGAAGGGAATTAAGAATGATTAATGATTTAAAGATGGTGACAAAGTTTACTCAGCATGTCTTTCAACAAATACGTTGTAAATTATGAAGTTTAGTCCTGACCAGTTTACAGTGTTACATAAGTTATCCAAGCTACCCTTTATACTCATTCGCTACTTAAAGTTTTACAACTCTCACCATTCGAGCAGTAACTGATAATTACGCAAATTGCATGCAGAATGTCTCTATTTGCACCCAGTTTAAGACACTAAGTGTAACATGTAGACCCACACCAGGGATGTATCTAGAATCCAAACTAGTAGCCCTTGGCAAGCAAATTGGGACAAACAATTGATATTTTGTTCACAATTGGGATTTTTCTTATTTTCTTAAATTCAGAGGTCTTTTAACATTTAATTTGTATATTAACATTAGATTCAATAATGTTTTGTTTCTTGTTTGATGACACACTTAGCAATCTGCAAGCTATATGACAGTGGTCTGTATATAATAGGGTCTGGCTCAGTCAACCCAGTGATTGATATCATGAGCATCAATTCACACAATTGGGATATATTGACATGCATGAACCAAGTCAGCAAGCCTGATCACCCGATCCAGTTAGTCATTATTTGAGAGTTGTGGCTTTTGAATCCTGGTTCGCCCCAATTATGTTTCGGGGTTTGTCAGCACCATACCCATGCTCATTGTTTTCCCAATGTGTTAAACGTCTGAGATCTCACTCACTCACTCACTCACTCACTCACTCACTCACTCACACACACACACACACACACACACACACACTAGGAGAAAACAGGTTTTAAGCCTCAACCATATACCAGTGTAGTTCGGGTGGTCTGATCCTATAAATCTTTGTCTCCTGGGTTACATAAGCTGAAGTTTTAACAATATTTGACTTCAGTGGGTGAAACTGGCCTGCATATGTCTCTTTCTAATGAATTTCATTATAACGACCAAACAAACTGAGGTATTCAGCTCTTCTTCTTCCAAAATTAAGGTTGGAAAAATGAGAGGTTTTCAGAGCTACAGATAAGCTGCATATTTGCCTAAAATCCCCCCCTAACCCCAACCCCCAAATATTTGAAAGCCAATTACTTTCAATCAACTTGCATACAGAAATGCATGCAATGAAAAACTCAAATGTATAAAAACAGCAGCATAAATACTCAATGAAGCTCTTTCAGCATGCATACAACGGAGCTGATTTCCGAAACACAATTACTAGCTAACCTACTTTCTGAGTCAAGCCTATAGTTAGAACCGTTATATACATCTATTTTTTATTTTTTATTTTTTTTAAATCTCAAAATGTTTACTCATTTTGGGAAAAAAACAATAGAGTGATGAAGAGATGAGTGAAAAGATACAGGTTACCCAATGAAAAATGTAATGAACTGCTTAAAATAGAAACCTTCGAGTAAAAACTCAATTGCTCAAAAAGTTATCTGGAGCTCTAGGTTTTCATTTCTCATAATAGGAGTTGAAAATCTAAAATATGAGAGCGATGCTGAGATTAGGACTCTACACCAAGCCTGATTCATAGCACTTAAACATATAACTTAAATAATTAAGGAAAATAAAATTCAAGACTTATTAAGGTTATTTTCTAAACAAATTAAAACATTCCCTTTTCCAAAACATATGTTTACGGGGCTATGTATCTAATTGCATTAATTCCTGTTGGAATTTGGTTGTTGGTTTGGTGTGTTGCAGTTCTCATATAGGAAGGTCCATGTGGTAGAATCTTACTGATGTGAGTTATCACACACACTGCACACATGAAATACTATTAGCATACTGTCATGTCGTTGCAAATTTGAAATGGGAGAATTTCCCATTTCCCGTTAGTCATAGGCACGTTGATAAGCATTACACATAATGATTTAGGCATGTCAGTAACAGCCCGAACTTGTGTGTGGGGAAAAATTGCTTCAGCAAAGTGAAGAAGCCATGTTTTTCAAATGATTAAGTCCTCAGCAATGACATTAACATACTAGACCTTAGCATGCATGATATGATTGTATGAGTTGCTTCCCCTTCATTAGAATCCCATGTGGAACACTTGTATGATGGAAGAGCAGGGGTTGCAAGAATTTAGTTCATTTTGAACTAGATGAGTTTATATTTGACTTTTTATGAAATCTGTCTTATTCCATGTACTGATACATCTCAAACAGAATATTCAGAAGCATTGGGTGGGGTAGCCGGAGGGTAAAGCGTTCTCTCATCACTCAGAAGGCCTGTTTGATTTCCTCACATGGGTAGATTGTGTGAAGCCTAGTCCTCGTTTTCCCTTCCACGATGGTGCTAGAATATTGATAAAACTTGCAGGAAACCATACTCACTACCTATTAGGAAACATATGGCCATGCTGAGAAAAGCAGAAATTGTGTCTTAGAAGTGACTGTCCTTTTGGTATAATCTGTACACAAGGATCTTAGCATCACTTTTTTCTCTGCCGTTTGAGACATATCTTCATATTATGATAATGTTTCTACAATACAGAAATTCAGCCACTCTCTCCACTCCACACCGTCTCTCCACTCCTCCTCTCCACACTGTCTCTCCCCTGCTCCACTCCACACCGTCTCTCCGCTCCTCCACTCCACACTGTCTCTCCACTCCTCTCCACTCCACACTGTCTCTCCACTCCTCCACTCCACACTGTCTCTCCACTCCTCCACTCCACACCGTCTCTCCACTCCTCCACTCAACACCGTCTCTCCACTCCTCCACTCCACACTGTCTCTCCGCTCCTCCACTCCACACCGTCTCTCCACTCCTCCACTCCACACTGTCTCTCCACTCCTCTCCACTCCACACTGTCTCTCCACTCCTCCACTCCACACCGTCTCTCCACTCCTCCTCTCCACACTGTCTCTCCACTCCTCCACCCTCCACTCCACACCTCTCCCCGCCTCCGCTCCACACTGTCTCTCCCCTCCTCCACTCCACACTGTCTCTCCCCTCCTCCACTCCACACCGTCTCTCCCCTCCTCCACTCCACACCGGGGGCACGGGTGGCCCAGTCGTCTAAGGCGCCGCGATTCGCTGTGCAGAGTTGCGTCCCTTGGGCACGCCAGAAACCTATGATTGTGGGTTCGAATCCCGGTTCGCCCCGATTATGTTTCTAGGTTTGTCAGCACCATACCCGTGCTCGTGGGTTTCAGCGAAGTGGTAAACGTCTGAGACCTGCATCACTTCGGGCTTTCCTCCCACATTAAGCTGACACGCCGCGATATAACTGGAATATTGTTAAAAGCGGCGTTAAACCAAACTCACTCACTCACTCACTCCACTCCACACCTCTCCCCTCCTCCACTCCACACTGTCTCTCCCCTCCTCCACTCCACACCGTCTCTCCACTCCTCCACTCCACACTGTCTCTTCACTCCTCCACTCCACACCGTCTCTCCACTCCTCCACTCCACACCGTCTCTCCACTCCTCCACTCCACACTGTCTCTCCCCTCCTCCACTCCACACTGTCTCTCCACTCCTCCACTCCACACCGTCTCTCCACTCCTCCACTCCACACCGTCTCTCCACTCCTCCACTCCACACTGTCTCTCCCCTGCTCCACTCCACACTGTCTCTCCCCTCCTCCACTCCACACCGTCTCTCCACTCCTCCACTCCACACTGTCTCTCCACTCTTCCACTCCACACCGTCTCTCCACTCTTCCACTCCACACTGTCTCTCCCCTCCTCCACTCCACACTGTCTCTCCACTCCTCACCGTCTCTCCACTCCTCCGCTCCACACTGTCTCTCCCCTCCTCCACTCCACACCGTCTCTCCACTCCACACTGTCTCTCCACTCCTCCACTCCACACCGTCTCTCTACTCCTCCACTCCACACCGTCTCTCCCCTCCTCCACTCCACACTGTCTCTCCCCTCCTCCACTCCACACCGTCTCTCCACTCCACACTGTCTCTCTACTCCTCCACTCCACACCGTCTCTCCGCTCCTCCACTCCACACCATCTCTCCCCTCCTCCACTCCACACTGTCTCTCCCCTCCTCCACTCCACACTGTCTCTCCACTCCTCCACTCCACACCTCTCCCCTCCTCCACTCCACACTGTCTCTCCCCTCCTCCACTCCACACTGTCTCTCCACTCCTCCACTCCACACCGTCTCTCCGCTCCTCCACTCCACACCATCTCTCCCCTCCTCCACTCCACACTGTCTCTCCACTACCCACTCCTCCACTCCACACTGTCTCTCCCCTCCTCCACTCCACACCGTCTCTCCACTCCTCCACTCCACACCTCTCCCCTCCTCCACTCCACACCGTCTCTCCACTCCTCCACTCCACACCTCTCCCCTCCTCCACTCCACACTGTCTCTCCCCTCCTCCACTCCACACCGTCTCTCCACACCTCTCCACTCCACACCTCTCCAATCTCTACTCACTGTCACGTTTGTCATCCTGCTCAATATATAACTTTTAGAAAGCGTGAACACTTCCTTAAACAAGTCAACTAATGTTGATTTTCACACATTGTTAACTTGGTGCCCAAGTCAGTCAGATATCTAATGAATCTGTTGTCACAGTATATTGGTGGCACAGTCAGTCTTTCATTAGGAAAAAAAAAATTGCCTGACTTTGAATACATTTCAAAGCCCTGCTGCTGGCTTTCTTAATATTGGAAAATATATGTATATATACTACTCGAAAGAAGTTAAAAGCACCCAATGTTTTCAAAGGACAATAGTTAATCTGCCATATCCATGAAATAAAGTGAAATGTGATCTCTACTCTCAATTGTTTTTGTTCTTTTTTGATATTTTCAGAACCACAGTAGGAGAAGCCCTTGCAGAGAAGGTAAAATACAAATGGTATACCTTGAGTGAGTGAGTGAGTGAGTATGGTTTTACGCCACTTTTAGGAACATTCCAGCAATATCATGGCGGGGACCCCAGAAAGGTATACCTTGAAAAACTGGTAACTCTTATATGTGACAAGCAGCCATCATGATGCCATGCATCTTGTTACTCTGTGGGGACGTGGGTTAGTGTAGGTCCTGAAGACTTGTCATAAGGAGGGCTGACTAGATTGGTGAGTGAGTGAGTGAGTTGGGTTTAACACTGCTTTTAACAGTATTCCAGTTATATCATGGCGTGTCGGCTTAATGTGGGAGGAAAGCCTGAAGTGATGCAGGTCTCAGACATTTGCCACTTCGGTGAAACCCACGAGCATGGGTATGGTGCTGACAAACCCAGAAACATAATGGAGGCGAACCAGGATTCGAACCCACAATCATAGGTTTCTGGCATGTCCAAGGGATGCACCTCTGCACAGCAAATCGCGGTGCCCTAGACGACTAGGCCACCCATGCCCCCTGACTATATTGGATCAGGGGGCATGGTTGGTTACTTGTCATTGTACTTAGAGGGATCTTGCTTATGTCAAACCCATGCTTGCTGTGAAAGTCAACTATGCTTGTCGTAAGAGGCGACTAACGTGATTGGGTGGTCAGACTCGCTGACTTGGTTGATACATGTCATCATATCCCAATTGTGTGGATCGATGCTAATGATGTTAGTCACAGGATTATCTGGTCCAGGCTTGATTATTTACAGACTGCCATCACATTGCTGAAATATTGCTGTGTTCAGTGTTAAACAACACACGAACAAACACTGGCTTATTAACAAAAAAGCCTGGTTTATTTACAGGTCACACTTACAGGTGTTAGAGTTCAAAGAAAACACTGTTTGTTGTAACGGTTCATTAATATGAGTAAAAGTAAAATTAGCCAGCTTGGATTGTATACACCCCAGAGAGTTGAGAATGTTAACTGGAAAGGATTACATGTCCACTTGTTGGAGAACAAATGAACCGCATTTGAGCAGATACTAGTATCTGGATAGGTGTGGTAAGTTCTACGTAATATATGCAGGTTTCTTAAGACAGGTCATATGTTTTTGTATATCGCGTGCACGCGTTTTATGACATTTGTTTAAAAAAATTCGAAACAAAATCAAGCAAACTAACATTCAAGTGAGCTACAGTGCCTGTATGTATTAAACTGATTGGGAAAATTCATTGGCTCATCATTTTCCTGATGAAAACAACCTATTTATAAAGTTCGGAGTAACTGTTTGAAGATGAGTAAAATGTCCATACATCTGGGTTTTAGCTGCAGTGTGAATTTGCTGATGCTGATGACTTCCATCCTGAGGCAAACAAGGTGAAGATGGGCCAGGCTATACCACTAACAGATGAGGTGGGTAGATGGAAATATAATGTATGGCTATTAACAGTTTGGAAAGTGCTTTAGCACCCTCAATATCATTTGCTGATCTTAAACCCAGGTAATTTTTTTTTTGTATTTTCTCTCTTTAGTAAAAGTATTTATAATAATTTGATTCTTATGTACCATGTGACCTCGTTTGGCCTTGACCTCTGCAGCTTGAAGAATAAGAGACTAGATTCCCCTCTGAGATGCCATGGCCTGTACAAAAAAAAAGTAATGACGGAAACAATATTTGAGTTGAAAAAGTGCTTATTTATTAAAAAGCTGCTAGAACTATTCATAACTTCAGATTCGAGTGGAACATGAAAAACTAGAAATTGATTTTTGCAAACCTAAACAAGCATATTATCACTAGGCCATTCTTTTATGAATGGTCCTACCCTTCATTTTGTAAAAGTAGAAAAAAAATTGTTTGTTTGTTTTTTAATGCCTCACTCACTAGCAATATTCCAACTATATGACAGCGGTCTGTAAATAATCGAGTATGGACCAGACAATCTAGTGATTGACATCATGACCATCAATCCATGCAATTGGGATACGATGACATGCATTAACCAAGTCAGGGAGCCTAATCACCCAATCCGGTTAGTCGCCTCTTACGACAACCAGTGTCACTTTTTACAGCAAGCATGGTTTGCTGAAGACCTATTCAACCCCGGATCTTCTCGGGTCAAGTAGAAATAAAGTCACAAACCACTGTGTTGATCACAGAACTAACCCTCAGAACAGGTCCCCAGGACCATGCTTGTTGTAAGAGCTGACTTAAATTATGTTTGTGTGGTTTCAATGTGTGACCAGGATGATCTTTGCTCATGATATCAACCATTTGTTTGCCTGTCCTATTACTTTATACAGCTGACTATTGCTGAATTCTGTGTAAAGTAATAGCCAGTGTCTTCAGAGACTAATGATGGGTGGTCTCTGGCATACTGGCTCACTGTGATATGACTGCAAGACTGTTCAAAGCAGGATTAACCAAGCTCACTGTCACATGTTATGTATATTGATAAAGGATGATATTTTGCAGGACCGAATTCCCTGGCTCATCTCAATCCACCATTACATCATGAGGTAGGTACTGAGCTGTATAACTGTCAGTAAGCACTCCTCATACCCAGTGTCTATCTTGTTGTGTATTTGTTATTTAGCGCCACACTCAGCAATATTCCAGGTCTCTGTTCCACAAAGCGATCTTTGGGCTACTATTATAAGTCTCTGTTCCACAAAGCGATCTTTGGGCTACTATTATAAGTCTCTGTTCCACAAAGCGATCTTTGGGCTACTATTATAAGTCTCTGTTCCACAAAGCGATCTTTGGGCTACTATTATAAGTCTCTGTTCCACAAAGCGATCTTTGGGCTACTATTATAAGTCTCTGTTCCACAAAGCGATCTTTGGGCTACTATTATAAGTCTCTGTTCCACAAAGCGATCTTTGGGCTACTATTATAAGTCTCTGTTCTAGTATCAGAGTTATGATATTCTTAGTGATATATGACAGCAGCCTGTAAATAATCTAGTCTGGACCAGACTATCCAGTGATTGATATTGTAACGATCCATACTATCAACCAGTCACTGAACCTAACACCCGATCCATTTGGTCCCCTCTTATGACTACGTGGTAGTGTCTTTCTAGTGTCCAGTGTTCTAGTAGAATAGGTCTTCAGCAAACCATGCTTGTCGTAAGAGGCCACTAACAGGATGAGGTAGTCAGGCTCGCTGACTTGGTTGATGCATGTCATCGTATCCCAATTGCGTGGATTGATGCGCATGATGTCAATCACAGGTTTGTCTGGTCCATACTCAATCATTTACAGCCTGCCATCATATTGCTGGAATATTGCTGAGTGCGGCGTTAAACAACAAACAAACAAACAAATCCAGTGTACTATCAATGTGTTTCACACATATTGTGTAGTCCTTTACGCCACTTTGCATGTATGCTTTATTACCTTGTATTTATTGCCCCAGTTTATTATTTATTACATTTTCAACCTGATTTTTTCAAAATTTGAGGGGGGATTATAATTTTATACTATTTATTTTGCAAATAAACTGTTTGGGGTTTCACTGTACATGCACTATCTTCAGATGTGATTCACATGAAGCATGGATTTTTGAATAAAGGTAATCAAAGAAAGTAACACAGTCATGATTTTCTCGGTCTCAAGGTGTTCGGTTGTGAGTGAGTGAGTGAGGTAATGCTTTACGTCACATCGGCAATATGTTCGGTTGTGAGACTGTAAGGATGATACCTACTAATTAGTTTACCCTGATCACTTGGAGACAATAACTCTGTCCATACAGTTTATTAAAACTGCTAGGCCTGAGTTTGAAGGCCCTCTATATTCCATAGCAATGTCACATCAGGGGACACAAAAAATGGACCTGGATTCAAACCTGGGTTTTGAGCAAATGATTGAACTAATAGGCTATCCCACAACCCCTAATTTCACTGAAATAGTTATATGCTGTTCATTGAAGTAAAGAGTCAATCACTTGCTCCACAGATTATTCACAGAAGGAAACAATGGAATTGTCACTTGCTCTGCACTGAAGAAAATGTATCGGGGCATACTCGCATCAGGGGAGGTAACTCCAAACAAGGATTATGCTGAGAAACTTCCAGTTCTGTTTGTGTATTTGAAGGGAGACCGTGACCTCCTTAATCAACGTATGGAAGGCCGTTCAGGCCATTTTATGCCAGTATCTCTCTTGGATTCACAGCTAGCTACACTAGAAGAACCAGATGCATCCGAGAAGGCTGTAACAGTTTCCATTGATAACAGCGTTGATGACATTGTAGCGATGGTTGTGAAGGAGTGCGAGAAAACTCTGGGTAGGTCCATGAACAGTGAGGATTCATAACTGTGGGTGGATTTTTAACTTTAACAAGTCCACTAGCGATTGAGTGGGGAATAAACTGTTCAAGGCATATTAATTTATCACAGATGATTAACTGGATTACTGTTCAGTGGTAGCACAATATCATATCCAATGTTAACTGGTTAACCAAGAATGGATGAAAGTTTGAGATGCTCATTGCGAGGTGTGACGGGGTGCACCTGTGTCCGTTGACAAGTCGATGCAGAGCAGGGTCACAGAAGAATACTATTGCATACAACTACCGGTACACAGGACCCCACCCTGGTTTTGTAAAAGCCACCACCAGCAGATCATGCAAACTTTATTTGATCACATACAGTTTATGCACCAGATGCCTTATTGACAGGATCTAGCCATGTTCCTCTCCTTCACCTACTTTCTGGGGTCCTGCCCCTCTGGAGCAATGATGCAGGGTAATTCCTATATATACTGAAAACCTATGAAAACGCTATGCAGGGTGCAGATGGTGTGTATTTTATTACAGCGTAAAATAACAATTGAAAGACTGTGTCAACTCTGCCATTTTTTTAGGGTGGTTACCGTTGATTTCAAACCCTCTGTCAAAGATCGTCCCACAAGTGTTCAATTGGATTCATGTCAGGTGACAATTGGATTCATATCGGGTCTTCCTCCAAAGCGATCCCTTTCCATAACACAGTTGTCAGCAAAGTGTTCTCCTCCTACGTCGATAGATACGGCGACGCCCATCCAGAAAACGTTTGTGTGTAACTGGACTCCTGAGAGAAGACGACATTTTCCCATGGTGTATTCTGCAGGTAGCCACCATTAGCTGCCCATCACAGTCTGGCAACCCTGTGTCAGTGAAGCAGGGTCTGGCCTTGATAAGGTTGATGGCACGTATGCCAAACGCAGCCAGGCACCTCGCAGATGGTCTGAGGTTTTGAACCCGAACTGTCACATGGGGACACTTATACCTCACAGCACTATCATGAAGTTTAACAAATTTGGGGGCAATTGCTCTTTTCACAAGTGCACTTATCAAAAGCAATTGCGTTTTCAATGGCTTTTAGTATACATGTGCTTTAATGGTTACACAATATTTGATTTTCAAATTGGTACAATTAATATTAGAAACTGAACTGGCTTTGTTGAGATGTACAGGGTATTGGTGATGGTGAGCACATGCGTTATGAACCGAGTTCAAACGTTTACTATTTAGACATGGCTGCCAACATAGGCCAGACGTGTGGTAATGTCTACACAGAGTCCTTTAGTCTTAATCAGGATTAAGGATCGTTGACAAGCCTCAACCTGGAAGAGTCCAGAAGCCACATCTCCATCCTCCCCCCCCCCCCCCCCATCCCCCCCCCATCCCCCCCCATCAGAGATGTCCAATTTGTAGCACTGTCAGGCTTCGGTCTACGAACTACTGTTGTGGAATGGTAGTGTACGTCAACAGTTGGTAAATGAATTGATAATATTTTGTTTATATATATACCCAGTGACCAGTTGTTTGAACATAGCATTGTCAGTCTACCTCAGGATACTTTATTACAAATATTTGGCATTGTTTTCGAATCACTTTGAGATCTGTAAGATCTGTTATGACATACATACATGTATAAGCAAATATGCAGCAAATGGCCGAGACAAAAAAAACTATGCTATATTCATCAGTTCTTTATGATCATGTTCATTGTGAATGTAGTTTACTGTATACCCATCACACCACCTTGATTTATTATGTTTATATTCTTCCGGATATTTTACATCTTTGACACTATTCAATACAATAACGTCAACGGAATATCTAAGACTGCTGTATTTGGTTTGAGAAAGCGATGTGGGTTTACACTTATGCAAATATAACTTATCAATAAGTATATTTAATTCACCTGACCGACAGTCAAGTGCTATTGTGGTGGCCTGTTCATAAACATCTTCTCTTCAGAAACCACTAGACCAATGATGCTGAATCTTCACATGCTTGTTACAGCTGTTCAAGAGGTTTTCTGTTAGGAATCTGTTTTCCAATATTGCATCATAAAACTGTATGTTCCATTTCTTGCCAAATTTGAAATTTGGGCCTTGATAAGACATTTACACTTTGACCATAGTCTGCTTTCTCTCAAAATGCTCTGTCACCAACATCGCCGTTACAGAGCTTACTGTTATAACTTGTAAACACTAAAGAGAATACTCTTTACCAGTAGATCCGATTGTTAGTGCAGATAGCTCTGGACACCATGCTATCAGTTCCAGGCAGTGTTCGTGGAGAATATAGCAAAACAAACAACATGTTGTGAACAAAAATTTAATGCAATGACATAAGAAACATAACCTTGTCTGTGTTTCACTGCCCTAAGACGCACACATAGCAGAAGACATAAATATCGGTCTTAATCTGCATACAAAAATAAATTTGACAACATTTTGAAGAAAATCGCCCATTCAGATCCACACATTCAAACTGTTCTCCACAATCTTTCCAATGTCATCTTGAATCCAAAAGGGTGCTGATTGGATCTAAGGATGAGTTCAGACCAGACACCAATACGCTCAACTGTTCCTTTCATGTTCATATTACCATCACTTGGAAGAACTGAAGATTCAAGGCGCTGTGCAATCTACTTACTGAAACTAGCTTACCCTGGTATCTCATGTCTTCCCGAGGCAAGGGATGGAAATCTGGACTCGATCGTAGCGCCACCAGTGGCTATTACGAGTTATGGCCCTTCTTTGTCCCTCCTATTGACCAATCAGATTCCACCTCTTGTATCACTTGCAGTGCTTCAAACAACATGGAGGCGCCCAGTCAAGATCTATATTGTGATAAAATGGGTCTTCATCAAAGTGCATCAAATCAGGTGAGCACCTTGACCAGAAACATGAAACGATTTGGAAAATATCTGTTGTCTTCGAGTTTGCGGTACACCAGCTTTGCAAATTTGTGCAAACAATCGAAATCTGCACTGAAGTTTAGGAACCAGATGTCAATTTCATCATGCGATTTTGCATAGACTTGTTAGTCCTGCCAAAATGTAACTCCATAATTCCAGCAAGGGTGGAAACTGGGCTTTTATAATCAGTTAACTCCCTTGCTTCTGGAAGATGGGCATCACAACTCTAGACCAGTGGGAGTGGAATTTGTAGTTTGATGCCTCTGGACTGGTATTTCCATTTCATCACAATGAGTAAGTTAGTATGGTTTGATGCAGCTTTCAGCAGTATTCTAGTAATATCACGTCTGGGGACACCAGAAATGGGCTTTACACATTGTATCCATGTGGGGAATCAAACCTGGGGTTTCACCACTAGGCTACCCTCTTGCTCCATCTCGTCAGTTACATATGAGAAGAACAATCACGCACTGAGTGACACCACCATGAAAAGTGTTTCAGTTATATAACTGCATAGGAGGAAAGTCCAAAGTCATGCAGGTCACTGATTTTCACTTTGATAAAACCCATGAAGATGAATACAGTGCAAGGATCATTATCAGGATGATTCTGAAATTCAAACCCATGTGGATTCCGGCAGGTAAGGGAAGTAACTCTGTCCAGCAAACTACAACATCTTGGGCCACTGGACCTAACCATGTCGTCCAAAATAAGACTGAGTTCTACTTGGTGAGTGTAGACGTATATTTCTTGAAAATCCATTGTTCTTAGGAACTTTGTTCTTTCTGGAGCACAACTATCACATTTTTAAACAAAATATTTCAATATCGCTGAAAAGAACTGACATGGTTTCCACAGAGACAAGGCTTTGGCACAACCCTAAATGTCATGTGACAATTATAATGCTATTCACTTGAAGACCTGTTTAGATTGTACTTCACTGAAGAAGAATGTCTCGCATCTTAAACCATTATGACAAAAACATGAAAACTATCTTGTTCCAATGATTTCAAAAACAAAACTAGTACCCTTTAATAGCATACTGCATGCAAGCTTGACACATGAACATGTTGTCCAACAAGGAAACAATTCTTTAAAAACTTTCCAAATAACTGCTTCTTTCATTTAAAGAATTAAAAGATTTTCTTGTTCATTCATTCAAAACTAAACATAAAACTGTTCTTTCACATTATTTACTGCAAGAAAGAATTGTAACTGCAGTTCAAGCTAGCGGTGTTTCAACAAATGAACAAACATCTCAGTTGACCAATTAGGATTTCGAAGCACAAAATTAATTTTACTTTACAAGTAACAGCACAAAGAAGTTCATCCAAATAAAATCGAGACGATCAGTATCCATGCTCTAACATGTTTAATGGGGTGATCTTTAACCTCTTTGAGTATTACACTTTAAAGTGATGACCATCAAATGGCCGAGGGAGATTGGGTTCAGCAAGGAATATCACAGCATGTCAGTTTTATCTCCGAGGAAGGACAGTCTCCAGACTCGGGCATTCAAACCCTGATGTTTCAGTTGTCTTAAACTCTTGACAAGACCAGCATCATTTGATGTCATCAGATGTGTAGACAAGATAGAGCAGAAATCAACATACATAAATACAATGTAATTATACATTTGTGATAACATCAGCTTAAGTAAACCATATAAAATGTAACGCAATTACTAACTGCACTTCCAGTGAATGACATGTGAAGATCCGGGTTAGAATAGCTCTTCAGCAACCATGCTTGCCGTAAAAGGTGACTATTCTTGTCATAGGAGGCGACTAAAGGGGATCGGGTGGTCAGACTCGCTGATGCATGTCATCGTATCCCAATTGCGTAGATTGATGCTCATGTCAATCACTGGATTGTCTGATCCAGACTCGATTATTTACAGACCGCCGTCATATAGCTGGAATGTTGCTGAGTGCGGCTTTAAACAACAAACAAACAAAAACAATTCAGATTTCAGACTGCATGGTTACGTAAATAAATAGTAGCCCAACTTAAACATTTCAGTTAATTGAGTCACTTGATGAAACTGTGGCTTGAGACGTCGTATGCATTCAAGCAGAAAACTTTTTTATATTAATGTTCAAACCATTGTTCGTATAATTATGTATCATGGCACAAAGTATCACAATGTACTGTGAAGGTATGGTGCCTCATTCCACTCCCAGCAGAAAATGAAGTAAACATAACAAAAGAGTAACCACTTTCACAGTCACTGCTAAATTTCAAATGAGCAATACCTTAAAACATGTTGTAACACCTTAACAAAATAAAATTGTCTCCTGAAGTCCAGGCAGCATAAGAAATAACTGCCTGCCTGCCTGCCTGCCCAGTGGAATATGTGGAAGTTCTAACTTCGAACTAACAATTAAACAATAGTCAGCATAGATTTACACAGTAAAAAAAAGAGGTTTTATATCATTCCTAGCTCACATATGAAGTTTGAAGGTCGGCAATCTTTGCTGTGGGATAGTATAAATGAATGGCTCCTGGCCTCAGTTACGTTAAAGCAAACATACAGCAATCTTTTCAGACACTCCGCATCCATTCCAACCCACCAGGGGTAGACACTTCAGTCCAGCTAGTCCACAGTTCATTTCAGACTAGTAATGTTTGTAACACAAGTTGATTCTTGAAGAAACCGGTGCCATACTCCCTGGTTTCTCCCCTGCTCACTGATCATCCCCCACATCCATTCTGCTGTTGCGACCCCGATTTTTCAACTTCTTTGATTTTGTCTTTTTCCCCGGAGTGTCCTGCTCGGCAGGCTGACCACTGTCAGCAGACATCTCCATCCCCTGAGAGGATGTCTCAGCAGAGGTGTTAGTATTGTCCTCAACTACTGCCTCCTCCAGAGGCGTGGTCTCCGTGACCGGAACACTTAATGGTAATGTCTCCAGACTGGACCCCACAAATGGAATTGTTGAAGCTGTTCCAAAGTCAAAAGCTTTAGGCATCTGGATTATACCTCTCTGCGTCTGGGGTGTCTTGTCATCGGGACTCACACTCCCGAAGTTGAGGCTGGTGTCTGCTGCATTATCGTCCTCAACCGTTTCGCTTGCATCCATGCTGCTGACGTTCCTTGAACTGCCTCGCCCCTTACCGCAACCTCTTCCACGACCTCGGCCTCGTCCGCGACCTCTTCCTCGCTGAGCAGACTGAGGACGGGGTTTGTCGGGTGGTGAGCCGTACGTCTGGTTTTTGACATTGTCTAGATGTTTGGCGTAGTTGGTGTAGGATGGAGGAGCTTTTGCCACCTCCTTGTAGGGGACAGCGATGTTCAGAACATCAGGCACCATGTATGTCTTCAGCCAGACGACTAATGGGGTGGATCCAAATGTGTAGTGGGTGCGCTTGTGGTAGAACAACAGGCCATCAATCTGTCAAACAAGTACAAAAGGAATTAGGTTCATATTTCAAGCAAGTCAGCTGAAAGTTGGAAAGATGTTCAGGATACTTGGAGAATAACCAGGAGGAAACATTCATTCATGAGGTTCTTAATGTCATCAATTTGTGTCATGATGTTGTTTGCTGTTTCACTCATGAACACTCCGCGATATTGACGCTATAAGACAGTGGTTTGTGAACAATCAAGTCGGACCAGACAACCAGTTGTACGATCAACCAAGCCACCGAGCCAGACCACTTTATCCATCTAGTCGACTCGTACAACCTGTAATGTCATGTGATGACATGAACAATAGATGACATTGTAATGTCATGTGATGACATGAACAATAGACGACTTTGTAATGTCATGTGATGACATGAACAATAGACGACTTTGTAATGTCATGTAATGACATGAACAATAGATGACATTGTAATGTCATGTGATGACATGAACGATAGACGACTTTGTAATGTCATGTGATGACATGAACAATAGATCACATTGTAATGTCATGTGATGACATGAACAATAGACGACTTTGTAATGTCATGTGATGACATGAACAATAGACGACTTTGTAATGTCATGTGATGACATGAACAATAGATGACAGTGTAATGTCATGTGATGACATGAACAATAGACGACTTTGTAATGTCATGTGATGACATGAACAATAGACGACTTTGTAATGTCATGTGATGACATGAACAATAGATGACATTGTAATGTCATGTGATGACATGAACAATAGATGACAGTGTAATGTCATGTGATGACATGAACAATAGATGACATTGTAATGTCATGTGATGACATGAACAATAGACAACTTTGTAATGTCATGTGATGACATGAACAATAGACGACTTTGTGATGACATGAACAATAGATGACATTGTAATGTCATGTGATGACATGAACAATAGATGACATGAACAATAGACAACTTTGTAATGTCATGTGATGACATGAACAATAGATGACATTGTAATGTCATGTGATGACATGAACAATAGAAGACTTTGTAATGTCATGTGATGACATGAACAATAGACGACTTTGTAATGTCATGTGATGGCATGAACAATAGATGACAGTGTAATGTCATGTGATGACATGAACAATAGACGACTTTGTAATGTCATGTGATGACATGAACAATAAATGACATTGTAATGTCATGTGATGACGAACAATTGAAGATGTTGAATAATACTGTTTTCCATAATGATGCAATGAGACCATTCAGAATTAAGAAAAGCTAAAGTGCAGATGTGCAAATACAGGGATGAGAATGTCTTTTTTAAAAACAATACTGAAAGTGCGACAAGTGTCTGGGAGACTATATCATTAATGTGTATATTGTAATGGCATGCATCACAAAAATACTTCCAAATACATGGGCAGTGTTCTAACAAAAATAATGACTGCAATTTAAAATGCAGTCTTGCAATCAAACAATGTATGGCGCCATCTCCTTCAAAACATATTAGGTTCCTTTTGAAAAACATCAATTTGAATACAATATGAACTGGGTATTAATTATGTCTTGTCAGTGCATCCAACAATAATATCCACTTGTTCTCAATCATGAATACAATCAACATGGTATTTATTAGGACATCCTCAATGTAAGGAACAATGGCTTACGTCAAAGTTGGCACAAGAGATGGCGTTCGAGATGGTGGCCGCTGTACAGGGGAAGCTTGGCAGAGGGATGAACCGGTACTGAAACATAACATTGAGGTGTACTTTCTCTTCTTGTGGGTGGAATAACCAAACAGCCCCCTAGGAGGACAGAAATTACTTCGGCTGAACAATGTGTACTGGAATCTCAACCTCATGCACATGCATATTTGGTTTGTAACAGGTGCAACAAAATGACATTTATTTATTACAAACATTTATCAACTCACTGGATTTGCTTTCCTGACCACAGACACCAGCTCTGTCTCTTGAAGCTTGTCATGCATCCAGTAGAAGCGGAACTCAGTCTGTCAACAATGAACACATTACACCACACAGATAAGACAGTACAAATACAATGCAATCTGTCTTAAAAGAAATGGACTAATTTGGATGAAAAAAATATGCTCCAGTATAGGTAGCAGTCCACATTAAGCTAACACAGTGAGTGAGTGAGTGAGTGAGTGAGTGAGTGAGTGAGTGAGTGAGTGAGTGAGTGAGTGAGAGTGGTTTTATGCTGCTTTTAGTAATATTCCAGCAATATCACCCCGGGTAACACCAGAGAATCCATGTGGAGAATCAAACTTGGGCCTTCTGCGTGATAAGCAACCCATATCATGCCCCTAACAAGAGTGAGTGAGAGTTTGTTTAATGCCGTTTTTAGCAATATTGCGGCAATATCATGGCTTAGGACACCAAAAATGGGCTTAACACATTGTATCCATGTGGGTAACTGAACATGTGCCTTGGGCGTGACAAGCAAACGCCAAAACTGGGCCACCCATACCTGCCCCTAACACAGACAATAGGGGCATGTGTGTATGCTAGGGAAGTACCTCACTGTCGTAGATTGGCATGTTCTTCCAGTACATCATGTCCAGTACGTAGTAGGTCTTGTTCGCCTCACAGTACAGGCAGTCAAGGATCGTGCTCTCTGAAACAGTCATTTAGGTAAAATGTTATCATAAACAAACATATGCTATCTGTATAAGTAACCAAGATGTATTACAGGTAAGAACATCTACTGAGGACTTTTTCTGCAACTGACTCTCGGAGGAACCAGAGAGAGTAAGTGAATGTTGTTTAATCCCAGTACTCAGTGATATTCCAACCATATCATGGTGGCCTGTAGATATATTGTATATTGTAGCAGGGACCAGTTGTCCCATGATCCCCAAGGGGAGACCATCTACAGTAGCAGGGACCAGTTGTCCCATGATCCCCATGGGGAGACCATCTACAGTAGCAGGGACCCATTGTCTCATGATCCCCATGGGGAGACCATCTACAGTAGCAGGGACCCATTGTCCCATGATCCCCAAGGGGAGACCATCTACAGTAGCAGGGACCAGTTGTCCCATGATCCCCATGGGGAGACCATCTACAGTAGCAGGGACCCATTGTCCCATGATCCCCAAGGGGAGACCATCTACAGTAGCAGGGACCAGTTGTCCCATGATCCCCAAGGGGAGACCATCTACAGTAGCAGGGACCAGTTGTCCCATGATCCCCATGGGGAGACCATCTACAGTAGCAGGGACCCATTGTCCCATGATCCCCAAGGGGAGACCATCTACAGTAGCAGGGACCAGTTGTCCCATGATCCCCAAGGGGAGACCATCTACAGTAGCAGGGACCAGTTGTCCCATGATCCCCAAGGGGAGACCATCTACAGTAGCAGGGACCAGTTGTCCCATGATCCCCAAGGGGAGACCATCTACAGTAGCAGGGACCAGTTGTCCCATGATCCCCAAGGGGAGACCATCTACAGTAGCAGGAACCAGTTGTCCCATGATCCCCAAGGGAGGACCATCTACAGTAGCAGGGACCCATTGTCCCATGATCCCCAAGGGGAGACCATCTACAGTAGCAGGGACCAGTTGTCCCATGATCCCCAAGGGGAGACCATCTACAGTAGCAGGGACCCGTTGTCCCATGATCCCCAAGGGGAGACCATCTACAGTAGCAGGGACCAGTTGTCCCATGATCCCCATGGGGAGACCATCTACAGTAGCAGGGACCAGTTGTCCCATGATCCCCATGGGGAGACCATCTACAGTAGCAGGGACCCATTGTCCCATGATCCCCAAGGGGAGACCATCTACAGTAGCAGGGACCAGTTGTCCCATGATCCCCAAGGGGAGACCATCTACAGTAGCAGGGACCAGTTGTCCCATGATCCCCAAGGGGAGACCATCTACAGTAGCAGGGACCCATTGTCCCATGATCCCCAAGGGGAGACCATCTACAGTAGCAGGAACCAGTTGTCCCATGATTCCCAAGGGGAGACCATCTACAGTAGCAGGGACCAGTTGTCCCATGATTCCCAAGGGGAGACCATCTACAGTAGCAGGGACCAGTTGTCCCATGATCTCCAAGGGGAGACCATCTACAGTAGCAGGGACCAGTTGTCCCATGATCCCCATGGGGAGACCATCTACAGTAGCAGGGACCCATTGTCCCATGATCCCCAAGGGGAGACCATCTACAGTAGCAGGGACCAGTTGTCCCATGATCCCCATGGGGAGACCATCTACAGTAGCAGGGACCCATTGTCCAATGATCCCCAAGGGAGGACCATCTACAGTAGCAGGGACCAGTTGTCCCATGATCCCCAAGGGGAGACCATCTACAGTAGCAGGGACCCATTGTCCCATGATCCCCATGGGGAGACCATCTACAGTAGCAGGGACCAGTTGTCCCATGATCCCCAAGGGGAGACCATCTACAGTAGCAGGGACCCATTGTCCCATGATCCCCATGGGGAGACCATCTATAGTAGCAGGGACCAGTTGTCCCATGATCCCCAAGGGGAGACCATCTACAGTAGCAGGGACCCATTGTCCCATGATCCCCAAGGGGAGACCATCTACAGTAGCAGGGACCAGTTGTCCCATGATCCCCATGGGGAGACCATCTACAGTAGCAGGGACCAGTTGTCCCATGATCCCCATGGGGAGACCATCTACAGTAGCAGGGACCCATTGTCCCATGATCCCCAAGGGGAGACCATCTACAGTAGCAGGGACCAAATGTCCCATGATCCCCAAGGGGAGACCATCTACAGTAGCAGGGACCCATTGTCCCATGATCCCCATGGGGAGACCATCTACAGTAGCAGGGACCAATTGTCCCATGATCCCCAAGGGGAGACCATCTACAGTAGCAGGGACCCATTGTCCCATGATCCAAGGGGAGACCATCTACAGTAGCAGGGACCAGTTGTCCCATGATCCCCAAGGGGAGACCATCTACAGTAGCAGGGACCCATTGTCCCATGATCCCCAAGGGGAGACCATCTACAGTAGCAGGGACCAGTTGTCCCATGATCCCCAAGGGGAGACCATCTACAGTAGCAGGGACCAGTTGTCCCATGATTCCCTATGGAATATCTACCGGTATGTTATTTGACATTAACTTACCTCCAAATATGCCCCTTGCCCCCTGACCTCTGTTGCCCCCTGGGAGAAAAGAGGGAAAATTCATGCACTTGAAGCCACCCTTGGAGTACGCAATGGTCTGTCCCTGCAGGAGTTAACAGAAACAGTAGGTAACTTTTAAAAACATGTACACCAAGTTTGTTTGAACTGCATGCAATGGATACCGACCATACCCAGAGAATGACTTTAAGGTGGCACAACCTGTCTGAGATATATTTACAGAGGAACCCCACTTATCCAGACAATTGGATTAACAGCCAATCGGTCATTCCAAACATCATCCTCATCCACTAGGATCTAATGCTACCTGTCCCTCTGATGGCAGCTGTCATGTGATGACTATAAAACAAACATCGTCATGCACAATCTCATGTAAATCAGATCTTAGTTCTCGCTACCGCTAAACAAAGATCTGAGAACATCCCATTACGGGTCATGTCAGACCGACCTTGCGCGAACTTTGACCGACCAATGGAATGACCAATCAGAAGGCAGCTTTCTCGTGCTTTACAGCACAAATTTCAAATTGGCGACTACGCTTCGAAACATATTTTGACAAATTCTTGATTACAAATTTGAAACCTGAACAAAAAACATTCTGGAATGGCTAATAGATGGTCTAGATTGTAAGGATTCAGTCGTTAAACCCGTAACTATCGTTCGGAATACCCCATGTTAAAGTTTCATTGCATCATTAAAAATCACATTCAGACTGTCACTTTCATAATCTGGTAAGCGACGCACTGATTGGTCGGATGAAAGGTCGTTCTGACGTGACCCCTAATGGGATGTCTTCAGATCTTTGTTAAGCGGTAGCGAGAACTAAGGTCTGATTTTAATGAGTGAGAGTATGGTTTTACGCCGCTTTTAGCAATATTCCAGCAATATCACAGCGGGGGACACCAGATATGGGCTTCACACATTGTACCCATGTCGGAAATCGAACCCAGGTCTTCGGCGTGACGAGCGAACGCTTTAACCCCAAGGCTATCCGACTGCCCCCAATATTTAAGGTAGGGTTTTCATGACAGTTTTGGTCTGGACAAACAGGGTTCCACTTTAATGAATTCAAGTTAATGTGTGTTTGTTTGTTTGTTGTTTTACGCCGCACTCAGCAATACTCCAGCTATATGATGGCAGTCTGTAAATAATCGAGTCTGGACCAGACAATCCAGTGATTGGCATCATGAACATCGGTCCAGTTAATGTGTGTGGAATTTTATGTTGTTTTACTTTCAGTAATATTCTGGCAACATAATGTCAAGGAACACCAAAGATGGCACCATGGAATCAACCCAGGCTGGACATGTTAGCCACTAGGCTACCTCTATCAACCCTTATATGGACAAACCTTGGCAGCTATAACCAATCTCCTCTTTCCAGTGGGGCACACAACCAGCAGCCATTCCTTCTCCAAGTTCTGTGGCACTTCCACCAGCCACTCGGAGTACATCAGCTACACAGAAAACGTCATTCTACAAATAGGGCTGGGGCGGGTCCAATTTTACTATCCGGATACCCGCTATATGTCTCAAGAGTTAGGTACAAAACATCTGAATGGGAATTGTTTTACGGCAGCTCTGGAAAAAACAATTTAGATACACATATAAAACAATCTGATCATGCATACACTGAAGTTGATGGACGCTTTATCGTTACTCATACATATAAAAGTCTGAATGAATGATTGCATAGTGCATAGATTGCATAGAAATGTGATCATTAGCTATTTGAAGTGTAACCATGGAGTTTTATTGTTAATTCATCAACAAGTATATCACGCGCCTAACCACAGGTCCGGGTAGTCCTGTGGGTACCCAGGTCCTACTCAGGACCCACCTGAACCGGGACCCGAGTACCCGAGTTACCCAATCAAATAACATCTCCTTCAATGAAACAATTATCTGTACCTTCACCATGGTCCTAAGTGTGTATGGATATTTTCACTTAGACAGCCATTTCCAGCTTCCTGCTTTACCATTATATATAACAAAATAAAATAAAAGAGAAAGCTTTGTCACCTGCTACAATACAATAACTATTTTGTTATGCCCATAATTCAGCAATAACTGGTGACGAGGGAACTAAACACCTCACTCATTGGCTGTTTGTCTCTAAGAGTGAGTGAGTGAATATGATTTTAATATCATGATGATCCCTTTGGTCTTAAAGAAATGATGAAGTCATGCATTAAGTTCTGTGTGGTGCAATGGCGCGATGTGGCACGGCGTGCGTGTTTGTGTTGTTTAATGCCGCTGCATTCAGCAGAATATTCCACCTACATGGCCAGAAAATCCACTGACTGATACAATGAGCAACAATCCACATCAATGACCACCCAATCCACTGAGGTGCCTTTACACCCAGCAAAAGTTGCTAGGGACCAATTCTAACCCTTAGTTCCCAAATTTGCTACTAGTAATGGGGTACTGGGGTCATATTTTACGAAGGGGTCCCCCATGTATGAAGACTCCAGCACAAGCAGGAGTATGGAAGAGCACATTTCCCAATCTCACCTGGTCCTTGTAGTGGCGTCCGGGTTTGCGGAGTGACGTCTGCACCTCCATGTCCTCCTCCTGCTCCACAGTGGCCTCCTCCTCCTCGGCCTTCTGGTCATCTTGGGCCTTGTCCCACACTCCCTCTGTCAGGTTCCGGGCATGATTAGAAAAGTCAAACCTTCGGCTGAAATTAGATGAACCAATCAAATATGGAAGCCTAACTGTAGCGTGAGTTATGCGAGGAAGTGATTGTTCTGAACACCAGTCAACAAAATGTCAGCCATTTAGTCTGGACCAGACAACCATTGACTGAAAGCACAAGAAACAATCTAAGCAGTCAGGGCACCATGACACACAATCAGCCAAGTCACCAAGTCTGAGCGACTTTAGTTGGCTCTTCAGACAAGCATGGTATACTGGGGATCTACTCATCCCCGGAATCTTTACAGTGCTAGTTATGTGGAGTCATAGATTACAGATAAAATATAATGTGTGATACCGGTCATTATTTATGTCTTCAATTGACTGTAGAATAGGACATATATACATGTGTCCCATATTTCCAAGCTTCAAGCTCTGCGTGCTCATAATGTAAAGAGGAGCATCTGATAATTATAACTGCAACCATACTTGCAGATAAATGCAAAAACATGCATTGCAGAAACAAAACAAGTGAAAAAGTGCTGGAAGGGTTTAATGCTGTAATTGGCCACACAGACAATTTGTGGAGATACCACATTCGACACAGCAAACTGATCCATGTCATAACCGACCCATCCCATGGCAGACAGCCAGCTAGCTATGATTAATGTCATGGCAGACAGACAGCTATGATCCATGTCATGGCACACAGACAGAAAGCTATGATCCATGTCATGACAGACAGACAGACAGCTTTGATCCATGTCATGGCAGCCAGCCAGCTATAATCCATGTCATGGCACACAGCTATGATCCATGACAGACAGATATCTATGATCCATGACAGACAGCCAGCTATGATCCATGTCATGGCAGCCAGCCAGCTATGATCCATGTCATGGCACACAGCTATGATCCATGACAGACAGATATCTATGATCCATGACAGACAGCCAGCTATGATCCATGTCATGGCACCAGCTATGATCCTAGACAGACGGACAATGATGATCCATGTTATGGCAGCCATGATCTCCTTAGTGGCAGACAGACAGCTATGACCTCTGCCGTGGCAGACAGACAGACAGCTATGACCTCTGCCGTGGCAGACAGACAGCTATGACCTCTGCCTTGGCAGACAGACAGACAGTTATGACCTCTGCCGTGGCAGACAGACAGCTATGACCTCTGCCTTGGCAGACAGACAGACAGCTATGACCTCTGCCATGGCAGACAGACAGACAGCTATGACCTCTGCTGTGGCAGACAGACAGCTATGACCTCTGCCGTGGCAGACAGACAGACAGCTATGACCTCTGCCGTGGCAGACAGACAGACAGCTATGACCTCGCCGAGGCAGACAGACAACGATGATCCATGTTATGGCAGACAGGCAGACAGCCATGATCTCCTTAGTGGCAGACAGCCAGCTATGATCTGGATGTCCACACTCTGTGACCTGGAAGCTACACAGTAGCTACAGACATATACTCAAGTTGGTTTGTGTTTGAAGCTGCATGCCACAATCAGTGACACACCAGCTGTATCACAGCAGCAGATTAAATAATCAGGACCAGACGAAGCAGTGGTTGACAGCATGATCAACATCCCACACTGTGAGATGACACACAACCAGCAAAGTCACAAAGCCTGGCCACGCTATCCCAATGTCAGTTGTCCTAACAACGAGCATGAAGTTCTGATGACCCCTCCTACCCTGAGGTCCCAAAGGGGTACGCATGCTGTAAGTGTACGTGAACAAACTGGTCCAAATCATGCTCGTGAAGGTGTTAATGTGTCAAAACACAAAAGCATCTACAACACTGTAAAAGTTATTAAAGCCACACACCCAGTCAACGCACAATGTTTGCCGATTCATTCTCTACTTCGGAGTCCTTGACATGAAGAATAGTGACCTAATCACTTATGCTTCAAGCATCAAAATTAGAAACACAGCAAGGATGTCTCATTTTACAAAAGGGCATGTACCTTTAAAACAAGCAAGTATAAATACCGTAATCAATGTAATCAGCGATGGGGATTTAAGTCAGAGGCCAAAAGATGCCTGTCGGGACCAGCTTAGGATGAGGGTGCTCATAGCCCATCCCAGACCCATCCTCCATTATCCAGTGTTATACTTATATATGCCATTACATTATTGTAAATACCCTGGACCCACCCTCCATTAAATTCATTATGTGCCCGATTCATAGAGCTCAATGCTAAAAATAACCATCCAATCCAAATGCTCTCCTGAGTGAAAGTAATTCTGTCCTCAAAGATATGTGTGATGGAGCTGGAGACATCACTTCAAAGACATGTTAGCAAATGGATCCCGGTTATTTGCAGAATATACACTGCTCAAAAGAAGTTAAAGAACACCGGATTCTTTCATATTACTATAGTTAATCTGTCATAACTTCTTTTGAGTAGTGTATAACAGAATGAAGACAAAACACCTAGGATAATCAAGGATGTTCCAGATCGGTAAACAACTGTGTTCGTTGCGATGTCCCTGATGGTTTACAAGGGGCAGGGTGTTATTTACATGGAGTACGGTATGATCACAGACACAAAGCAAGTGGCAAGTCCCTGGATCCAGAGCTCACCCAGTACGTCTCTGGGAACGTGAAACTCTTGAACCGGGAGAGCGCTTCTTTTCTGCTGGGACACACTTTGGACAATCAGTTGTCTCCCTTGTTCTACAAAACACCGCAAACACTCATAAAGCATGGCCAGGAAATGGAGCTCCGCCAGATGTCTAGTTTCCGCTTAATCAGACAGGATGGAAGACCAACAGCTTTAATGTGAAGAACAATGTACATATCCATTTAGTTGACAAAAATACACTTAAATTTAATTCCAAATCTTTGGTCAAAATGAAAAGGAAATGACTTTTGAATTTTTTACAAGACCTCACAAGACCTCTTGCAATGGCTGCAGACTTTACAAAAAAAATGCAGACTATTTAGAAAACTGATAAAGGTTTACAATGGTGAATGTGACATGGAGGTTGTAAGATTCACCATCAATGCTTCACAGAGTTGGATACACTATGTTCCTCCATCTACCGTGAATACATACGGCTGCTATGCAGTGTAGTAGTGACACATAACTTGTCAGTAAGCTCATAACAAAGGCCCATAACTCAGGGCAGTCAAATGAGCCCAACTCTGTGCAACTTTGTAAACTTTGTGTAACCCCTATTACTTCCCAACACTAAGCAAAGCAAAACAAAGCAAGATGCCACAAGGCTACGGCGCACAATGTTGTGTGAGAAACATTGATGGTAGTGAGAATCTAAGGTGAGAGCTTATTGGTCTGAGCACTAGCTGGTTCCCTCTCAATGTTGTGTGAGAAACATTGATGGTAGTGAGAATCTAAGGTGAGAGCTTATTGGTCTGAGCACTAGCTGGTTCCATCTCAATGTTGTGTGAGAAACATTGATGGTAGTGAGAATTTAAGGTGAGAGCTTATTGGTCTGAGCACTAGCTGGTTCCATCTCAATGGCACCAGGCCTGGGCTTGATGTGTTGGTTCAAACTGATGACCCAATTTCATTAAGATCAGATGTTAGTGCTTGCTACCGCTAAACAATCTGAGGACATCCCATTGTAGGTCAAGTCAGAACAACCTTTCACAAACTTTGACCAACCAATGAAATGACTAACAAGAAGTCAACATTAGCCATTTGGAAACCAGCTTTCTGGAGCTTTCGGCACAGGTTTCAAACTGGCGACTTCCATTCCATACATTGCATTGAAAAATATCGATTCAGAATTTGAAAACTGCAACAAAAGAATATTCGAGGATGTCTAATAGATGGTCGAGATTGTATGGCAGTACTTCCGTTTCAAATGCTTATCCCACTGAAGCGAGAGATAGCTATGATTTTGACCGAATCAGCCCGTAACTGTTGTTTGGAATACCCTGTGCTAAGCTTTTTGAGGATGCATGATTCGGAAACACATTACGACTGTCACTTTCTGCATCTGGTAAGCGACGCTCTGACTGGTCGGATGAAAGGTTGATCTGACGTGACCCCAGATGGGATGTCCTCAGACCTTTGTTTAGCAAAGGAGAGCACTTAGATCTGATGATAATGAGATTGAAACTAACGAGTCCGCAACCACAACAAAGGTGGGTGCATGTATTCACAGTGATTGAGGAACATAGTGTATACAAATTCGTGACGGATTGTGTTTGACTAAAGATAATATTTCTACACCATTGAATGCCATGGCAAGTTAATTAGCAAGTGAATGAGTGAGGCCTTAATGAGTCAGTGAGTGAGTTGGGTTTAACACCGTTTTTAACAGTATTACAGTTATATCGCGGCGTGTTAGCTTAATGTGGGAGGAAAGCCCAAAGTGATGCAGGTCTCGGACGTTTACCACTTTGGTGAAACCCATGTATGGTGCTGACAAACCTAGAAACATAATCAGGGCGAACCGGGATTCGAACCCACAATCATAGGGACGCAGCTCTGCACAGTGAATCGCGGCACTTTAGATGACAGGGCCACCTGTGCCCCCTGAATGATTGAGTGAGATGGGTTCATTTGTGAAGAGCAGCACTAAATCCATGTTCACTCACTTCCCTTGGGAGTTGCTCCATTATTTTGTACACATCGGCAATTAACTGGTTGTCTGTTCTTATTCCTTCAGCAATATCTTCCCATTTCCTGGCCCATGCCATAGGTGGGTTACTTGTCTCGGGAAGGACATGAGCCATCACTACTACCGGTATTATCATAAGTTTATACTAGCTACAAAAAAACAATGTCATACAGCTAACTATAGGCTGATAAATATGTAAATAATCATGTTGAGATCGATCATCCAATGTCAATTATGTCACAGTCCATTGGATGTTTTTGTGGGAACTAGTACTGCCTGCATCCTTCAACTTGAAATGGCATGGTTGGAATTTCAGGAAACTAGGCTTTGATATAGGTTAGTGGACATCTTGCCTCGGGTTGATATACTGCCTCATACAAGTACATTGTGTCTAATCTGACCCATCGAAAAATATTATTGGGAGTACCTTGGATGAGAATTGTGTCAAATACGCAGGTTTTCAAGGTCATGTGTCCATTAAATGTAGAGATAATTTCCAGCAAACTCTCCCAATCTTGTCACAGAGACAAAGCGTCAAAGAGAGACAAAAGATGTGCCACTGACTGGTAAGTGAGTCTTCCTTCATCTCTTTGCAATCATTTGTTGTTTGCCACATTCAAAACATGGGAGCATCACAAAAATAACTTCAACAGAAGAATGCAAACACAGAGTGAGTGAGGGCTGGATCCGGTGCAGACAAACCAATGGTAAAAGCGGGAGTCAAACAACTGGGTCTTGACAAAATGGATACATTCAGTTGCCCATATGAAGTTAAGCTGTATCAGATTGAAAACTGGATCAAGTGCAGACAATCCAACAGGGAAAGAGGAAGTCAATGAGTATATCTGTTGTCATGGTTACATACGGTCTTTCAACAGAATGGAAACATTCAGTTGTTCACATGCACCCAAACCACATCATGTTCTGAAATTATGACTACTTCAAGGCCATGGGATAAGGTACAGAAACATTCTTAAAGAATATCAATGAACCATGAAATAACAAATGCTTAGAGAAGTTTTGATGGCATATATTCAGGCTTTTGCCGGACGCATAAACATAATGGATGCAAAAAGTAAGCACTGTCCGATGCTAAATTACCCCTGCTTGAATCAGAACTAATTCACTCGAAACTAAACATCATATTGAACTGACATTACGATTCTAAAGAGAAATACAATCAAGTTCCATTTCTGTTTTCTTCCCTCAATCCTGGAGTTTGGGTTTAAATTAAAGAAGTAAATCACCTGGGACTCTAAAAGATATTCTTGAGTCCCCTAGACTCCATACCCAAATATGTTCTTAATACCAGTGTTCTGTTTGTAGAAACATCATGACACGTGTCAAGAACATTCGACTATTTGCTTTAGTTAAATCCATCTAAACATTTTCAATCTCAGTTTTACAACCATCATCCTGAAAGGAACTATATCACTGTGTTTATGAAATACAGTAAAATTCCAGAAAAAGTTAACTGTTGCCAAGTGTGGAATGTCCACATTACTCCTTTCAAACACAGGTGATGTGAAGGAACATTACGATGTCATCAGGGTTATTTTACTTTCAAAAACAAGCACGACATTGTCATATGATGAGTTCACAACATGATAGAAATGTCACTCAGCAAAAATTGTATACAGCATTAAAAATCTAAGAAATTTGTTTGTGAAAGGGCTTGTGCCTGAGAAATAATATAACTTGTATATGATAAAGAAAAGAAACAAAGCATTTTTCTAATGTACCATACACACATTATGCTGAAGATCAGTGACCAAAGTGCAAAAAGTACCCAAGATAATAAAAACATAATAAGACCAAAGTCACACACTTCTTACCTCCTATCAACATCAACAGACACCAAAGGCGGGAAAGTATCTCAAACCAATTTAGCATTAAAATAAATAAATTGGGAAAACTATCAATAATAATATACTTTTTTTGAATATCTAAAATCCTCCTCCTGCGTGCCTCCTGTCTCTCAGAGGGGCTGAGTTTGAGTTTATACTGGGAGAAGCGCGGGTGTTCTGCTGCCGTCGTGTTCAGCTCCTTGCTCACACTGAAACTGGTGGCAAGTGCTGCAGTCAGTTCCTCCATCTTCTGAAACAAAAAAAAACATAAAATATTATATTAATTATTTTGCTAACCAGGAGACAAAATGATCTTACAAATATATATTTTGTGAAATATGATTTGTGAACAGTTGAAATTATTAACATGGAGTCATGTTAAATCTCTATCCTGTGGTTGTATTGAATGAGATGCTGCGAGAATGGAATGAGATGCAGACCACATACTTGCTGACGATAAGACATCATTTTGTTGTGTTTTTCTAGGTCTGTCAAGAGTACTTGGATAACTGTTTCTGGTATTTGTTATCCCAGTTAATATTTTATCCCAGTTAATATTATTAATAATCATTTATGTTTATAATATCTATCAAAACTAACATTGTCAGAAATCCTATTTATTCACTGTATAATAGTTACAAACAGAATGCACAGTTTGTATGTTGGTCAATGACATGATATCAATAAATCCATGCGAAACAGGGATTAATGCAGTGAATGTCAGTATGATATTATTGTGAAGCGAATTGTTGAGTTTGGACAGTTTGTGCTGGATATCAATACCAAAATTTGTAGATCTAGATTCTATTTGTTGTGCTTTAGACTACGTAAATTTATTGAATTTTTTCCATTAAATCCTTCCGTTTTAAAATGAAATATATGTAAATTCGTGCACAATGGTGATGTGGAGACGCTTATTAAAATCGTAAATTATACATTGTGTTCAGTGTTGTTTTCTTCTCGTCACTGTAGGGTTCTACCTACCCAAAACATACGGGATACTAAATACATGTATGTATATAATATATGAACATTAAAACAGGCAATGGAAACGTGTTGATGTTTTCGTTTCTAATCGACAGAAAATGTTATTGCCGTTTTGGTCAAATTTGCTGCTCGTAATTGCTGTTTTCGGCCAATTCGGTGAATCGCGTCAGGTGCACGAAATCCGGACTACTAACTCAACCACGTGATATGACAAGCTGATAGTAATTGACAATTGACGCTCTTTCTTCCGGTGATAAGTCAGAAGCATATTCGCAACTTACCTTACTAAGATAACAGACTAAAATGAAAATATCCGACGTCTAAATGAATGACTGTTTCATCAGTGTTCTGCGTTACAACTACGTCTTTCCAGCAAAAGCCGAGTCCATGTTTATGAGAGCGCCGGATAATATATTCTGAGCTCATTTCATTGGCTAACAAAACAATATTCTTTCATGAATAATTGTTTTCGTTTTTAAATGACGTCGACTCATTATACTTGTTATCGGAATTATATGTAACGCTGTATGAACTCGTTACGAGTGATTCAGTTTTACCAGAGACCATGATCTCTGGTTTGACTGATCTCATCCCGAGTATGAGTAGTTTGCCAGACTGGGCGACTGTCTACGCCCAGCGTTAAAAGCGCAAATATTTCCGTTCAAACTCAATCTCATTAAAATCAGATCTTAAAGTACTTTAGTTCTCGCTACCGCTAAACAGCAGCGAAAACTAAAATCTGATTTTATTGAGATTTGTTCATACTATGACATGTGATCCCGGTTAGAAAAGGTCTTCAGCAACCCATGCTTGCCGTAAAAGGCGACTATGCTTGTCGTAAGAGGCGACTAACGGAATCGGGTGGCCAGGCTCCCTGACTTGGTTGATGCATATGTCATCGTATCCCAATTGCGTGGATCGATGCTCATGATGTGAATCGATGGGTTGTCTGGTCCAGACTCGATTATTTACTGACCGCCGGGATATTGCTGAGTACGGCGTTAAACAACAAACCAAACCAGAGACCATATAACAGATATATATTATATGGTCTCTCTATATGACAAAACAAACATGTGTATGTACGCGTGTGAGGTTACATGAATTTGAAACAAGTTTCCTGTAATCGATATGATCCACAAACGAATGTTATAATTTCGTTTTCATCAACTACACTTTATATTGTAATGTGTATGAAAAGCTAAAAACTGTACATATGACGTCAACAATGATAGGTTGTGGTGTCATAACTATTGTGACGTCATTACCATTATGTTCCCCAACAACGTTTGTAAGACGTCAAAAGTGCTATATACTTCATTATTACACGTGTGCTTCGTATAGTTTTGTTCGTTTGTTCGTTGTTGTTTAACGTCGCACTCAAGAATATTCCTGCTGTATGACGGCGGTCTGTAAATAATCGCGTATGGACCAGACAATCCAGTGATTGACATCATGAGCATCGATCCAAGCAAATTGGGATCAATGACATGTATCAACCAAGTCTGCGAGCCTGACCACCCGATCCCCTTAGTCGCCTCTTACGACAAGCATAGTCGCTTTTAACAGCAAGCGTGGTTGGTGAAGACCTATTCTACCCCGGATCTTCAGCTTCGTATGGAGTTTTTAAATCGCTTATTTTGAAGAATATGCACAATTAAACATAAAAAGTAAATGTCACGAGAAACCAAGCATTGAAGGCACATAAGTACATAAGTGGTTCACTGAACCAGGATCTCAGTGTGACGGGCGAACGATTTGACCACGAGGCGACCTTATCTTTTCCAACAGGCAGGGAAGACAGGAACATGATTAAAAGATGAAACAAAAGAAACTATAACACCGCCTCCTGTCCCAACCTACCTATTGTCTACCCGAAAAAAAACATATATGCCATGTCCTGGACTGGTCATTTATGATTGGGTGGGGCGGGGGTTGGATGGTGTGATTGGCCTTAGGACTGTATCATATTCAGCCCTCATAGTTGTGACAAACGTTGGCGACCCCCACCCCTTCCCTCCTGCGAAATACGCATAATGTCGGAAAGAGCACGTTAAATCCCCAACAGTAAGTATAAACAAGCACCCCTTCCCCTACTCTGTCGCTACCGTGAAGATCCGGGGTAGAATAGGTCTTCAGCAACCCATGCTTGCCGTATAAGGTGACTATGCTTGTCGTAAAAGGCGACTAATGGGATCGGGTGGTCAGGCTCCCTGACTTTGTTGATACATGTCATCGATCCCAATTGCGTGGATCGATGTTCATGATGTAAATCACTGGATTGTCTGGTCCAGACTCGATTATTTACAGACCGCCGTCATATAGCTGGAATATTGCTGAGTGCGGCGTAAAACCAAAAACCAAAATACTCTGTCGCTGTGTCATTGTGAGAGGTGGCTTTGTTTATTATAAAATCAGCACTGTCACCAAATGTAAGTCGCGGATGTGCTCTGTGTGTGTGTGTGTGTGTGTGTGTGTGTGTGTGTGTGTGTTCGTTCACACAGAAAATGAAACTTACAAATAGCTAGACCACTGACTGTAATATGTATAACGACACCAATTGCAACTGAATGCAATCCCGCCTTCACGATTTACAGAATTCTCGTTGCGGTTTAGTGAACGTAAATGTTCCAGTAAATGTGGACAGGATGAACGATCATAAAGGCTGAGGCCAGACGAATTGTGACACAGGTGGTGTTTTCTGAATAGAGGTAGATCATTCGTGACCACTCGTGTCATTCCGCTGGGCTTCTTCAGGTCATGCAGTTGGTCACGAATGCTCGTAGGTTACGGAAAAGGGCGAGTGGTTACGAATGTATCTGAATAAAGGATATAAATTCGTAGCCTTGCTAACCAAAAAACTGTGTTACCAGAGACCTTAGAATCTATTTGATGGTCTCTGGTGTCATGTGCTGCTGTAAATTAACGGAAACCGCAGCGTTCGTTTATCGTCGGGTGTCATTTGTCACGTGACACTTTGTACATGTACACAGCGTTCGGCGAGCATGATTTAGCGGTGATAGCTGGAGTCCTTGGGTCGCTGCGGTACATGTGGGTTATCTTTGAATGTCTGATAGTGGCACACTTCCCGAGACATAGCTAAGATGGAGTTTACGTTGCTTGTGTTAACTGCAGCTTTAATGCAGGCGGCTTCGATCCCACTAACTTTTCACAGTGTGAAAGATGAAATCGAAAGTCACCGAGCTGATGCGGAACGAATTATTAACCTGGTGGTCAATGGAAGCGCTAAAGGACAGACATACAACCGACTGGCCGAGTTTGTGGACACATTCGGGAGTCGCATCGCCGGTTCTCAGAATCTTGAAAACGCCATCGATTATATGATGAAGAAGTTGAAGGAGGATGGTCTGGAGAATGTACACGGAGAGTCCGCCATGGTGCCCCACTGGGTGAGGGGGAGGGAGTCTGCCACCCTCGAGCAGCCACGAATCCTACCCCTCAACATACTGGGACTCGGGGGTAGCATTGCCACCCCTCCTGAGGGCATCACGGCTGAGGTGATTGTAGTCAAGACGTTTGCTGAGCTGAAGCAGAGGGCTGCCGAGGCCCGCGGGAAGATAGTGGTCTATAACGAGGACTGGGTAGGGTATGGAGATACTGTCCAGTATCGTTCACTGGGAGCGGTGGAGGCGGCTAAAGTGGGTGCTGTGGCCTCTCTTATACGTAGTGTGACCCCCTTCTCTATAGACAGTCCTCACACCGGCTGGCAGGACTACAGCGACAACGTCACCAAGATCCCCACTGCCTGCATCACGATAGAGATCGCCCAGATGCTGCACAGGATGTCCATGAGAGGGGAGAAGATGGTCATCACCCTCAAGATGGAAGCTCAGAATTTGCCCATGGTGAAGTCCAGAAACACAGTAGCTGAGATTAAAGGGAGTACATACCCGGATGAAGTCGTGATAGTTAGCGGCCACCTTGACAGCTGGGACGTGGGGCAGGGGGCGATGGACGACGGTGGTGGTGCCTTCATCTCCTGGCAGGCCCTGTCTCTCATCCGACAACTGGGACTCCGCCCGAAGCGTACCCTCAGGATGATCATGTGGACCGGGGAGGAAGAAGGGCTCTGGGGGGCGCAGGAGTACTTTAAACAACATCAAGCTGAAATTCCAAAACACAGCCTGGTAATGGAATCAGACATGGGGACCTTCAACCCAAGAGGTCTCCAGTTCTCTGGCAACAAGGCAGCGACAGCAATCATGAAAGAGGTCGCCCAGCTCTTGAGTTCCATCAACAGGACAACCCTCTACAGTCCCGCCGATGTCAGTGACACTACACTTTGGGAAAATATAGGTGTCCCAAGCGGCAGCATAGAGAACGACAACCAAAACTACTTCTATTTCCACCACAGCAACGGCGACATGATGACGGTGGAGAATTCTGGCGTCCTTGACCTTTGTTCCGCCATCTGGGCGGTAGCGGCGTATGTGGTGGCTGACCTTGACGCTGTACTTCCCAGGGATACGGCACAAGGTCGACTTCAGCTGTGATAGTTAAGTGTAGTTTACGCCTCGAAGTCTATAAACGCGTTTAGAAGTTTGGGGAACATGAATACATGACACTTGTTATGGACAGCAACTTCTTTTCTTCTTTGTCACGACGTTTCAGGGCGATTTTCAGAGCTACTTCAACTCCTTCATCGGGTGAATGCTTACGCCTGTGAAGGAGCAAGAAGTAGCTCTGAAACGTCATGACAAAGAATAAAATAAGATGCTATCTATGAGAAGTGTCAGTTTACATCTCGCCCGTTTCGACTTGCCACGATTCTTGCATCCATATTGCATTTATACACTGCTGTTCAATTTAACATACCCTACATTGCGATGCGACCGTCCGGAAAGCCACGATCCCTATTTCAAAGGGTACCAACCGTAACCCGGTCTTCGTCTTAGTTCGATTCTTGCTGTCGCGAGTTGGTTTTGAAAGGTAGGGTTTGGCGATATTTGCACTTGTATAGTATACCGAAGAGCCCTAATCATGGTTAAAATTTCATATCTATCATTGATGCACATATACATGTATAGTATATTTTGTTGACATATCTTACAGAACACATTCGTATTTTGTTATGAAAAGCAAGTTCATTTTCCGCAGAATACTCTTCTCATTTTGATATTTCATGTCCGGGACGATCTCTGAATGCGATATTGTGTTACAGTGTATATTGCTGGGTTACAGCTGCTTGGGATTGTTAATTATTTGTTATTTTTTGTTGTAAACCTGGCACCAAATGATTTAGTTATGTTTTTTGTACACGTCAATATGGCTGGATCCGCGAATTTAATATATATAGGGTATTTGTATTAATGCGGAAGTATATTGTCACACCCTGTGATCGATAGAATGCCGTTGATATCATTCTCGTATACATTTCATGTTTTTCGAAAATTATTGCAATCTCATTAAAATCAGACCTCAGTTCTCGTTACCGCTAAACAAAGCTTTGTTTAGCTGTAACGAGAATTAAGATCTGTTTTTAATGTGATTGAAATTATTGCGAAAGATGATCAGCTCCTCGATAGGTTGGGTTTGCCAACATAACACCTGCCAGCCTTGTCTCAGAATGTATATGTTAGTTGTTTTGATGATTGACTGTGCAGTAAATGTGTATGTAGTTCCTGCCTGCCTGGTACTGGGTAAATAGGGACGCGGCATGTACGGGGGTGTGGCTGGTTGTAGTATTCCGAACTATAGTCCTCGCCACGCGACTGCCGATTCTTACTAGGATTGTAACCACGTGATCAAAACTCAACGATGATGTTTATCGCTAACAAACGGATTTTTCTTGAAAAGCGTACAATATTTGTCATTACTGTAGATAAGATTCCTTATTGGCGGAATGGCTTGTTTTTACTTTATAAGTTTTAGCACACATACAGCTATCTTCGTTAATTAATCTTCGCGACATGTCGTGATTCTGTTTCAAGTGGTGAGCATTATAGTGCCGGATTTATAGTGCTATAGCCCCGACGGATCATGCCTCAGGTTACATGGTTACCCCACTCAGACACAGTGTACTGATCCCGAGCCGACCAGTCCTTGTTTATCCCCTCAATGCCGAGCGCTTGACAGGGTAACACGTACCATGCATCTTTTAACGTCTTTTGGTATGACGCGTCCGTGGATTGAACACCGACCTTCCGTTCTCAAGGCAGACGCTCTACCACTAGACCACGGAGGCGGCCTATTCCTATGAATGATATTATGTAGTTCTCAGTCAACAGCATTATGTATATGTTATGTATAATATCTTTGTGTTAAACCTGACATGAACCTGTACCCTCAGTTTGAGAAGGAATACTTTGTGTCAATTGGTTGCAGTTATTTACAGATGTTCAATCACTCGATATTATCTGTTCCGTGGGATATGTACTTTTCATGGTTCTAATAAAATATGCTTTTTGTTTGTTCAATTGTATCCAGTTCATTCTTTTTGTTGCTTCGAGAATGCAATTTGACCATCCACGAAACTCAGGTGCAAAAATTCCACTATTCGTTTCACAGAAACCAATTTAATAATAAATACAACATTCAGAATATTTTCCATATGTGTTGGTTGTCAGTTTAGGAATCTTACAAGACGACTTCGTTCATTCACTGGATGAGACGAGCAAAGCTAGTGTTGTCAATATGTGAATGCTCAACCGGTGAGCTATGGCCTGAAGAAACCTCGTCACTGCTCTATGCACTGCGCGGCATAGTTCTCCGAGTGTACGGAGGGTCGAAGGCATCGCATCTGGCTGTGCAGAGTTCGAATCTAAGAATTGCCTCGATTGAGACCCTTGTTCTGAAAGCGCCATGCATTTACTTATGCTCTTGACCGTAACCAATTTGGTAGACGTCTGAGACGTGTGTTACTGTGGGATTATCTTCGACATTCAGTTCTTTAACTGAAATGTTCAAGGCATCTAACGAACACATTGCCTCACTCACTCATTGCAAAAAGGAATTATGATTAACGCCTCGCAATTCGTCTATACGGGATACACCCATATGTCAATTCTATGTTGGTTGGTTGGTTTGTTGTTTTACGCCGCACTCGGCAATATTCCAGCTTTATGGCGGCGGTCTGTAAATAATCGAGTCTGGACCAGACAATCCAGTGATTAATAGCATGACCATCTATCCATGCAATTGGGATCAATGACATGCATCAACCAAGTCAGCGAGCCTGACCACCCTATCCCGTTAGTCGCCTCTTACGACAAGCATAGTCGCAGGTTTATGTGTACTGTGCCTTGACATAACGTTTTTGTCAAATGAGTCATACAGTCGAACCCATTCACCCATCAAAAGCTTACGGTGAAATATTGAAATGTTCAAAGACATCCTCAATTTCCAGTGTTTCATATATCTATCCTGTTCTGATGAACATCTAAGCGATATGTAATATTTATCAAAACAGAACGAGATTCAATAATAAGGGTGATTTAAAGTGACGTAGTACTGTAGTATGAGTAGTTGTATCTGTACACGGGTTGGTTATAGTGTGTGTATGTACCATACTCTGGTGGGTCATACAGTCTCTGTATGTATGAGAGACTGATGGGTAATACAGCGTCTGTATGTGATAGAATTGTGGGTAATACGGTGTCTGTATGTGATACACTGCATGGTGGGTGATACGGTGTCTGTATGTATGAGAGACTTGTGGGTAATACAGTGTCTGTATGTATGAGAGACTGGTGGGTAATACAGTGTCTGCATGTATGAGAGACTTGTGGGTAATACAGTGTCTGTATGTGGTTGACTGGTGGGTAATACAGTGTCTGTATATGAGAGATTGGTGGGTAATATTGTGTCTGTATGTGATACACTGCTGGGTAATACAGTGTCTGTATGTGGTTGACTGGTGGGTAATACAGTGTCTGTATGTGATACACTGCATGGTGGGTGATACTGTGTCTGTATGTGATAGACTTGTGGGTAATACATTGTCTGTATGTGATACACTGGTGGGTAATACATTGTCTGTATGTGATACACTGGTTGGTAATACTGTGTCTGTATGTGATAGACTGGTGGGTACTAATTGTCTGTATGTGATAGACTGGTGGGTAATACTGTGTCTGTATGTGATAGACTTGTGGGTAATACATTGTCTGTATGTGATACACTGGTGGGTAATACAGTGTCTGTATGTATGAGAATCTGGTAGGTAATACAGTGTCTGTATGTGGTTGACTGGTGGGTAATACAGTGTCTGTATGTGATACACTGCATGGTGGGTGATACTGTGTCTGTATGTATGAGAGACTAGTGGGTGATACAGTGTCTGTATGTATGAGAGACTTGTGGGTAATACAGTGTCTGTATGTGGTTGACTGGTGGGTAATACAGTGTCTGTATGTGGTTGACTGGTTGGTGATACAGTGTCTGTATGTATGAGAGACTGGTGGGTAATACAGTGTCTGCATATATGAGAGACTTGTGGGTAAAACAGTGTCTGTATGTATGAGAGACTTGTGGGTAATACAGTGTCTGTATGTATGAGAGACTTGTGGGTAATACAGTGTCTGCATGTGATACACTGGTTGGTAATACGGTGTCTGTATGTGAGAGACTGGTTGGTAATACAGTGTCTGTATGTATGAGAGACTGGTGGCCAATACGGTGTCTCTATGTACGACAGACTGGTGGGTAATACTGTGTCTGTATGTGAGAGACTGGTGGGTAATACAGTGTCTGCATGTATGAGTGATGGTGGCTAATACGGTGTCTGTATGTGATATACTGGTTGGTAATACGGTGTCTTTATGTGTGATAGGCTGGTTGGTTATACATTGTCTGCATGTATGAGAGACTAGTCGGTAATACAGTGTCTGTATGTGATAGACTTGTGGGTAATACAGTGTCTGTATGGATGAGAGACCGGTTGGCAAAACAGTGTCTGCACGTATGAGAGACTGGTGGGTGATACAGTGTCTGTATGTACGAGAGACTTGTGGGTAATACAGTGTCTGTATGTATGAGAGACTGGTAGGTAACACAGTGTCTGTATATTTGAGAGACTGGCTTGTAATACGGTGTATGTATGTGATACACTGGAAGGTAATACAGTGCCTGTATTCATGTATTCATGTATTTATGAGAGACTAGTGGTTCATACGGTGCCTGTACGATGGACTGGTTGTCTGGGGTGTTCAGCTAAACTTCTGTTCTGGATCGAGAAGGGAGACATAATACCCTGAATAAATGAGGATGGTTTTCATCAGTGGTGTAGCCACGAGTGAATTTGTCAACTATGTCGAGTCATGAGATGATACAAATATGTTTTTGTCAAGAAAAGACAAATGTTCTATTGATGTTTTTTCTGAAAAATCTCACTCGGTAAATCCATGGTGTCATTGAGGCAGACTGAAAGCAGTTCATGCGTGACGTTTTATTTCATATCAAATTTAAAAAAATTAAATTAAGAATTTGTACAGCGCATTTTCCAAATAACAATGCTTCTGTATGCGCTTAGACCGTAATTGGTCTCGTCAAAGGCTTTCTTGATGAGACATGTCTTTAGTGTCTTCTTAAAAGTTTTTCAGATTTTCTTCTTCTCCTATTTCTTGTGGTGGATTCTTCCGTGGCAATGATGCATCATGTTGAAATGCCCCCCCCCCCCCGACATATGTTTTGGTACACTGTCGTGTTTTGGTACGACTACATAGCAGATGTTAATCTGAAACTCAGCAGTGTTCTGGACTCGATTTGTATTCTATTCTTATATTTTGTAGATATATTTTTCAAATATTATTTCTTGGACTAAATGTTAATCTAGACCAGAGAGAACGTGCCGTTTTTTATAGTATAATCAGTGCCTGTGCGTATGCAGGACCCAAATCATTCAGACAACCAATTCATCGTATCTTGCATAAAATTCTGGTTTCAGAAATGCCCGCTGAGAAATCTTTCGGAACATATCTTAGGTAACTTGCTTATCTCGCATATGCATCGTTTCGTTTCTGAAATGAACCGATGTTTATCCAAATGCATTGGTAAAAGGGAAGAAACTCGGTTCGTTTGAGTCGTCTGCTACGGGTTGTGCAAACTCAATCAAACTTACTGCATACATAATCCGGGTCTGTATGAATGAATGTCGACAAGATAAATTCTTTGTCAACCGATCCAACTTATAATGCCAGAAAAAAAGTTCAAACCTTCAGCTGTTAGGTTCGTTAGATAACTTACTACTGGCTAACCGTGAAGATCCGGGGTGAAATAGGTCTTCAGCAACCCATGCTTGCCGTAAAAGGTGACTATGCTTGTCGTAAGAGGCGACTAACGGGATCGAGTGGTCAGGCTCGCTAAATTGGTTGATGCATGTCATCGTATCCCATTAGCATGGATCGATGCTCATGATGTCAATCACTGGATTGTCTGGTCCAGACTGGATTATTTACAGACCGCCGTCATATAGCTGGAATATTACTGAGTGCGGCGTTAAACAACAAACAAACAAAATGAAGCACATGTTCGCCAAGAGATATTTTAAGCCCGTTCCCTTCGGTTCATGAACAGCATGTTTAAAACATAAAATTTTGATTAATGTTGTTTCACATTTTTCTTTCGATTTATAAGTTGGATAAAAACCTTCGGCCCTCCCCAGTTTCCCTCTTCCCAGGGATCAGGGGAGGAGGTTTTATATCCTTTACATCGTAAATTTCTTGGTACCTGTATGTCTTCATGATTATGGAATGTGTCATTAACCAGTCAGCGGTCAGCCCTGTATCCGTATGACAAATCACGCATCAGCTTCGCGTTGCTAAGAAACACAGCATCTCAGCATGGAGCACAGGTGGTCTTGGTTTAGCAAACCTTCCACTTTAGTAAAACTGTGTGGATCCTGCCTACCTCTCAAGACATCGTTGTTAGGGGAAACAGCATAAACTTTAACTTCATGACCGTGGTGTGGGTCCTCACAGCCTGCATTTCTCATACAGAAACGCATACCACGTGGACGGCGTCGTACCACACTATTCTCCATGCTGGACTATGCACACTCTTGCAATATGAAACTGTTAAATGCTTCGGGATCTAATATTCCAAATGTAGTTTCCCGCATAGATCTACCCATCTGAATAATGTTATCATGGCAAACGAATACATAGTCTACCCCAATGGGGATTCCGGGTCAGAATGGATCCCGAACAACCTATGCTCGTCTGGAAAGACTACTGAATGCATCGGGTGGTCTGAATTGGTGAGTGATCGACTGCGCGTCTACGTAGCCCGACGACGTGGGTCGTTGCTCATGACATCAATCCCCGGTTAACCCTGTCAGATTAATATAGGCCGCCGTCATAGAGCTGGACTATTGCGTTAAAATAAAAATCAAGCAAACAAACACAAGCTTTTCAAATCACTACCATATACACCGTTTGTTTTCGAAGTTATTTTATATGATTTTAGCAAAAATACCGTTTTGATCCACAGTTGGTTATATCTCAGTAGGAAAATCTAAACGGAGCTTGACAATATATATACTTCTTGCAATAGCATTGAAGCAACTGTATCGAAATATAGGTTACATCCAATAAGACATGGAATTAGGCAGTTGTCACACTTTACAGACACAAACAGTCTTAGGTTTCACATGTATCACCTTGTAACCTAAACGTCAGCCATTCACAGTGTCCCTGGGAAGCATAGCGTCAAGGTCAGCCACCACATACGCCGCTACCGCCCAGATGGCGGAACAAAGGTCAAGGACGCCCGAGTCCTCCACCGTCATCATGTCGCCGTTGCTGTGGTGGAAATAGAAGTAGTTTTGGTTGTCGTTCTCTATGCTGCCGCTGGGGACACCGATGTTCTTCCATAGACCTGTGTCACTGACATCGGCGGGACTGTAGAGGGTTGTCCTGTTGATGGAACTAAGGAGCTGGGCGACCTCTTTCATGATTGCTGTCGCTGCCTTGTTGCCAGAGAACTGGAGACCTCTTGGGTTGAACGTACCGAGATCCGATTCCATTACCAGGTCGTGTTTAGGTATTTCGTTCTGGTGGTCCTTGAAATACTGCTTTGCCCCATATACCCCCTCCTCTTCTGCAGTCCACATGATCATCCTGAGGGTACGCTTCGGGCGGAGTCCCAGTTGTCGGACGAGAGACAGGGCCTGCCAGGAGATGAAGGCACCACCACCGTCGTCCATCGCCCCCTGCCCCACGTCCCAGCTGTCAAGGTGGCCGCTAACTATCACGACTTCATCCGGGTATGTACTCCCTTTAATCTCAGCTACTGTGTTTCTGGACTTCACCATGGGCAAATTCTGAGCTTCCATCTTGAGGTTGATGACCATCTTCTCCCCTCTCATGGACATCCTGTGCAGCATCTGGGCGATCTCTATCGTGATGCAGGCAGTGGGGATCTTGGTGACGTTGTCGCTGTAGTCCTGCCAGCCGGTGTGAGGACTGTCTATAGAGAAGGGGGTCACACTACGTATAAGAGAGGCCACAGCACCCACTTTAGCCGCCTCAACCGCTCCCAGTGAACGATACTGGACAGTATCTCCATACCCTACCCAGTCCTCGTTATAGACCACTATCTTCCCGCGGGCCTCGGCAGCCCTCTGCTTCAGCTCAGCAAACGTCTTGACTACAATCACCTCGGCCGTGATGCCCTCAGGAGGGGTGGCAATGCTACCCCCGAGTCCCAGTATGTTGAGGGGTAGGATTCGTGGCTGCTCGAGGGTGGCAGACTCCCTCCCCCTCACCCAGTGGGGCACCATGGCGGACTCTCCGTGTACATTCTCCAGATCATCCTCCTTCAACTTCTTCATCATATAATCGATGGCGTTTTCAAGATTCTGAGAACCGGCGATGCGACTCCCGAATGTGTCCACAAACTCGGCCAGTCGGTTGTATGTCTGTCCTTTAGCACTTCCATTGACCACCAGGTTAATAATCCGTTCCGCATCAGCTCGGTGACTTTCGATTTCATTTTTTAGACTGGGAAACTTGACTGGACCCGCAGACACACAATGAATTGAACTGAGCAACAGGATAGCCAACGACTTCATTGTTTGATGAACTGAAATGGACTACCTACACTGATAATAAAGGATGTGAGGTGACCTCGTGAACGACTACGAAGTAGGTCACTACCACGGCATTTAAGCCCGATTGATGTGCCAAGATCAGCGTTCATCACGCGTTAAGTCTATATACCTGTAGACATCTGACATCTTCACGTCAGAGGCCCACGCTGTGCACTGTGTCTCACTGCGGGAACTTATCTCGAACGTGGCTATAAACCATACGAAGATCGCGATTTCGATTTTTCCACAATTTAATAACAATTTAAAAATCCATGCACATGCTCTGTTGAATTATGTACATTGTCACAAGCTTCATCGTGAAAAACACTTTGGTGTTGTTTGTTTTGTCGTTTATTTAGCCGTGATATTATGTCTTCATATTGAACATAATGACCCCAAAGATCAGGTCGACTAGAAATAGTGTTTGTTTGTGTGTTATTTTGTTTAACGCCGCACTCATTTCAGGTATATGACGGCGGTCTCTGAATAATCGAGCCAAGACCAGACAATCCAGTGATCAATATTGTATGTAACGACCCACGCCTTCGGGTTACGCAGGCACACAATCAACCAAGTTACCGAGCATGACCACCCGATCCCTTCAGTCTCCTCTTATGACAAACATAAATCGCTGGGGACCTATATTCTTTCCTGGAATCCAGTCTTGAAATGAGGATTGGGTCAATCTCACTAAAATCAGATCTTAGTTCTCGCTATCACTTTGTTTAGTGGCAGTGAGAACTTAGATCTGATTTTCATGAGATTGGGATTGGGTTAAAATTGTCACAAGGTACGAGGCCTGGTTGATTGCTACCACTTATTACAAGGCCAGGCTTTTTTCTTTTTTTTAAGATTGGGGATTTTTCAGCCCAAAGTCCAGGGTTGGAGGAGGGGAAAAAATGGAAACTTGTTTTTGTTTTACATTTTCTAAAAAATTAGAGTCGGCGGGTCCGTAATCCGAAAAATATAAAACGCCTGGCTTAAAGGGCAAGTTCACACGGAAATTAACCTATTTTTCTTGTACTTTTTCCACATTAAAAGTGTTAACCTAGAAGTGTCATAGACAAAAATATAAAAATATCACAATTAATTAACATATTTTTCGCATTAAAACGATTTATATTTTTCACATTTACAAAGTGTTCTATTTCCACAACAAAAACACCATGGCTTATGCCCCTTGCAATATGACGTCATTGGTGCCAATTGATAAACATTATGACGTCATCATGCTTTGTTAGAGCCGCTTCACGTGGTGTAGGTCTAGGTGTGTGATTCTAGCGTCTCAGATGCCAGCCAGCATAGTGTAATGCTGAGTCACCACTGCGCCGGAGTGTGTCGTAGGCCATGTTGTTTTACCGCAAACTGGTACTTCATATCTTTTGCGTTGAGAATAGACAGGGACCCAGTTGAATTGGCACCAATTACGTCATAATCTAAGGGGGATAACTCAGGCCTGTTTCGCTCGAAAAACGAAGGCCTCATAACGGCATATCATTTTCACACTATTGTGAGCTTCCTACTTTCACTGTGAAAAAAATGAGTGTATATTTTCAAACACAGATACTAATTAATTCTAAAATTGCGTTTTGTTTAGAAAAAGAAAGAAAGTGATTTTTGCGTGTACACTTCCCCTTTAAGCTAACTTAATGATGGGTGTAAGTGACGTCGGTCGTCATGTGAACAAGAATGGTTTCCCGGTGAATAAATATTGATTTCAACAAAATGTTCTTTGTGTGGTGTAGGAATAACATGACGCAGGTTTCTTGATAAATGAATAGTGTTGATATGCAGTTAGTCCTTCATAGAACAGGCGGTTTGGTCTGAAATCAGGAAGAAACTGTGCATTACCACAGAGCTGTATCGGGACAAATATTGACTGATATTGTGCAGTGACTTTGGTTTTGCTTTGAATATTACTTCAGTCGTATTAGGAGCGGTCAGCCTGAAGTGGGAGGAGAACCAAACTGATGACGTGGAAGGAAGATGTTAATTGATTTAACGCGGCATCAGCAATATTGCAGTTATTCTGGATGATTACTACTTTGGTAAAACCATAGATCACAGTTATACAAAATTTGGGTTTACAACCAAGCATCAGCAGGTTCTGGCGCGACTAATGTACAGTATTCTCCACTGGGAATTGTGGTTCCAAAGACAACTGACCCCTTTGCAAGGGTGAGGTTTGCTATGTGCCCTCCAGATGCCAATGAAATGAGATATGATTGACGCAATGTAGAGCCAATGAGATAAGAACATTGGATATCTTCTTTCTAAAAAGTTGCTTTCATGTACTGCATTACATTATTGTCATGTGATCTTTGTCAAATTGTTTGTAAAAGGTGTAGCTTTTTATTTGGCTGCCAGTGACCATGTGTGTTGGCAAGTGACGGAACAGCAATCAGTGCCCAAAGATCTCCTGCTCCTTTGGGCTTAGCCTTGAATAAGCCATAAAGAACATAGTTTCAGCCAAGCATCCAGTTAAACTAGAAGAAACACCCACTCACTCACTTGAAACCTGTAAACTCAAGTAACTTTTAAGAGCATTTTTATTGCACAGGGTGCAAAGAGTTTATCTACAGGCAAGGCGGGTAGGGATTTACAGTTGTGGACAGTCAATGGCAGTAATCCTACCACCAAAGGACCCAAGTAATTAAGTGAATTGTGATCCACATACCTCACAGATTTCTTGTATTCTTCTGTCTCCAGATGGCAATGATTTGGTTTGTTTGTTGTTTAACACCACACTCAGCAATATTCCAGCTATATGACAGCAGTCTGTAAATAATTGAGTCTGGACCAGACAGTCGAGTGACTGACATCATGAGCATCAATCCACGCAATAGGTGAGTGAGTGAGTATGGTTTTACGCCACTTTTAGCAATATTCCGGCAATATCAAGGTGGGGGGACACCAGAAATGGACATTGTACCCATGTGGGGAATTGAACCTGGGCCTTTGGCGTGATGAGATTCTGAAGACCTATTCTACCCCAGAATGAGGTTTAATTATTACACATGTGTAGCAAGGTGTGTCTGTAGTGTGTATGTACTAGCCAAGACTAAAGCTGGTTTTAGTGCTATCCCACTGAGATCACCTGCGGATGTTCAACATGGCTACCCCACTCAGGTGCAGTATACAGACTCGGAACCGACAAGTCCTTGTTTTATCCTTTAAATGCAAAGCACTACTACAAATTACTATCTTTCATCTTTCATGTTTTGGTATGACATGGCCAGGAATCGAACCACTCTCCGCTCTATGGGCAGACTCTATCCACGAGACCACAGCCTGTCACTGACGGCAGTGATGAGCCTTAGCCTTGCACATGGTATCAAATGGAACCCAATGTGCAGACCAAACTGACACTTAATCCAAGGCACGGGAAGACACAGAATCCTGGAATAAGAGTGAGCCTTTTAACTGTTCAGTTATATCACAGGTTGACAGCTAAATGTGAGGAAAAAGCCCATACTAACACAGGCCCACTGTAAAACCCCACAGCCAGGTGTAGCGCTCAGAGCAAAGGGTTTCAATCTGTGACACTACACAACTATGGAGCACTGACAATGATGTTCAGAGACTTAATGGTTCTGCTGGAAACCCCCAAAGACAGGCAGGTAATTACGTCCTTCATCTGGGTCATCACACATTTTACCCATGAGGGAAGATCCAGGTTTTCTTCATGACAGCACTTCAATTACTCGGCTGTTACCCCAGCCACCATGAAGATCTTGGTTTGAACTGGTGTTCAGCAACCCATGCTTGTTGTGAGAGGGGACTAACAGGATTGGATGGTCAGGCTAGCTGACTTGGTCTATGTATGTCATCATGTCCCAATTGGTTGGTTGGTTGGTTTGTTGTTTAACACCGCACTCAGCAATATTCCAGCTATATGATGGCGGTCTGTAAATAATTGAGTCTGGACCAGACAATCAGGTGATTGATATCATGAGCATCAATCCACGCATTTGGGATTGATGACATACATCAACCAAGTCAGCAAGCCTGACCACCAGATCCCGTTATTCGCCTTTTACGGCAAGCATGGGTTGCTGAAGACCTATTCTACCCCAGATCTTCACGGGTCTGTCCCAATTGCACAGATCTAAGCTCATAATGCTCACTGGATTGTCTGATGAGTGTGCAGACTGCCATCAAAGATTGTAGCTGGAATATAGCAGAGTGTGGCGTTAAACAATAAACAAACAAAACAAAACCTAACCAACCGCCCAAGAGTGATTATCAAGGCCATTATAAAGCATTCACTATCAAGAAATCATAGATGTTTGTGTTGATAATGGCAAAGATAAACATGGATAACTGCCAGTTTTGGAATCTGTTTCTAAATACATGCATAGTATTTATTCTGTTTTGAGCAGAAAACATATGGTAAACAGATGATTCACACAAGAAACAATGCATTGGTGGTCTAGCAGATTTTATTAAAGAGGGACAAGGTGACTAGGCTCATGCAATAACATTGAATCAATAAAAAAAATAGAATTACTCATTTGCTACCAAATACATACAAATCTAGCAATAATGTATAATGCTATTTACAGAGAGACACTATTGCAAATTAATGGAAAACAGACAGAACAACTTCTATAGAGAGACACTTGAAATGGCACCAGACATTTAAGTCTGGTCTCCCTCCAACAGATCAAGCCTAATATTTAAGAGTTTTTACCCTACTTTTTGAGGTGTGACTTCCACAAATAAACCTGTAGGAGCACAGGCCAATACACATGTGTAAGTAGGGTCCAACTCCCCATACAGAGACACAGGGGGGGGGGGGGGGGGGGGGGGTGCAGGGATGCCCAACTACAGCCATAGAAAAAGTATCAAGGAAACCAGAATCAGGACTGAAGCGCAACTAAGTTACTTTCTTATTTTGAGGGCAAGCCCAAACACAATACTACACCTAGCAGTCCACAAAGACCATTTTTTATATGTTTATAATAGATGACTTGAATGTTTATAAGGAAATCAATGTTGTCAGTGCAATAATGTATGTCATAGGAAATCATTAAAAGTGGTCAAAATCCGATTTCTCAAAGGCAAAGCAAGGGTCATATGTCATCAGTTCAATGTCAAAAACAATACATTATTACACAATAACAACATTAGGCACAATGGTAGCCAAAAGAACTATACAGTTTATCATCCATGACATGATGAAGTTGTGGGAGAAGTGTGACTTCAGATGAAATTGACATAACGGCTCCTGCATACGGTACATTTAATGGTCCACAGCATATAATACAGATTCACGATAATTAAAGGCTATATACAAATACATTGCAATATTTCTAACTGTGACTGAAATCGACAGGTGAGTGGCATATGATCTGACTCTCACCTAGATATGACATCAAACTGGCTGCACAAGGTAAATAAACCAGTTGACCAGTTTTTATCCAAATGTATTAAGACTGTCATCACATGAGAAATGTTTTATGTCAATATTATCACCAAGATCAGAGAAATCCTCAATTCCCAGCCTTTCCACAAGGTCACAACTGAATCTGGGGCAGTCCCATAAAAATATGTACATCTCCAAACTTACCCGGTATGAAGTACATCAACAAGCGAGTCAAACATAGGCTTCTTCCACATCCAGAGAGTTTGTTTGCATTCCACCATGATCCACACGGGTTAATGTAGACACAAACAACTAATAAGTCTTTGTCTAGATCAAGTATCGACTTATCAAATACTATAAACACAACATTTTGGCCAATCACATAACCATTCACATAATCTTTTAATGTTTTTCTGACAAAAAACACAATTCCTCCAGACAGTCTTCTAAATGACCCTTTTTTCTCAGCTAGGAGTTCATAGGCATGGAATAGTCACATTCATGCTCCACTAAGACTAGTAATAGCAAACCAGTATATATAGTCAATGAAGTGGAAGCAATTTAATTTATTTGTTGTAAGTCCAGATATATTACAGAATAGAAAGGATTAATAAGGGCAGAAGTGGCACGGCATGGGCCACACCCCTATGCTGATGTCTTTTGTTTCCTTTAGACTATCACTGTTTTGGTTGACATTGTCAGACACACCAAACAGCAGTATATTTAACTTTCTACTGTATTGTTCCAAGCGATCAATAGGTAGCTTCCATGTTTTTTACCTTTTGGAGAGTTTCAGAATTATCATCAGTTCATTTTTCTAGTATCAATCTTGACTTCACATATTTCTCAGGACAATTCACGCTTCATTGATCAAAGCTCTTGTAAAATATCCTTTTTGAGTGATGCATATTCATCCACCTAGGTGGCCCAGAGTTTAAATCGACATCACCAGACAACAATAAATAATTTCCAGGCTCACATAAAACCGCACTCAGACTGATAATAGTACAAAGAAACAAAAATGTTGCCACGAGCCGGTAGCCAACCCCACTATCGGAGGACCATCTCGTTCTCGGGGTACACTGGCCAACATGGCCGATTTGTCGTGTGCCTCGTGGGTGGGAAAAACTGCCAATTCTAACCCTCCACGTTTCTACGGATATACCCATAGAACATAAATGAAGTCTTTGATGTGTTGTTAACCAGTATGTACCAACCAGAGGTTATGGGCTGTCTTTGGCTACTCACAAAATTACTCACAGAATTCTGAATTTGAAACTCATGTAAATCAATGGATTTTGATTGTTGCTGTTTCTTAATTTAATAATTTAATGATGCTGACAATTTTCACAGAATCTTGCCATAAGAGCGTTAGAAAAAAGAAAGATTTAGTGATAAATGACGTAATAGTGCATAAAACAAAAAGGAGACAAGGCTCTTGACCTCATAGGCTCCGTTCACAAACTTTGCTTACATAATTGGTAGTCCCTTAAGCACTGCTGTTCACCTGGATATACATGTATAGTCAACATTCTAACGGTCCACAGAGACAGCCACAAAGATCAATTGATGCAAATGGACAGATATGAAATATGATACTAAAAGCATTTCTTTGTGTGCAACATTAATGATATGCAAGGAGTAGACCACACATCCCTTTTCTGCCACCCACAGGTCAACACTGAGCTTTTTGAGAAGATTTAAGAACAAATAAAGTATTTTTGTCACATTGTTCCATTAAAAGATAAACTTCCAATGTTGATGTTTTTCACAAGACTCCCAAAATGGTGACAAGGAACATGGTATCAGCTAACATCTTTTAACAGTTTCATATTTCAAAAATCACAGTGTGTCCGCTTATATAATGAGTGAGTGAGTATGGTTTTACGCCGCTTTTAGCAATATTCCAGAAATATCACGGCGGGGACACCAGAAATGGGCTTCCGAATTGGGAATCTTACACGTGGTCTTCGGCGTGACGAGCGAATGCTTTAACCACGAGGCTACCCGACTGCCCGCTTATATAATGGAGGTAAGCCTGAAGTGATGTATGTCTTAGACGTCTACCACTTGTGATGAAGCCCTAGAGCAATGGATGCTTAACAACAGTACAACATTGTCAAGATTGACAGAAGGTGAATGCTGGTCATAATGCTGGACATGAAACTACTCATTGTCAGTATCAGGCAAAGTAAAAAACTTTAACTTTTCTTGAACTTTGGAAAATAATGCCAGCTATCGAATTTGACAATTTTCTGAAACTGCTGATGTGTCAAAGCACATCTTTTTGTAAAACTAGAAAGTAGAAAATCTCTTTAACCTCCTCCATTTCTGTCCAAATAGATGCAAATCATAATACCTTTCAGATCAAACTCTGAGACAACGTTCCAACTTTCTAAGAATGCTGTGTTTTTGTACAGATGATGTTTTCAAGAAATGTTACATTTTAAGTGAGTGAGTGAGTTTGAACGGTGTCTAGCCGGTTGAGCCACATTTAAAAAAATGACTATTGCAGAATGCGCCACATTTTCAGCTGTGCGCATTTCACCTACTCTAGCCGGTAATTAATTAATCAGATTACCGATACCTTTAAATGAGTGTCCCACATTTAAATTGAGTAAACTCACCTCAATTAGCTTGTACAGATTACTAAGCGTGGTGTTCTTTAGAGATCAATGGCGGTCTTAAATGACATTGAGTTAATCCTGTTATTTATAACATATTTAAGTGACGTCCTGTTCACTCCATGTCAGAACCATGGTAAATGCACAAGTTCAAATAAAGTTCATTGAAAGTGGCAGAGGAGTCACTCACAGAGGTTGCAGTCCTGAGACCCTCTCACCAGTGGTCAGAACCTTCACGAAGAAGGAAGTACAAAGAAATCGATGCTTGTATTGCATCGCTCAAGACCCAGCTCCTGAGATGGAATATGCTGACCACGTGGGCGACCTCCTTCATCTGCAGTAATGACATTATGGTAGTGTTCGGCATCATCAAGTCATGCAGTAGCGTAATACATCTGTGTCTTACATGTAAGTGCAAACATTGTCATTGTTTTAGATGGGCTACACAACAATTCATAACACAATCATGACCTGTAATGTGACAATGTAATATGACCTGTCATGATATCCATCAATGTAATGTTGAATATATTATCCCTGTTATGATCTGAATAAAAAAATGAGAAAACAAGACTTGTTTTGTTAAATACGGTAACCTGTTAGAATCACAAAGCATGTTTTGACAGCATAGCCACGAGAGCCACATTCCACAATCACACAACCATAACCATTGCCCCGCGAGCCACATCAATTTTGGCTATCTATTTTCGAAATGTGGCTTAGACGGCCTGTAACCGTTTGAACAGTATTTCAGTTGCATCAAAGTGTGCCACCTATGTGAGTCCTATTTCCTTTTTAGAAGAGCTGACTGTGTAATGGCCGAAAATGAGCTTTACAACCAGGCTGCAATGTTGGATATAATAAAAATCAACTGGAACCTCTCATTCCCACTTATTTGTCATCAACTGACAGGCAGAAGTATGCTCAGCTTCACTGGTCCAGTAGTTTCAGGGAAGATGTTTCAGACAATGCTGACTACGTGGATGCAAGATGAAAAGGCCATGCCATATGGTCGAGGTGATCAATGAATCTACAGATAGCCAATTCAAAAAATCTGATCATTTCAAGTTTTCATTGTGCTAAATAGTCAAAAGATTACGAAATAATGAATTACAAAAGTAAGGTACACAATCAATGTGGATATCATTCCGTGGGCATGTGACGTCATCATGTATTTGTAATAAGTAACAACAAGATAGGTTAATCACTTGAATTTAAATCAGTTTTCACTTCATCATCTTCTGCCTTCTTGTGGCTCCTCAACTTCCTCAACTTCAGCACCTTCAGCACCACCAGCACCACCAGCACTACCACTACGGATATGGCCAGCAATCCCCCAGTGATGCCTATGGTTAACCCTGTGTTATCATTGGTTGCCTTTTTAGGTCCTGCAACAATAAGAGCCTCACATGACACATACAAACTTCACCTGAGAAGCTAATGTCCTACTCAAGATACCGGCAGATAGTAGCAATGATACTCCAATAGGTTGTGATGTTATTTTTGAAGACCATCTCTTGAGATCATGTAGGTTACATGTTGCAAGTTCAATCCCAGAGAAAGTAACACTGTAACTTAGCTTAATAATCAGCTGCTCCAAAGCTCATTGTAAAAGCAAGGATGCTGTACATAATTGCTTGACCCAACTAACGTATTCAACGTATAAGTGTGTGTGTGTGTGTGTGTGTGTGTGTGTGTGTCGGGGGGGGGGGGGGGGGGGGTAATTTCAGTTAAAAATACAGAATTGAAAGATCCTAAAAAATTTGTGGTTTGGCAAACGCAGATAATTATCTGTGTCCGTATTTTACCCCTTTAGATATATATGTCTCTTACAAATAATACTATGTAGCAAATACGGCTGTGGGTGCTTATTAGAGCGAGGCGCTAATTACGTCGAATATGATATGTCATATGACCAAACTTTAAACCTATCGTAGTCCAGTTCAGTAGACTTCAAAAGGACTTTTACAGACATACACAGAATATCATTTCCTTTGGTTACCATTTAAAATATGAGTAGCCTAAACCGTACTTCCTTCATTTGTTTGTTTGTTGTTAAACACTGCACTCAGAAATATTCCAGCTAATGACAGAGGCCTGTAAATAATCAAGACTGGACCAGGCAATCCAATGATTGATATTGTGAACAACAATCCATTCAGTCGGGGTACGATGACACATGGTCAACCAAGTCGCCAAACCTGACCACCTGATCCATTTGGTCCCCTCATTCAACCAGCAAAGATTGCTGGGGACATATTCTAACCCAGCATCCCCACAAGCTCTTCCCAGAAGAGTTCTAAGAGCTTGTACGACAGTGCCTGCTTACCGCCTTCTTCATTAGTCACATATCCTGTTTGACTTTGCAGCAATTGTTGATAATTGTTGTTGGTGGCATTACAGTAGTACCGACCCTGGTCAGACGGACTTGCCGCAATGATGGTGAGCATGCTGGTGGTGGAATTGCTGCTCACTAACCCTCTTTTACCAGGGACAATTGGTTTACCATTCTTGACCCAAGTGATATTGACCGGTGGGCTTGTGCTGTTGATGGAGCACTCCAGAGTAAGGTTCGATCCTTCTTTGATGGTCTGGTTTTTGGGGGATGTCAGGAAATCTGGCAGATATGAAAAACAATAACACAAATTCTCACTATCATCTTCAGACATGGCCAACTGAAAGCTCCCTTGGGGTAATCAATATGGCTGCCATACTGAGGCTGAAAAAAATAGAGGTCTTGGTTCTCAGGCACCGATGCATCATCATAACCTTTTCCCAGGTTGATTGTACACAACCGTTTATTTGGTTACATACCAGTTTGAAAAATAAACACCGCCCGCCCACACTACATTTGCAAATGCCATTGCCTGAGAACCAATGCTTTTATCTTTTTTAGCCTGAAATTCAAGACAGTAAACTCTTGAACAAACTAAGTGTCAACATCGGGAACATGTCAGTTTATTGTAGAAAAACTACAATATTTTTCTACCTCTTATTTAAGATTGTTTTTGTTCTCGGAACGGAGGAACCAAATACTGGGGGGGTACCACAACTCTTCTTTTGTTTAAGGACATACAGTATTTCCAGTAAATAGGGATGAGTATTGGAGGTTTAAAATGTATCACAATATTTTGCAATGCACTAGGTCGTATTGTGATATGTATCACGATATGTTGTATAATTCTAAATTTATAATTCAAAAGCAATCCTTCTCCTTTTTTGTTTCTTGTTTAAAGCCGCACTCAGCAATATTCCAGCTATATGACGACAGTCTGTAAATAGACGAGTCTGGACCAGACAATCCAGTGATTGACATCATGAGCATCAATCCACACAGTAGGGATACCATAACATGGATCAACCAAGTCAGTGAGCCTAATCACTAGATCACGTTAGTCGCCTCTCATGACAAGTATAGTCGCCTTTTATGGCAAGCATGGCTGGCTGAAGACCTTTTCTACCCCGGATCTTCACAGGTCCAGAAGAAATCTGATACATTAAGGTATGAACTGAAGTTCATATATGGAACAAAACAAGATGCTGGTACAACATAATGTGTACTCATTCAATAAATATGCAGCCATCTTGGGGCCTTAGATGCATGATGTGGGGTAGCGAAGACATTTGGCAAGTATATAACATTAAACATATGATTAAAATCCCAAATTGAAAACTCCCTATATATCAAGCATGAAAAAATGATATTGTGATACATGTTGTGGAAAGAATGAACCTCAATTAACCGATATACTGGTAATACCTCACACCCTTACCAGTGGACATATTTTTGATGAGCGTAAAACCTAAAATGTCTTCCCACAATATTTTTTTGGTATATATTTTTTTAAATAATTGGAATCTGTGTATTCCCTAAATATACTTATCTAACACAACAGTACGCAATATACCTTTTTGCTTCAATCATAAAACAGTGAAAACATTGTAGAACATTCACCCGAACACCCCCTCCGACCCCTTCGATCTCAGCATTCTACACTGTTGTTTTTTTACATGGCTATTTTATTGTTACAGATCGGGCCTGACACCCAGGGTAGTGCCTGGGCCAAGTTAGAACAGATATACAGACAGCTTTAGCAAGGTTATTAAATGAGTTCCAGGAGCAATAATTATGCATGTTGATACTAACAGAAAGATTGATACTGGAGGTGTAGATATCATGGACTCAGATTGTTTATAAATGGGACATTGACATAGACACTCCTTCACACACACATCCACTCACTTTCTGTGCTATCCCTTAAAAAGGTTGAATATAGTGACATCAAAACATAAATTTACGTCTGCAAGAACTATTGTACATATTAAATAAAGATCACTGAGTTCCAGAAGTAGACATATCTACATTAGCTGGTTCATGGTAAAACATCCACTTGGCATAGAACTAAGCTTGTTGACTTTTACTATGAGAAATATTTCTTTCAATGATATACCTGTTGTGAACATAATGTTTAAAGTGATTTAAATTTAGAGTTGTTGTCAAAACTGTACATTTATAAACAAGAGTCATCAGAAAGATGACATATCCCCCCGGCAGCTGTCTGTAAAGTAACCACTAGTAAATGTGCAATTCTGTATGTAATGAGTCAACAGTTGAATGTTCTTTAAGAAGCATACATTGTTTACCCACTGAATCGTTTTCGAATTCTGGCCCGGAAATGAACCCGTTCCCCAATGGAGTCTAGGTCCAACTTCTTTCCATAAAAATTGTAAAAAATAAAAATTCGTAAAAAGAAAAATATCAAAAGGCACCACTTCGGTATGTGCCTGATAGCTTTGCCAAGTTTCGATCAAATAAACTGAATGGTTTTGGAATTCTGCCCCGGAAAAGGAAATGATTACGGACGGACGGATGGGCGGACGGACAGACAGACTGGCTGATCGCTATATCCCCCCGCATTATATGCCGGGGGGATAACAAAGAAGAAACCAAGAGCAACAATAGATTAAATACATTTTCAGTATATATACATTCTCCTTCAAACCAAACAGCTGAAGGTCAAACTTCAACTTGTGGATACGTGGATGTAGTGAGAAAGACTGGTGATGTTAAAGTATCGGCACAGCACACATACTGGGCAAAAGAGGGTTCGTATGTGTCACGAGGCCCAATGATGTTGGTCAGTAGAGAGGGTGAAGGTAAGTCTGACTGTACAGGCAATTGGTTCTTTGCATCAAGTCCCGCATCGGGGCAAGGTGTAACTTTGCTCGCGCCCCATGTCTGTCAAGGAGCTTTTTGAAACTAGCTCATCTTGTAAATGGACCACATGTGGAGAGCCAGCGACTCTGGGTAAGGATGCAATTGACGTGTGTGCAAATTTTTTAATAGACTAAGCACAGACAAACTACTCACTAGAAGACACCTATACAAGATGATAACTGACTCACATGAACCCTCAGCACAGACTAATATGTCCTTTGAAAAGTAGAAATAGTGCCATGATTACAATTTCACTGTTTTGTAGAAAATATGAACAATCATCATATTTAACGTTCATTTGGAGAAAAACAAAATTTCTTACTAGGCGTCGCAGAGTAGAAGCAGGTCTTGGGGCAGGTATTCCTAAATTCCTCTGCTGGTGGTCGTTGTAGACACTGCAGAAAATGTTGGAAATCTTTGCACTTAGGATCGGTGTCTTCCGTTGCATTATCTTTTAGTTCTGTTGAAAGAATATGTGTCAAAGTTAAGGATGGGATAGTTTTATGCATTACTGGTTCATAATCAGTCGGGCTAACTAGAAAGGTGTTTAATTTACATGCCAAAGCAGAAGCACACCCTGTCCCCCCTTTCCTGAAAATCTAAAACATTGCCACAAGAAGCATGTATCCTGAACCATTTTGACTTCACTATACTGAGTGAAAGTTAACCAATATCAATCTATCTTAACATGTGACCCATAATCTATTGTGCAGTAAAATTTGGCCCTATACTTCTAGCTTAACAAGTTTAACAAAATCAGTTCCAGTTATGTAAAACACATGTGCAATGCAGTAACTTTAAATCAGAAGGTTCTATGCCTGTAGCCACTTTCTAACAAAGTCATAATATTCATCTTCATGATAAATGTCTGCCCAATGCAGGACAACTAGTGACTAAAGTCCTATGCCTCTAGCTACCCTAATAAAGAAGTTATAAGGACTTCAAGTCAAATGACCAAATATCTCAGCCAACAGATGCCAGAGAATACCATATTTGGTGAGTGAGTGAGTATAGCTTTACGCCGCTTTAAGCAATATTCCAGCAATATCACGGCTGGGGACACCAGAAATGGGCTTCACACATTGTATCCATGTCAGGAATCGAACCCGGGTCTTCGGCGTGACGAGCGAAAGCTTTAACCACTAGGCTACCAGACTGCCCCAATTTCATACTGAAAGTTTAGTTGTTACAAATGTAAAGTCATTGAGCAATACTGTAAATTAATTATACTGTTCTGAAGTCTTTAAATGCTACAAAGAGCTGACCTTGATAAATGCTGTACTAGTAACCTGAATAACAGAACCATAATATTAGTTCACAAAGAAACTATTCTCTTGCAAAGATAAATAGAGCTTAAATAGGATATTATCATCAGTCTGAATTAGGATCACAAACTTTTCATGCTGATGTATCTTCAATCAGTATAATCACTGATCTCTTACATCTGTCATAAGGGTATGCTCGAGAAACCCAACTGTGGTGAGGACGTAGCTTACGTTTGAGAAAACAAAGAATAACACATTTTACAGGGTGCTGTGACATAAACAGTCTGAAGCAAACCTTCATGCAATTTCCACAACACCAGCACCATCAGTTCAATCTGCATTGAGTCAATCAGCTTTTAAATATCTTCCCTTCACGTCCTCAAATAAGTTTGAAAAAAGTGGGTTGTTGCTTGAATACAATATACTTACGACTGCAGATGCATGTCTTCTGGCAGTTGAGAAACAGCCATGTGACATTTACATGTTCATCATGGTCATGATCTGGTTCGCAATATTGATTATTTGAATATTGTGAACAGTTTGTCATGATATCTCGACAATCTGCAAATTAATACAAATATAGGTAAACATGGTAAACATCCAAATAAAATTTCTATGCACACACCAACAAGGTGAGGTGAGGTGAAATTGGTTTTAACGTCGCGTCCAAGATTATTGCACTTATATAGCGACGTGCATGCACGTGTGTGTGTGTGTGTGTGTGTGTGTGTGTGGCTGCTTGTACTAGTCCAGACTGATGCCGATTTATAGTGCTAGCTCACTGAGATACCATGCCGCAGTTTAACATGAATACCCCACTCAGACACAGTATACTGGCTCCGAGCCGACCAGTCCTTTGTTTTAGCCCCTTAATGCCGACCGCCAGACAGGGTAACAACAAGTACCATCTTTTAACATCTTTTGGTATGACGCGGCCGGGGATCGAACCCCGGACCTTCCGCTCTCCGGGCGGACGCTCTACCACTAGACCACGGAGGCGGTCCATACACCAACAAAGACTGTACAGGTCTAAGTATTGTTACACATGTTAGTGCAATCTTTTGAATGAAGATGAGAGTTATGTGTTACTGGTAGTGTTCTCTTTCACGCAATATTTGTTTCACAGGGATGATAATAAGCATGATAAACCATTCAAAAGAACTTGGTGCTTCTTACGTAACATCAATGTTCAATTTATTTGGAAATCTAAATTACCATAAACATGACAATGGTAAACGTGGTGCTGTGCCATAGTATATGCATATGTTTAAGATCGTAAAGGGTTTCACTACAACAAATACTGTGTAAACTACACACACTGAATGGGTTTCAAATAGATTCAGCTCATTCCCAACTGTTTGTATATCAACTTACCGGTACCCATCTGTGAAGAGCTTCCTTCAACACCAAGGACACAGAAGAGGAACAGCAATATTATTATCATCCTGAAAATTTATTAGTATTTTAATATTCAATCACAACTGGCAACACAACACAAAAGGAACACCAAGCTCATCTGGCACAACACCATTTAACACATCAGACAGCAATATTCTAGCAATTTCAACAAGAGTTTGCCACTAACGTGGCTATATCCCCAGCCTCTGTTGCAGAATTTATGACATAATTAAATCTAAACAAACCCTAACTTTTTTTAACCGAGGTGGAACTTGTCATGGAAATTGTAAAAAAAAGAATAGTTTGGAACCCAAGTCCATCTTGTTGCCATGGAAACATAAATTTTTTAAAAATTTCTAAAAAATTTAAATAGCAAAAGGCACCAGTTCAGCATGTACCTGACAGACCTGCAAAGTTTGATGAAAAAATCTATAACGGTTTATGAGTTACGCTCCAGAAACGAACCCAACCCTCACAGAACTTAAGTCCATCTTGTTGCCATGAAAACGTAAAAAACACAAATTTCTAAAATTTCTAAATAGCAAAAGGCACCAGTTCAGCATGTACTTGACAGACCTGCAAAGTTTCCTGAAAAACATTGAACAGTTTCTAAGTTATGCTCAGGAAAGGAAACGTGGTGGATGGACGGACGGACGGAGCACGTTTCTATATTTCTATATCCAACTTTGTTGGGTGGGGGATAATAACAGAGTCTGAACGAGGCAAATCAGTAGTTGATATCATCAGCTTTGCCCCATAGCACAGAGTATGATGACAGGCAGTCAAGCCAAGTCTGATCCCCTGATCCACTTAAGTCACCTACCACTACAAGCAGAGGCTAATTGTGACCAATTCTACCCTGGAAATAATATTTTTGCATTTGGCCAGGCATATTATCTGTGTAGTTCTCATCTCAATGCCCAGCATCAGAAGGCAGAGTCAGAAGAAAAGACACATAATACCTTTGATTGACTAGTTGTCATATATTATGACATGACCAAAAATGATTTACAATATCAGGAATATGACTTGTTATGCTATTATGGATAGTACATTTGAAAATTTTACAATAAATTGTATATTTATGATACTTATCCTATCTCGACAGACAAGTGAATGCATCCTTCAATCAGATACTCAGTCTGGGAGATGAATACACAATGCCATTTAGAAAGTGGTCAAATGTAACAAATGTTAAATTTGGGATAACACTTTCTTAGTAAAGTACAGATTCTCGTACTTTTTTAGGTTGAGTCCCGTGCGGGACAAACAGGTACAATTACTGTGTAGAGCCATACTACAGGTACAATTACTGTGTAGAGCCATACTACAGGTACAATTACTGTGTAGAGCTATACTACAGGTACAATTACTGTGCAGAGCCATACTACAGGTACAATAACTGTGTAGAGCTATACTACAGGTACAATTACTGTGTAGAGCTATACTACAGGTACAATTACTGTGTAGAGCTATACTACAGGTACAATTACTGTGTAGAGCCACACTACAGGTACAATTACTGTGTAGAGCTATACTACAGGTACAATTACTGTGCAGAGCCATACCAGAGGTACAATTACTGTGTAGAGCCATACTACAGGTACAATTACTGTGCAGAGCCATACTAGAGGCGACAGCGAGAGTTTCATGAGGGTTGGATGCTACAAGAGCTGAAAGGCCAGCAAAGGTTTAAGCTCGAAGGATAACTGATTGAATCCAATGCGAAATAGTGGTGTGAGAAATTTCCGTAACAGCTGTCGTAGTAACAGGATAAAAAGTTTCTTCCGAGAACGCCGAGGTTGGCACATCAGCTGTTGGAAGAGCCAGAAGAAAGACAGTTTTCAGCATAATGCATTCTCGGCAAGAGGTGTATAATCAGCCAAGCAGGGGTCCGGAAACCGTCATATGCGCCGGACATGTCCGATTGGGAATCTCAAATGTCCGTTTTAAAATATTGCTTACCGGACATTTTAAAAAGTATTGTCCGGACATTCTTAAATTTTGACCGGACATGATCAACAGTTAGGACTGAGCAGTTTCTGTCTGCAGTTGCAACACAATGAAGATTAACTACACTGACAAGCTTTGTTTGTTTTGATTGCTGTAAATACATCGAACCTACATGATAGTCCAATCGGTCAATCACTGTAATAGGCAATAAACTGAGTTGACACTGATTAATCGAGGATTAATTACTGAGAACATCTTGTTAATTTGAGTGAAAGGTGTTTACAACTGTACATTAATACCTTGCATCATCGATGTACCTCATTATCCTCACAATGCTACGATACGTAACCTCAGACAAGAAGCGAAAGCGTGACGACAGCCAGTCGACCGATGCAGATCAGTCGAGCGGATCTGCCAAACCCTCAGAGTCTGGACGATCATTTTGTAAGTCGTGCTTAACGACTTTCACATGGTTGACATACAATGAGGATTTGCAGATTTTATTGTTTTCAGTAGCTAGTCGTATATTGAATCTTGATTGACCGCCATTTTGCTTTCTCGGACGATCGATATCCAATTTTTTTATGGTCAATAATTAAGTACAGATGAAAAAAGTATTCAAATAACTATTGCTATCAACGATATTTTAGTATTTGTGATTAAATTATCTGTCTTGTTTTTAAAAAAATCTTTAGTTTAAAAAAACCACTTTTCCCGTGAGGTCACGTGATAACCAAATATGGGATAATAGTCTCGATCCAAATGTTACAACGCGTACACTTGAGCAGACTCATGAATATAACTCATGAATATTAATTAGACCGTTCACTACGTTAACAGATCATTTTTTAACAGAAACAAACGTATGTTTTCCATGTAAATCTAAAATGATATTATTTGGTATTAATTGTCAGGTGAATTAAACAATTTAAATTGAAACAATTCATAATTCATCATACTATGAATACGTAAACTTGTAATGTGTGTGAAAAGTCGTACTAAATACGCAATTTGAAGGGGGCGTGGCCTAAATGCAAATGTCCGATTGGGATTTTAAATTTTCCGGACCCCTGCAGCCAAGTATGATGTTAAGATCACAGGTCGGTCGTAACCGAGATGAATGGTCCGCCAACTTGTGAGACCGAATTAATGATTGAAGTTTAGCAACCATAGAGATCTCTGCGCCTGTTGTAGTAGCCACTACGGAACTGATTGCAGCTTTATTCATAAAACCCTTAACCCTTAAGTTGCCCAATGTAGCTCTTGCCCCAGAGAAGGAAAGCGCAAATGGAACAAGGTGTTGAATCTTCATTAAACAATTCTGGGGAATTCTTGCCTAGGTGTGTGTCGAGGAGGGCCCCGATAAACTGATAAACTGGGCCTTGACATTCCATCTAAGTAGAAGACGCTGCATGAAGTTGAGAAGTATGCCTGGATCTTTGTTTGCCTGAATGCAGTCGTCAATGTACGATTCAAAGATGATGTCTCGAACATGTAGGAATTTGACGATGGGCAAAGTGAGGCGGGTAAATAATTAGGGGACCGAAGATTGATTTCATTGATAGTGGCTGCCAAGGAAAATTGACTGGAGGAAAGGGTGGTGCATGGGGACATGTAAATACGTGTCCTGTAGGCCTTGACAGATCATGAAGTCGTGGGGATGAAGAATCGAACGTAGTAATGCAATTGACGTCATCCACAGAGGAATTAGTACGTGGGCCAAAGTTTAAGGCTGTCTTTCTTTCGGACCAGGAAGATTGGATAGCAGAAACCTGATATCGTGGACATAGCGTTCTTAACAGTAACATACCTATAGCATCTGTGAGAATCGGAAGCTGCTTGTCTGGATATAGGCATTAAAGAGGTGTCGCAATGAAGGGTAAATGATATCTGTTTTGAAGTTTGGAAGAGACGTAATACAAACGGAACGATCAGGATGGCCAAATTCTTTCAGAATAGACCCAATCTTTGGCCGGCCGGTGATGGAACCAACAGAACGGGTTGAGGCAGAACAGTCCTGTCGTTATGAAGAAAAGTCATTTGGAGGTTGTATCTCCTGATCTGGGTGATTCATCGCTACTTTTAGGTCTGGAGAAAGATACAGTATGTCCGCTTGATTTGCCACCAGGTTGCCCTGGCGACCACATCCCTGGTCACAAAAGGAGCTACATCTGACTAAGTTGGAGTGAAAGATGGTCATTTGTGTTCATTCTTTGCTCTTCAAGTTGGTTTCTCTGGAAGCGAAGTAGATCTACTGTTACTTAGAGAGAAGTGTCACGCTGGACTTCATGTGCAATGTCCTGGATGCACCCAGCAAAAAGGAAGGTGTTGGCAGTTGACGAAAACGATGCTTAAAATGATCATCCCAGGAGAAGAGTTGAAGGACACCCCATTGTCGAAGAGTGTTAATTGATCCCGCGTGATGGGCAAGATGGTCCAGTCTGGCCATCACCTTGTCTTGATCCAAAAGCTGTATCTAGACTGGTTTGTTTGTTGTTTAACGCCCCATGCATCAACCAAGTCAGCGAGCCTGGCCACTCGATCCTGTTAGTCGCCTCTAACGACCATCTTCCCGAGCCAAGAGAGTTAACTGACTATAAAAGTCCACCCTTGCGGAACTAGGCTGGTATTATGGACATTTTACTGGACTGGACTAACGAGTCTATGCATAGTCCAATCAAAATCTTGCACCGAAATCGAAATCCAGTTCGTAAACTGTCGTGCAGATTTCGGTCGATTGCAGGATTTGCAAAGCATGTGCACCGCCAACTGGTTGTCAGTAGATATTCCCCAAATCTTTTCATGTTTTTAATCAAGGTGCTCACGTGATTTGATGCATTTAGCGATGTAAGACCCGTTTTATAACAATATAGATCAATCAGATCATCCTGACTGGGCGCCACAGTTTTGTGTGAAGCAAACGCAAGTGATACGAGAGGTGGAATCTGATTGATCCATGGGAGAGGCTTAGAGGGGACATAACTGGTAATAGCCACTGGTGGCGCTACGATCAAGCCCAGGAATTCCAGCCTAGTTCGGCAAGGGTGGAAACTGGACTTTTAAAGTCAATTAACTCTCTTGCCTCGGGAAGATGCTTACGACAAGCATAGTCACCTTTTATGGCAAGCATGGGTTGCTGAAGACCTACTCTAACAAACAACCAAACAAACAAACAAGAACCGTAACTGGACCCTAACAGAAGATCCCATGTCCGAATCAACCGAGGGAGGCATGCTGACTTCACACCTTGTAAAAGGGTGTGAAGTTGCTGCACCGGGATGGAAGTTATATCATTACGGAGTAAAAAGAATCTGGGTAGGAGCCTGTGATGTCACCTGAGCATCTGATACAGCTGGTGGACATGAAACTGGAGGCAGTGACAGGGAACCAGAATAAGGGGATCTGCTGGTAGTAGCCGAACAACGAGGGTTGTCTCTGTGCCGATAGGAGGAAAATTCACAACGAGGACGATAATCCGGGTAAGCAGATGCCATAGGAGTACCCCGCTATTGGAGAAAAGAGTCCATATACTGTGGGTATAACATTCCTAATCATGTGCAGGGTTTGCATAGGTATTATACGAAGCTGGGTTCCAGGAAAAATCTTTTCGTTGTCGATGATGATTGAGGAGTCTGAAGTATCTCTCTGTGTGATCGATTCCCTGACCTGCTATCCCTAGAAGAGCTGAGTTGAGCAGACGATGGTCGATCTGTAGAGGCTTGTCTAAACTTGGGGTAATGCTAATCCTTAAAGGTATGTTACTCCTCTGAGGTGTGCCAAACCTTCGAAATGTGCTGTTTCTCAGAGGTGTTCCGATCCTGAGATGTTCATCAAACCTCGGGGTTTGACGAACCTTTGAAGTACATTCATGCAGGGTAGAGTCCCTAATCCCTAAAGGTATGGCAAGTCTGAGAGTTTCGCCAATTCTAAGATAATCGTCGATTAGAGTTGAGCGATCTAACCGTAGAAGACAATTTATCCGTCGCATGCCGAGAATTCACAAGTTGTTCCCCATCAAGGGATTGATGATCTTCATAAGAATACCCTGGAGAGTGAGATTCACACAAATCTTGATTGAAAGAAGAGTCTGACAAACCTGTATTGTGATCAATCTCCAGGAGAGCAACAAATCGGTGATCTGGAACATCTAGTAGTAGACAGGGACCAACGAGAAGTGACTGTAGAGGGTTCATTTGAAGTCGCAGTCTTAAGGATGCCCTCAGGCAGAAGCTTAAAATTCTCAGTGACAGAAGACAAGGGTGATGAAGAAACAATACAATCTATGGTAGGCTTTGTAGCAGTAACAGAGGTCGTGGTTTACTGAGAAGAAAATACAGGTTCAGTTGGATCCACATTCACCAAAAGCACCTTATGTACTTACGAACCCGTAGGCTGCTTGGCCGAATCTGTTGAAGGTAGGAACCTCGAAATAGGCTGAGTGGTAAAGATAGAAGTGTCTCTCAAAAAACTTTCGGAAACACCGCCATCGTCGACAGATAATACAGGAAGCATCGGGTTCAACGAATCCTCAATCGTCAAGGTTGTTTTGTCAATCTATTTTACTTCTTCACCGGACTTTTCTTAGTTCTGGTCATTTTCTCGGTAGTTTTTAAGAGCCGATCATGCTCTCAATCATGTCAATATTTATAAAGGTAATTACTAAAGGAATCATCAGGCAAATCAAGGCATTGAGCATAGTGTGCAGATTTGCTACACCGCCCACAACAATCAGAACAAACATTGCGTGGGTCGGCTAGCAGAAATAGCCGTCTGCAAGGGAGACGCAGAACTGTTTGTCCATGATGAAAACCGACTCAGAAGAAGACGTAGACTGGCAAATTGAAGCGGGAAAAATGTAAAAAAGGCCAAAAAAAGTTAAAATGGATTCCTTTGGTGTATAATTACGTCACCACAACATGGCAATTAGAGTGAGTGAGTTTGGTTTTACGCCGCTTTTAGCAATATTCCAGCAATATCATGGCGGGGGACACCAGAAATGGGCTTCACACATTGTACCCATGTCGGGAATCAAACCTGGGTCCTCTGCGTGACGAGCGAACGCTTTAACCACTAGGCTACCCGACCGCCCCACATGGCAATTAGAAAGGGAATGAATTGGCTGGAGAGACCACATGTACAGTGTGTGTGGGTCAAGTGGCAGGAAAAGCATGCATGAACCAGATTGCTGGGAGGTGACTATGGCGATACTATAGAAGTGTTCGGGTAAATCATCTTTTAAGAAGCTGGATCAAAAGAGGAGAGATGCATAGTGTGAGTTAGGATAAGTTTAATTTTTTTATTTTTTTTATGAATGTTTTTGTGTACTGAGAAAGTCTCTTGGACATGCTGGACATACCTCTTGATTGTGGTAGGCTGACGATTTGTGAAGATGGAGGGGATTCTTCCTCTGCTAGGATACCTGGGTTTTTGTCGTCCACCTCTCTGCCGTATCCTAAAAAAAGTAATAAGCACTTCACATCATATCTGTATGTAGGAAAAGACAGGCCCAATACAGCATAATTCTAACAAGAAAGTCCCATGCCTGTTGACACCTAAATCACAAAGATATAAACATTTCTTGTTTAAGACATCACTTCTTGTTTGCGAATACCCAATGCAGAACAACAGTAAAACCAAAATTTCCATGCCTCTAGCTACCTTAAGAAGAAGGTTATTGGCACTTCTGTTCTAATGACCATGACTTTCAATCTCAGACAAGTTTTCAATTGAAAGCATATGTGATATAACTACATGTAAATTATCTTTATGTAAAACTGTTGACCTTCAGTGTCATCCAATCACATATGGGTCATTACTTGTTGCAAACTTCAGGCCTCAAAGTTGCAACTAAAACGGTCGCCAATGCGACCTAACTTTCAATTTGTCAATTTGTCTACTGACTAAAATTACTTGTTGCAAACTTACTTTGGTGGTGTTATGAATATGAAATCATTTCATAAGCATAAGTGAACAAACTTCAACGTGACCTTGATATTTGACATATCTTTCCTTCCTTCAAGACTGCTTAACTGTCTTATTTATGATTGTTATTTTTTATGGGAAAAGTCTTCATGTAGACTTTTATAGGTGTATGCCTCTTGACCAATCCGATTTTTAGAAAAATAAATATTGTTTAAACCACATTTGACAGAAAGGTATAGAGTAGTATTCTAGAGTCTCTCACTGTTGATTGGAAAAAGCTTTCATTTTGATGACTCAATTTAAGCCATGCTTCATAAAGTGACCTCTGGTGACCTTTACCTCATATGGAGGTCACCCAAAAGGTGATGTCTTTGAGATCATGAATACTCAGTTTCATCAAATTCCAATCTTAAACATGTTAAATACTGAAGCGATCATGTGCACAAAAGTTTTGATCGCCTAGTCCATACTGGTGACCCTACTGTCAATGTCATCCACTCGTATCCCAGAAAAATGTCCCAGGGGTATATAGGCAGCTTATCAGGTGTTTCAGGTATGAAGAGCTCTCAGCTGAAGAGCTCAAATATGAGCTGGGTCATGTTTTAGAATAAGATCTCTTGTGACCTTCACTGGATGTCAGCCCATCGAATCCACTGTAGATCTCAACGCAATGATTATTTATAACATTAGCGATACAATTCACCGATCTATCGACACAAAGCAAAGTTACTCCAAAGACACGATACGCCTACCCCGGTATCAATTCATATTCTAAAATTCCATTTCAATGTTAACAACAAAAAATATCATTGCAATAAGCCAACTGAAAATGAATGATCGGTAACTTGGCCTGTTGACGACGTTTTCAATGTCAGGTTTTGTCGTGACACAGGCTTCTTTAGTATTAGGCTTGCTTTTGGTTACAAAACAGGCAAAAGAAAAATCAAGTGCACTTATCCTGAAGCAACATGCTCGCCCCTAATTTCATTAAAATATATTGTTTTTTTTCTGTCTGTGGTAGTCTGTTGATAGTCTGATTACTTCACTTCATACATATCCTAGAGATGTTCACGTTATTCCATTTTCAAGAAATGTATGCCATATTTGGAAATGTATGCCATATACGTTTTACTACAAATAATGAATGAAATGAGCCTCGATATTGTTATTTTTCTGACCTTGAAGTGTATTAATCTCATTAGTTGACTAGTACTGTTATATGCAAATTAGATTGCAGATCTGGGAGGCTAGCTAACTATTAGCCAGTCAAATTGTGTAAATTAATCATGATACATTCTCGCAAAATTCGATACAAATTTGTGTGTTGATATTTCTGTGCAGACGAGTCATGATGTCAGTCAAAAGGAAAATCAACATGAGTTTTACTTAAACTTTGACTTTGAAACCCAAGTTATGAGGAACCGTGATTGTGTAACTCATTGTTATTTCAAGTACCGAATCAACCAATCACGCTGGTTTCTGGAAGATTAATGGCGTAACTTTGAGGCATGTTGATGTTTGAACAAAGTTTCTGACAAAACTGATAACCAATAAAGTCAACTGGGCCAAACATAGGTATCTACATTCTTAATTTATGGAGGAACAAACACACTTAGAACATGAAGACAACAGTTCATTTCAGGAAGTGATAAGTATTCGGATGAGTATTTATTTCAAGTTCAACCCTCCCGGCACCTATTAGGACTATTCAAGTTTCCTCTACAGATTTACATCTTCACCATATGGATTTAATTACCTGTTGATTAATAGACAAAGGCCCATTCTTGTCAAACAGTGGTGACCGTGAAAAGGGTGTTAATCCGGGAGCCTCCCGCACAGATCGGGAGGTATCACATGCATGTATGCATACAGATTTAATCGGAATCATAGATATCCGTAAACGTAAACGTAAACTTCCTGTTCTTTGTTTTTACTCACGGGACAATGGAGGCAAATTTTTAAATCAATTTAAATAAATGTTGTTTCGCAGGAGAAGTAGACTCTCATGTGGGGACTGGGAGATTCATCACAATGCGGTTCATCGCCTAAATACACAAGCCGAGTGACCTTGACATTAAACAGTATCCAATCCTTTGTTACTAACTTCAGGAATAAAGTCTTCAACTATTATTAGCACTGGTTTGACATAACCAAGCACACACATCAAGCTAACCCCTATTAATGATTGCTTATCATAAATGGTGACAATATTCAATCTTTAATAGTGCTATTCCATATATACATACTTTGCTTGAGGAATCTTCTCTGTGCCTCCTCTTTGCTGTTCTCTGCATTCTTGAAGCACTGAAACATTGCAGATGGACTAATGAATTGATCAAACCTAGAAGAATATAATCCCAATCTTTACATTTGACAAGTTTTAAAAAATAAGTGATGACTGACAGTCCACAACAAGTAAACACAATTAGACTACCCCAAGTCCTATTTAACACATCTCATAAAAATTTTAAGGTAATATATTCCTATGAACTAGCCACTTTCTTGAACTTCTCTGTAGAAGTACCAGTCATTCTTTGAGTCGACTCATCATGAAAAGTAACCTTGATTATTCAATAGGAACTAAAACAAATTCTAAAGATTATGATCATATTTGTGTTTTAACACACTGACAAAGAATAGCTTCATGCCAATGAAATAAACTCATTTTCATACCACTGTCCGATTCATTTTTTCTGTTTGCGACTGGCAGGCTATCTTCAGGACACCAGCCTTTAATGAAACAAGAGGAAACCTTCATGGCATTGTTGACACACATCTTCATGTAACGGAATACATCGTAATGGCACGCAATAACTCAAATGGCCAGTGCGTCGACCATTCTGAAGCATTGTTTGCAAAAAGTAGCTGATAGCCCTCAAACTTACTCGGCTCTGCTCGCCTTACTCTGTGACAGAAGTTTCTGACCACACGCGGGTGTAGGCTATCACATATCCAAATTTATTCTGAAATATATTGTTTTGCCTAATTATAAAGATATGCTACTACAACTGTGACAGCGAGGTGCATGACAATATAGCTTTACACATCAAAGTGAACCTATCGCTAGCTCTAGGGCTTTGATGACAGAGTATTGAGCCATAAAACCAATGTAAACAAAGATAAAGACACAAACGGAAAAGGTTTTTCACATTTCAGGATATTTTTCTCAATTTCATGATATATGTTTATATCTGTGTCATAAATGAAAATTGTGCAATATCTTCAACGGACAGTGTAAGATGTGACGATGTGGGAGATGTACTAGGCTGGTAGCAAGTAACTCTAGGTAGGAGAATGCAACATACGACCAAGGCATATATATTGTAATCTAGGCTTTGATAAATACTGGCTCTAATCCAATGAAACTGGCAATTTAGTATTCTGTAAGTCATCCATAAGAAAAGCACACAAGCTTTCTCTTTAATTTGCCTCTATGTAAAACGGGACTGAAGCCAGTTAACCTCTGCAGCGCTTGGGTTGTCGGCTTTGCTGTGCGGAGCTCTATTGTATTGGTTTTAGAATTGAATCATGCAAGGTGTGAGGTCACACTCGGAAATTATTTCATGCATGATTTAAAAACCCCAGAACTGTCGACGTACTGGCTCTTTAACTTGATCATCGCATTGCCTTGCAAAAGTAAACATCAAAACTGATATATTACTTCTAATTCTGGAACAAAAATCTTGTGTGATCTCATATGACCCATATAAACACATCCAATGACATTTCAATGAATTGCAAATATTTACCATGTTTACAAGAGAAAATCAACAAAAATAATGTCTATCATTGCAACGTTTTTCTCAAGTATGCACTTTAACACTAGTATACTTCCTTGCAAGGGAAACATGATTTGTACCTGTGCTTTGATTTTCAACCTTATCAACAGCAAGAAAAGGACCTTTCAAATCAATGTCCCTCGTTTGGTAGTCCCTCGTTTGGTAGATCCCGACTGAAACAAACCATTTACATAACAAGTGAGATGAAATTGTGGATGAAAATAGAATAATAAATCCATTTGGTCTTGCTGACAGTAAATATAGACTAGACATTATAAAAATTAAACTTTGCTGAATTATATTTCTGTTATAAATGACTTCGGAAAACATTATGCTTGACAAGACTGTGGATGCAGGGGTATTATTGCTGTAGTTTATGACAAGATGACCAGAATCCAAACAAAGAACAAACATGTGTCTTACCACTCCAAAATGTTATAGTCATGGTCAGGTAGTGGTTCCTAAGCAGAAATCAGTTACTGAAAACAAAGGTTATTATCAAAATGAGTCATGTCCACTGGACCCCTGGCAGACAACAAACATAGAATAAATAGATGACAATGATATGAGTCCTGTGTAGAAATATGGTGACAAAAGTAGAATTAATGCTGCCAAGTATAAACATAAATAGTTTTTATCTTCATTATATACTCTTCTAAAAATGAAAAGCAAAGCCAGATTTGTGTAAGGTAGGAAAATACATTTATACGAGGAACCGAACAAGGTATTGAGCCAAAATATTGTGGAGAGAACACTTGGTGATTGTAGTTATCTCAGTTATCGGTATATAAGAAAAGTCCAAGGTGAAGGTCAGCTACCATCAAAAAAGCAAATGACCCCAGTTTGAATTGATAATGGCCTGATATCTCATGCCCATGGAAGAAACGAACATGCAAATCACATCCTGGGGAATCGTAGCCAACTCGGTCTGCAACGCAAAAGGCAACTACTGCAAAGTCTGGGGTTGTGGCTGAAGTTGGCGTAGCCGTTTATCCAATTCATCCCACATCTGGTTCAAATCCGGGGATCTGGAGGCCCAGGGGAGAACAGGCTCTTGTGATCCGTGCTGTATGCGGTCGAGTGGTGTCCTGTTGGAATACACTGTTGCCGTTGGCTGCAATTGGGAGGATGTGTGGTAGGAGAATTTTGTTGATGTATCACTGAGCCGTAAGATTGCCCTGGATATGGACCAAACCTGTCCTGCCATGATGAGAGACAGCCACCCACATCATAATGCTCCCCCCATCAAACTTGTCCACTTCCTGCACACAGTTTCCGGCGTAATGTTCTCCCCGACATCTGTAGACCCCCTGCTCTTCCACCCCGTGCTCTTCCTCCCCCTCGACGGAGGAGAAATTTTGATACCTCGCTGAACCAGACATTTCTCCATCGCAGTTGAGGCCATTACCTGTGCTCCCTACACCAATGTAGTCATTGTTGACGATGTTGTCGACTCAAAATGAGATGTCAAACAGGACGTCTTGCTTGTAGACCTGCTGCATTTTAACGGTTCCGTAAGTCTGGGTATTTGGGATGCGGTTTAGGTGGCTGTGGTTGTCCTTTCACGTAGGTGGCGCAGTTGGATGTAGCATTCTTGGGCAGGGGTGGTTACTCTTGGTCATCCCGACCTTGGCAGATCACTTGTTGACCCATGCTGTTGAAACCAATCCCATAGCCTTGTGATGGTGCCGGGTGCTACATTGAAAACCCTGGCTACAGCTGATCGGGATTCCCCTATCTGCAAGCGGCCTATGACGTTGTTTCTTTGCACTTCTGTTAATCTTGGCATGTTGTTAAACAGTCACTGTTCGATTGACACAGATGCCAGACAATCAAAAACCCTGCACTTTAATACCGTTCATAGTGCTGCTGCAAGTGTAGTATGTGCAGCTCCATGGTCCTTTTGTTAATGCACTGGGTGCGTTTTTCCGAATCGTACGTATTTCCCGACGAATGGTTTGCATGTCCTTGTCATGATCAATTTTATATAAGAAAATTGTCACTGACACTGTAACATATTAAACCTCTTCATTTTGCACCTCTTGGTCCGCTAATATTGCTCTTATCGCCAAAAATATCTGTTTTGCGTTTCTTTTTTTAACAGTATATAACACGCCGTTTTTGTTTGACCGTCACTGGTGGAATTGTTGTCAGCACGCCATATACTACTATGAACCTGGGTACCTTTTAAGTACATGTAATTGGTGGGCGTTATAGTATATATTTTTATGGACCTAGATCTACCTGTAATATCATTCATTTATTAAATCTGTCACATTTCACAATGTCTGAAATACGTATTCCATTCTAATTTATCCTTTTTTATCAATAAATTAAAAAATTATTCACTATTTCCCGCGATGTTATTGAACGGGTCCGCATCGAACATGTCAAAGAGCAAAATAAAGTCTATTTTAAGCAAATCTTTAAATATATTATACAAAGTGATAAATAAAATCAACAAAAATATATCTAAAAGTAATCAAACTTACATCTAAGTTATTATTTCCATCGTAGCGTTGTAGCGTCACTGTATAGGGTAAACTATGGTTACAACAAACTCAAAGGGACCACTGATTTTAGTTTGTTATATCTGTCAATCATTATACGCCGTTCAACAGCCAGACATCTTTGATCAAGTCATGTGACCACATCATGTTAATCAATAAATAACAAAAGTGTGCACTGTTTATTCATCATACATAACATAAATAAAAACGGGTCTCTGTGATTTTGCTTTGAGCACTTGTTGAAAGACGGATTTCCTCACTCTAGTCATCGCACTTTATACACAGAATATATCCACTTCAAGACTATAAGGCTAAATCGCTGTGTTACTCTTGTTAATTGAGGATGTAATTTGAGCACGAGATGTCAGTACTTAAGAGTAAATCAATTGTTTTCACTTGTTTATTATCGTTTTGAACATTGGTCACAAATGTTTTGATAGGCCGATTGGTGACATGTGATGAGCTTAGCGCAGGGATTAACAGTTTGGTATACACTTAAACATTATGTTGACAGTGTACACACATGACAACAAGGTGAGAGTGCCAGATGTGTTATTTTGTTATACGCATGTTCGTAATATCCATCAATTACACATGAAAAAAAATATAGAGCAAATGTCCAGGACCAAACGAACAGCTCACTAGATTGTGAATGCTAACTAATGAACGAAAATACAAAGTGTATTTCACAACAGAAAAGGCAGACAAGATTTAAGGAAAACAAATTTCTCTTAATAACAAGCCATCATCTGAGTACTTAAAATATCTGTGTGATGCTACACCCCCTGTTATAGCGATAAACATGGCCAACCGAAAACGTATGTCTGAAAACATATGATCCAACGATAGATTCTATATACTTCTCTATGTTTCTATCGGTCTCTAAGTTCTAATAAATGTAAACATGGCTGATGAACTAAGAAACTGAATATAATGATCAAATGATAACACCCTCGGCCCCCATAGCGGCGGAGTCTTAGACCATGCTTTTCACGTCCAGGGCCCCGTTCCACAAAGCGATCGTAGCGCTAAGATGATCGTAACTCCCATACTTAAACATAGACTTACGACAGACTTAGCCCTAATATCGCTTTGTGGAACAGGGCCCTGCTCTCTTTTGGGGGCCTTTTTGCCACAAAAAGGTGTCGAGTTGATTTCGGCACGCTATAAGCAAAGATGCCTTCGGCAGCTTCCATACTGAAGCTGACAGCGGTTTCCATATGCCATATCCCCGAAGTGGGGACCCAAATACTGCAGTTGACCCCTGCTGTGTTCACTTTTCATAGATCTATTGTAGTCGGTCCAAGCTACAACACATTAAAGGGGCACTGATCTAACGGACTGGTTGTTGCCTTTGTTATTGTTTTTCCCCCGTGAGTACCCGGATGATACGCAACGCAACTGAGCGTGACCAGAGACTGGGGTACCGTCTGCAAGGACAGCTAAATAAACTTGGAGGCTGGAGGCAATATTTGTTTTACGCATTTTTGAACACTGATTGGTTAACTGTGATCTATAAAGATTTCGACAAAGGGCGCATGTTAATTCATTTCTTCAGCCTAAACAAACAGACAAAAAGAACAAGGGAGCTCATCGGATGTCGTCATTTGGAAATACCCCAGATGGTTATAGTTTAATACTAAAAACAGTATCCATGCAGTGAAAGCATTTTCGGATTTCGGCTTGCGTCGATAATACGATTACTACTCCCTTGTTGTCATCCACGTTTTCTCGTATAACCCTACACTTGTGTATTTGTCGTCATTCACTTGATGCTCAGTTAATGAATTTATTACAGGTACAATTAGTGGTAGCACCACTTATATTACCTGACAACGGTTCCCATTTGGCATTTATTGTGTCTGGGGTAATTATTCAATCTAAATCCAGGTTTGAAGTGAGGTGAAATGTGTGTTATGTAATATGCACGTGGCAGTCCAGCAAGAGATGAATGATCAGTTGATTTACTTTTTTTTGTAAATCAACGGATCGTTCCTAGTCATCAAAGGATTAACAGAAAATACGTTGATTGATTAATCACTGTTATCTTGCACAGTGGATATGTCAAGAGTGAGTGTTTACATGTCTAGGTTTACTAAAACAAAGGGAAGACGCTCATATCATGGCGCGAAGGGCCGATGTAAAAACAACATACTTTGTTCAAAGGGTTAACTGATAATACGTTGATTGATTGATCATTGTTAATTATCACTCAATGGAATTTTTAGGAACCGTGGACGCTATGAAAATAGTTGTCACGTGGGCTTTCTCAGCCGACCATTGAGACTTGACACCTATGTAAAACACCTGAAACAATCCAAGCGATCAGTTGAGAAACGAACACGGGTTATAATATCCCGAAACGATATATATCTTTTAAAATATTTGATTGTTACTGAGACACGTGACATCGAATAAGTTTCTTTGTACAGCTGCAGACGAGTGGGATATTGTTCCTTTGTGTGGATATTCACGGATACATTCCTCGAACAAGGAAGCTGCCTAAAACTTATACACATAAATTTGGTAGGTTGTAATTATGATATCTGCATTTTGTTTTCCAGACCTTCATTTAAACCGATTCGTTCTTGTTTCTCTACGTCTTGGTTGGGAAATTCTTTAATGCGCGATAGTCGTTGTTGTCACAGGTCTTTTCCTTTGTAAGCGTGTATATATTACCGTCAATTTGTAAAATGTGATTCTCTCAGGCAATTTATAAAATGTGTAAATATTTCAGTCATTTTGACTAAAAAATCTGTCCAGATTGATCAAGACGATCAAAAGGGCCTACACACATCACAACAGATTATTATGTAGGATTAAAAGCCAAACAACTTAGAAATGTACTTTTCAACGTTACATTTTCAGTCTCTTGGTGATGACATTAAACATCAAAATGTTTGGAATTCGTTGTCATAATAATACAGATGGAAATGTTTTTCAGTCACTTTATAAAATAACTGAATATTTAGACGTTTAATAAATGTGTTACACATTTGACAGTAAAAAAATATACACACTATAAAAAAGCATATGCTCAGGTGAAATATATACTTTGTGTTGCAAGTCAAAATAGTGTAAACGAAAATCGCAAAATTACCAAGCAAGTGACTTATCAAAACTTCGTCACCATTACCGATGCTACTCACAAAGATACCTACATTTCTTTATTATCTCGAAAACTGTATTTCATTTTGTTGATCAATGTGACCATACGCCCTTATTACTACCCATAAAAGTGACTAATGCGCTTACGAATGGCGCAGCAGAGGTCGCGAACTAGTCTAGATTTCTGCTATACATCCGGGTACTCACTGGGAAAAAACAATAACAAAGGCAACAACCAGTCCCGGGGAATTGCGTTAGATCAGTGCCCCTTTAAAGGTTTCCACCGAGTCAAGATATTTAAATATCATATTAAATGTGCAAGATACTGACCCTTTACCTTGAATGTAATTACCTTTAATAATAATAATTTTACCCACAGTGAACTGAAGTGCTTCTCACCAATAAAAGTAACGAAAACATGTAACACCATTTAGGCAAATTTACGCGTTCTAAAAACTTCTACACATGTTAGATATAACTGCACATTTAGTGTTCAATTTGGCAACGTCAGGTTTATATTAGCATTTGTTGGATAGATGAAGGTGTTGCTCACTTAATATATAATCATACTTACAAAATTTCTGACCCCAAAATGCCTTAAATGTGCAAACTTCACCGCAGCGAGACACACCCTTGAACTGCAGTTCCAACTTCGGAGTTACCTCCCTTCCCCTTAAAAGCTCCAAGCTCCTTCCCAGCGCGTGACACCTTCGTTACACAAAATATAGAGAGCTCCCCGAACGGGCTATTGCTGTGAGGAGCTTGTAAAAGCGATAGCCACACTCCGTCGCAGTGGTGACTCATCGTTCCTGCGACAGACTGGAACGACCGGTATTGGGTAAAACAACCTTCACCTTGACGTTACGGTAAACTTGATTGGAAAGCGGAACAAGTGCAGCGACACCAAATATCTTTCAGTATATTTCTATATGACTGAAAACATGGTTTTATTCCTTTAATATGTGTTACGTAATTGAGTCTTTTTGCTAATACGTGTATCAATAAGTGATTTAATAAGAAGTTGTTTGTATCTCCAAAATAGTATTTTGATAGTTAGAGGGGCTTCTCTTCTTGTTAAAATTTGTTTTTATATTCAGACTGACGTGGAACTTACATACCCTCTAAGATGACAGTTATATTACGCTGCTCTATCCCCCTTTGAGGTGAGGTGAGGTGAAATTTGGTTTAACGTCGCGTCCAAGATTATTGCACTTATATAGCGACGTGCATGCACGTGTATGTGTGTGTGTGGCTGCTTGTACTAGTCCGGACTGATGCCGATTTATAGTGCTAGCTCACTGAGATACCATGCCGCAGTTTAACATGAATACCCCACTCAGACACAGTATACTGACTCCGAGCCGACCAGTCCATGTTTTAGCCCCTTAATGCCGAGCGCCAGACAGGGTAACAACAAGTACAATCTTTTAACGTCTTTTTGTATGACGCGGCCCGGGATCGAACCCTGGACCTTCCGCTCTCCGGGCGGACGCTCTACCACAAGACCACGGAGGCGGTCATCCCCCTTTGAGCATACATCCATTAACAATCTCAGTCACTTTCAGCACTACCAATGTATAAATAATCGAGTTTTCTTCGGGATAAGTGTGCTCTAAATAAATCTGAGGAGGGCTTTCTGACCCCCTCCCTACTGATCCCCTCCCCTCCCTACAAGTCAAATGTCTTCGGGCATTTATTCGTTAAATATTTGTGTGTGACAGAAAGGTCAAATGAAGGTCCAAAATAAAACCTATGAATTTGGCCTCTTTTACTACTTTTAACTAAAGCCATCTAAAGCTACTTCATTTTTTAGTCTTTGTGACGTTCATATTTGCGACATAAATCTAAACAGTTTGTTTTAGCTTTTAATTACAGTTTATGGGTATTTGTAGTTGCCTTAATATAGTTGTTTCTTATTACAACAAGAAATATTAAAATCATCAACTAAAAGTGATCCATCAATTGAATCATTTAAAACTTTGGATAAACTTTTTATCTAAAGCTGACCAACCTGACGGACAAAATACTGCCTTGACGGCCACCCTGATCCTGAGTATAATGGTCAGACAGGGTGAACCTCAATGAAATTGAAATTGTCTATCTGTTAACACTTAGATTATATATTTAGGCAAAAGGCCCCTCAATTCGAAATCATGTAAGTCTTTTATAATCCTAAAGCATATGTTTTGTCCAGATCAAAGACGAGTGAGACTGCATGTATAGTTTGGTCATGATGGCATTCGTAACGAAAGACTATAAACGATAATCTATCTATAAAAGATGGTGGATGCTAGATTTAGAAGCCTTACCTTTAATCTTTGGGATCATGTTCCTTACCATGAACAGCAGCGTTCATTAATTTATTTTTGAAACATAATTTTGCCAAGACTTGCGTTTATAACATCTAAATATACCCCGCTTCTTGATTTGTTTGCAGTAATTATTATCTATTATTCCCCGCCACGAAGTGGGGCGAGGAATAGGGTCCCTTTTGCCCGCTTCTCAACGGGGGACAAATTATCTAAAAAGACATTCGAGTTGGAGAAATGAAATTTTACACACTGATGTTAGTGGTCTTGGTCCCTTGCTCCGTGCTTTTCAACTTTGTGCATACTGTGTGAAATGGAGACAAGTTTTCTCAGAAACTACTGAACGAAAGTTTGCGTACTTATATCATGTAAGCGATACTTGTCCCATCTTCCCAAGGCAAAGGAGTTAACTGACTATAAAAGTCCAGTTTCCACCCTTGCCGAACTAGGCTGGTATTATGGAGTTACATTTTGGCTGGACTAACGAGTCTATGCATAGTCCAATCAAAAGCGCGCACCGAAATCGAAATCCGGTTCGTTAACTGTCGTGCAGATTTCGGTCGATTGCAGGATTTGCAAAGCATGTGCAACGCCAACTCGTTGTCAGCAGATATTTTCCAAATCTGTTTATGTTTTTAATCAAGGTGCACACGTGATTTGATGCATTTAGCGATGTAAGACCCGTTTTATAACAATATAGATCAATCAGATCATCCTGACTGGGCGCCACAGTTTTGTGTGAAGCAAACGCAAGTGATACGAGAGGTGGAATCTGATTGATCCATGGGAGAGGCTTAGAGGGGACGTAACTGGTAATAGCCACTGGTGGCGCTACGATCAAGCCCAGTAATTCCAGCCTAGTTCGGCAAGGGTGGAAACTGGACTTTTAATGTTAGTTAGTGAGTGAGTGAGTGAGTGAGTGAGTGAGTTTGGTTTAACGCCGCTTTTAACAGTATTCCAGTTATATCGCGGCGTGTCAGCTTAATGTGGGAGGAAAGCCCGAATTGATGCAGGTCACAGACGTTTACCACTTCGGTGAAACCCACGAGCACGGGTATGGTGCTGACAAACCTAGAAACATAATCGGGGCGAACCGGGATTCGAACCCACAATGATAGGTTTCTGGCGTGCCCAAGGGACGCAACCCTGCACAGCGAATGGCGGCGCCTTAGACAACTGGGCCACCCATGCCCCCTTAAAGTCAGTTAACTCTCTTGCCTCGGGAAGATGTACTTGTCCAGACGAGTTCGAAACTTGGTGCCGTAATTTATTTTTAACAGATTTACGGCCCTGTTATGTTAAATCGTGCACAGTGTCTGTAATGTTGTGCAAGGTTTCCCAGAAACTACTGAAGTATTTTTGTCTATTCATTTCAAATTTAATCATTTTTTTTTTCAAATGACATGAAGCGACCCGAGTTCCTATCTATTGTTAAGGTTCTATGGGACTTTTGATTTTAGCTTATATTCATTATTATGCGAACAAATTAAATTCTAATGTACCATCACGTGGAGGGGGATAGAGATGGTTCATGGGTGTGTGGACTTAATTAGGAAAACATTCATGACCAATTTTGTGTAGTTCATCCGAGAATAGTTGTACAGGGTCAGGGACGTTGACGATCAGATTATGTTTTAACTTGTTTTAGGAAGGTATATCAAACAAGGGCCAAATGCTGTCCATTTCGATGATGGCGGAAGCCAAATGCATTTATAGTATTTGGAATGGTTGGGAAATGGTCAATTCCACACATAACGTCATGGACTGACCATTCAGTAAGAGCGACATAATCATAAGCAATCTCTGAGTCCTTTGTACGATTCCAACTATATCATTAGCACGTGTTTATAAATCACTATTAAGTAGCGATGATACCAGGTATTCGCAAATAGGTGTGCGTATCCTGTCCCACCGTTGGTATCCATCACAAACAAATGCAAAGGCAAGGCAATTGTTCAACTGAAAACAAATGCCCACACGGAAACTTAAGGTACACAAGTCAACATGGGGAAATGCTTCAGACATAAGTTTTGTGTTGGGATGAGTCAAATTTGAAAATGCCCTCCACATGTCTACCATAAAACATTTTAAAAGATTTGCTGGGTCATTGAATGTTGTAACCTTGAACAAGCAACTTTTGTGCACGAGTCATATGACGCTGTTTGAAATCTTCGTATCGAGAGCATGTTCCATGGTACCTCAAACCATGTGAAATGTAAACATCAAAGACTGGAGCTGCAGGGATATTGATCGACATAAGGGGAAAGTTGAAGTCATCCCCTCTTGTCATTGTCTTATTGGGTGATTGTTGTAACTCTGAATCTTTATGCATAGATCCAAATTTGAATTTGATTAGGTGGTTTTACTGGTCTCTTTAATTTCTTGTTCAAGCGGGTAAATCAGTGGAAGGTACTATTTGACCACGAATGACCGATATCAGGTCATCATGAAGCCTATATTAAATTTCCTGACCAAATTCCCTCGTTTTCATTTTAGGAATCCGAGTAGAGATTCCGAATGGTAAATAAAGAAACAGATCAACAAGAAGGGGGCACAGTTAGTGCCCACGGGGATGCCAGCTTCTTGCCTAAATGTCTAGCGGCATGTTATCAATGAGGAAGTCAAGCATTTCACATAGTATTTGCTCAGTAAACTTCAGATCACATTTGCTTTCAATTTTGAAAATTACCCCTAATCTCTTAAAATATAGATTTATGTATAGACCTATGGCCGCCGCCTTTAGTGACAAATGCCCCATGGATCAAGGAATGAACTTTTCCTTACGTTTGTCGTGTTGGATAACGGTTTACAAAGTTGAAAATGGCATATTTTGATATATTTATTTTTCTGAGATTGCACACTTCAAGGAAAGACTTTAAATGTTTGAGAATCCACACTGTATTTATTCCACTTGTCAATATACCTTATTCCAGTTCTACTTCCTGTTTGTTTTTCAGTTTGGACATTCTACTAATGCTAACATCACGCACTGATTTAACCCACTCTGAAAGACATGATCAGCATTGGCAGCCACAGGTAGTGGAACTGATAAATCATGAGCTGTCTAGTTCATTTCTGCAACACATCCCTATAATTGAACATCTTCGATGTAATGGAGTTCGTAGGAAAATGAAACTGTTGGTGGTTCCTGAATGAGAAATATTGTGGTAGATCTTGAGAATGTTACTTAAATTCCCATGTTTTCAAATTTCAAATTCAGGAAAACACCCTTTATTTGAAGCACACCAGATTACATATTGTTTGCCTTGTTCTTGTGAGTGTAATATTGCACTTCTAACAATTACCCGCAATCATACTCTCAACCTTATACCCCTTAACCCCATACGATACCTCACCTCGACCATCAAGCTGGATATCATGGTTAGGTAAGTGTGATATACAGCCGGAGGGCCTGATGCAGTTCAGTTTTACCTTGGAAGGACCCTGGGAAGCCACATACTGCATGTGGTACTCTGTCATCCAATGTGTAACACGTGTGTTGTTAGTCATTGGCTTAACACACATTTGCTTTAGGGTTTCCAAATTCTCCTTATCAACGAAGCCATATCTCGCTATCAACGACCCTGAAAAATAAACTTAAATGCAACAGGGTGAACTCAAAAATACACTCTTGTGTATTTACCACAAACAATTCATACATAGAGACAGCATTAAGACATAGTCAGTTAACGCCCTTGTCTTGGGAGGATGTGGAAAATGGATTTTTATAGTCAGTTGACCCTGCCTCGGGAAGATGGATTTGAAATGTAATAATTTGTTACAGGAAATACTGGAAACATTATTCCATAAAGTTTTATAAACCATAAAAACCTATACTCGTTTGTCCTTAAACATGTTAAATAGCCAATCCTGAACTGTACAGTGGTGTTGGATTAGATTTGGTGTCACTATCTTCACACATTTTCATAGTAAATCAGATTTACTTCAACTGTCAAAATCATTAAATTCACTCCGACACACCGAACTTATATAATAATATTTAAAGTGAACATCCGCGATGTTGAGTTCAACAAACAGCAAAGGCTAAAATGCACTGATTTATTTGTCATATTTACTATGCACGTCTCAAGTCTCTGCTTGCATGGGGTGTCCCCGAACGAATTAGAAGTACTTGTACAAGTTGCTTGAAAACTGCGTGGGGTACCCTGAGTTCCGGCGCCTATTGTTTGAGACCACCGATGCGGCTATCGTATTAGGTCGGAACCGGTTTCTCAAACAGAAAGTAGTATTCATTGTCTTTGTACAGCATGATATTCACTAGTGTTCTTTAGAAACATTAACAGGTGCGTATAAGTGGTGACCCTTTAAACCAAGGCCTCGTTCAATATGATATACACTCTTGAAAATCACATGCGTGAAACCGGTTGAGTAAATTATACAGCTCATCTGTGGACTTTTGTGTGTGTGTGTACTATTGCTCTAAAGACAAATGACATTAACGCATTTCCATGATTTTATCAACTTTTGATAAGGCATTCTGCTATATCATTGCCAAACTGGAAAGACATGATCTTTAGGACGTACTGGATGACAATCAATCGTTGTCGCACTAGAAAATAAATCGATCTGAAACAGTGCAAATGATATATCTTACGGAAGCCTTTTAGGGCCATTATTTTTATTCTTTTCGATACTATCTTGGAATTTCAAGATACTAAGTTGAAATTTCAAGTTATCATCTTGAAATTTCAACATAACATCTTGAAATTTGAAGTTAGTATCTTGAAATTTCAAGAACAAAATAAAAACAAATGGCCCTAAAAGGCTTCCGTAATATCTTCCACGTTCCAATTTAATAAAAACTTTAATAAAAACTCATTGGTTTATTTTACAAGTCAATTCTACGGTGGCCCATAAGGGACAGGGAGTCTGTTTTTCAATATTTTGATGTTTCACTTACTTTTATCGTTACCTTTTGCAAATTAACACAATTTTTCATACAAATATGTTATAAATCATGTATAAAAACAACCGAAACTTGGAAAATGTACTTTCAAGTAGCTATTGAGTCGCTGAAATGTGAAGCGAAAATGTCAAAAACTAAAATGGAAATGTCAAAAACTAAAATGGAAATGTCAAAAACCAAAACGAAAAGGTCAAAAACTAAAATGAAAATGTCAAAAACAAAAGCGAAAATGTCAAAAACTAAATTGAAACCACAGAAAACTATTTCCACCTCGGTGTAAATATTACCACCGCGGTGGAAATAGTTTTCTGTATATTCATTTTAGTTTTTGACATTTTCGTTTCTCTTTTCAGCGATTCAATATCTTCTTTAAACATGATTTATCACATATTTGTAAGACAAATCGTGTTAATTTGCAAAAGGTTACGACAAAAGTATGTGAAATATCAAAATATAGAAAAACAGACTCCATGTCCCTTATGGGCCACCGTACAATTTAGTTAAACAATTTGTTTGTTAATGTATCTTGTTGGAAAAAAACAGTGTTCGTGTAAATAAGCTAATTCCTTTACACAGTGTTGTTATTGTTAAAAAGTTACATTATCCGCTACGAAAGAAACGATGGCCTACTTTTAGAAACAGAAAGATAGGCGATGCAGCTTAACGCTAAGGGAGGTAACTGGCGTTGGGCAAATAATCGACCTTTGATCAGTGTGAGATGTTCACGAGTAGGCCTTGTAGGTGACCGGGTTTTTGAGAGAGGTAAGGTAGACTACTTGTCATGTCAGAGTGGAATATCGTGGTGGTAGTGTCGTGAATTTACAGGCACACAAACATATAGCAGGCGCTCTTGTCGCTTCGGAAGTACACAATAATGTCGATGTCAAAACGTTGTATGCTATAAACTAAAGACGTACGTGTCACATACTTTTAAGCAAGAAATTCATGAGTGTGCATAACTTGAATGTTTTGACTTATCACTGTACTTAGAAGGAGGTCAGCCTGTTCGCTTGAAGTAAGGTATTTTTTTACCTGTCTAGTTCATTTAGCTCATATAGATCTATGTGATCGTTGTCACTAACTGAAGACCAACTGTCAAGTCAAAGCCAGGCTGTCTTGGGTAGGTTCCATTCATCAAACTTATTTGTAAAGTTATGTTTTTACTCAGATCTGTCTCTTATTGCCAAAGTAAAATTCATCTCTCAGTCCAACTGGGGTTGCCATGGGTATTTAAGTATGATACTAAGTTAAACCATGTCAGCAGCTTGTCAGATCAGTATACCTAAGAACTTCTTTGGGGGTTCGAACAGTCAAGACATGGCCACGGGGAGATTGGACTGTTGGACCCACTCACAGCTATGATATGTGAAGCAGAGTCATGTTCTGACTGTTGAACCCCTATTTAACCTGTATGCTTGCTTGTTCCAGAATAGCATCTTTGGTAGAAAATGATGCATTGACAACAAAATGTCTTCGTTTTGCATTTGTAAAAAAATTGGGAGGAACCTTTAGTTATTTTTCTTTTTTGCCTAGCTAAAAATGTTCGTCAATTTGTGTGGATGATAAGGTGAAAAGCCGCATATGTTGACATTGATGGAGTTTTAGAACAACATTTAGTCCCAGAAATAAAGCTATATGATTAAAAACATGTATCTACAAAATCAAATCAAAATGGAGCCCAGATAAATGCTTTAATTGTTTCAGGATTCATTTTTAATTCATTCTTGCATGTCTGGGAGACAGACTTATTGAGTTTGAACAGATCATGATCATGGTACCTGTAACAGTTAAGCTATACCACACAGAAGGCTCTATAATTGTCATGCTAGTTACAACGTTTGTATTCTACTCTTCATGGGGAACCTGGGATCAGTTCTTCCCCAGATTATCATAGGGGGATAGAAAGTGTAGACTCTACAAGACAGAGAAGGGTCGTGGATCACTGGAAGATGGTTCAGTGGAACGCATGTTCATTGACTGACATTGAATGACATTCTGTCAGGGATGGACATTAGAGAAGAATAGTGATAACATAAGCAATAGATCTCAAATTGTTTGAAATTCCTCTAGCCCGCAGGATACCTTTAACATTAATAGCTGGTCCAGCCCAGCTGGCTTGTGCTAATTTCAATGCCTGTCTGTAACATTCATTTTAATATGCATTAAGACATGTAATGGTGTAATTTAATCCCTTAGAATTTGTATAGAATAACCAATTTCTGTCTCCATACATTTTTATTTTTTTATGAGTTACACTTGCTTTCAGTCTAGTATTAATTATAATACTTTTAGCCCTTAATATCAACTGGAGGCAGTGATTGGTATCACCAAGGAATTACTCTAATTAGCAGCATTCATGCAATCAAGTGCTCTGTTGAGCATGTCACAAGTGAAGTTCTACCATGATGTGTAGGATGTAGAAATATGACCATTTTGATTGACATTCTAACACTATTGTGAGCATACAGCTTCAATCAACACCAGCTGTCCTACCAACCAGCTGTTGTCAATGTCTGTAGTGATGCATGAAATTAAAAATAACCAGTAACTACTGTTTAGGCATAGAATTATCAGGTGATGAAAGATCAGAACATCAGACTGTTGTCATGGAATCTGTTATTGGGGATTTGTGTCATGGGCGTTATTTTCGAAAGGGAAGATTCGAACCCTTTGACCACCACCATCCCTTGGATCCACCAGACTTTGGTTTCCATGGATACACAATAAGGCTGACAAATATAACTGAAATACAATTTGAAACGGAAACCAAACACTGTCATGGATAGAGAAGTCGTTGTATCTTGTGATACTGATGTATCGGTAAACTTTTAATGTTGATATTGTATTGCATCTTGATACAAATTTATGAATATCGATACTAATTAAATAACTCACTGCGATAGAAATGTTTAGGTTACATTAATTTTGCCATGGTTAAGAGGGAGAATTAGACGGACAAGGCAGAACATTTAACTCAAACATTTAACAGATCAACCCAGTTTATGTCCAGCATTGCAGGTCTATTTATCCACACAAACACACACACACACACACACACACCACACACCACACACCACACACACACTCACAGAATGACTATTTTTTTTATTAATCAATGTATTGATATATCATAATTTTGATTCCACGTAGATGCTAATCTTTCCAATCAGTGACACCCCAACTCACAGATGCAGCTGAATAACCAGAACAGAATATGTAGAGCACAGGCATCAGGCTGAATCTAATGTCAAACTGGGATGACTTCAACAAAATAATGTTGATGGATTTGAACCCAGTTCAGTACAGTTGATAGGTCAAAGGTAATCACAGGACTGAGGTCTGATAATAGAAAGAGGTCAAATGTTAGTTATACAACTGAAACTGCCTCGAGACTTAAATACCTTCAAAAAGTATTGGTAGATTTGATCTAAATTCAATATGTAGAAAATTGTTTACAAACGGTTTAAATCAGAAGTTATTAACATGTTAAGGATATAAAAATGTTAAATGAAAAGCATTTAAGATGCAAGTCAATTTCAATAGTCTTTTGTAAAACATTAACTGATAGTCTGCGTGTATTATGTTGCGCACCCCTGTGCTGTGGCCCAGTTGTCTAAGAGGCTTCAATTCCCTGTGCAGAGTTGCATCCCATGGGCACACCAGAAACCTAACATTGTGGATCTGATTATGTTTCTAGTTTCGTCGGCACCGTGTCCATGTTCGTGGTTTTCACTGTAGTGTTAAATGTGTGAGACATGCATCACTTCGGCTTTCCTCCCACATTAAGCCGGCTTGCCATGATATAACTGGAATACTGTTCAAAGTTGCGTTAAACCCAACTCAGTTGATATTAGGTTTTTATCAGTTTGAAAACTAATGGAAAAACTTGAAACCTGAAACAGGAATATTGTAAGGTTTGTTTTAATATAATACAATATTTGAGAGGGATTGTCAGAATCCAATAATTATAGCAGGCTTCCAAAGCAGTGTTGTAATTTATTATCTGTTTGACCTATCTGCACGTGCTGCATATATGTGATGTGTCCAGGTGTGTCTCCAGGAGCTGGATCTACTGGTACATTGTTAGCAACACATTTACACAAGGATATTCACAGAGAGGCTTGTAGGTTCTCCAGTCTTTCTGAACTATGTAGGGGGCACAGGGGGCAAAGTCATCTAAGGCGCTGCAATTCACTGCAGAGTTGCATCCCTTTGGCATGCCAGGAACCTATGATTGTGGGTTTGAATCGTGGCTCACCCGAATCTGTTTCTAGGTTTGTCCGCACTATACCCATGCTTGTGGGTTTCCTCAAAGTGGTAAACATCGGAGACCTGCATCACTTCAGGTTTTCGTCCCACATTAAGCTGATATGCCTTGATATAATGGGAATACTTGTCTTAGCTGTGTTAAACACAACTTGGTTAATGCATGTCATGATCCCAATTGCGTGGATCGATGCTCATGATATCAGTCACTGGATTGTCTGGTCCAGACTTGATTATTTACAGACCACTATTATATTGAATATTGCTCCACTCTGTGCAAGCTTCTATGTTCATACAGTTTGGCCCTCACTCGATGAAAGTTCAAAGTGAAAGTCAATTCTAAAATGTCCACAACAAGAGAGTTCACTAATACGCAAACCCAATGTGAGACTCAGAACTCATCTGACATGCATGTTCAAATTTACCAACTCTCCCAAATTTGCCACAATTTTCATAAGTCACAAATTAATTAAGATAGTTTATCACTGTTTTTAACACTGACATCAGCAACTGGTCACCTTGTGGAGAACCTTCACCTATGTTTGTCGACAAAATGGGTCGGATGGTCAGGGTCTGATTGGATGTCATCATGCCATGGATTGTTGTTTATGCTTTCAGTCATGATTGGCAGACTCCATTATTTGCAGGTTGCTTTGAGGTAGCTGTAGGTTGGTTGGTTGGTTTGTTGTTTAACGCCGCACTCAGCAATATTCCAGCTATATGACGGCGGTCTGTAAATAATCAAGTCTGGACTAGACAATCCAGTGATTGATATCATGAACATCGATCCACGCAATTGGGATCAATGACATGCATCAACCAAGTCAGCGAGCCTGACCACCCGATCCCGTTAGTCGCCTTTTACGACAAGCATAGTGACCTTTTACGGCAAGCATGGGTTGCTGAAGACCTATTCTACCCCAGAATCTTCACGGGTCTGGTAGTAAACTAATTTTTTACAGCTACTTTTTTGAAGTAGCTGTAAAAAATAAGTGAGTTCATGGCGAACCACGATCACCAGCACTGGAAATCACCGTTTGCTTTTCATTTCCACATTTAACTTTGAGCATATTTCAGCATATGGATTAGATGAGTTATAAATATGCATCATCCTCATCCTCATCCTCATCCTCATCATTATCATTCCCTTGGGCACGCCAGAAACCTATGATTGTGGGTTCGAATCCCGTTTCGCCCCAAATATGTTTCTAGGTTTGTCAGCACCATACCCGTGCTCGTGGGTTTCACCGAAGTGGTAAACGTCTGAGACCTGCATCAATTCGGGCTTTCCTCCCACATTAAGCTGACACGCCGCGATAGAACTGTAATACTGTTAAAAGCGGCGTTAAAACCCAACTCACTCACTCACTCATACTCATCATCATCATCATCATCGCTTTAAAGAACATTCATGCACTCACTGAGCAAATATTGAACTGTCAATCACTGAACAAGACATCTGTAGAGTGTACTTTGTAATGTTAAGTGTACTTGATGATAGTCAGGTGTTACATTCCAGTGAGCATGTGGTTAGATTATCTGACTTGCTATCTTGCTGTCCCTGTTTTGTAAGTAGTTTTGGAAACTAATTTACAATGATCATAGTGAATTCTATGGATTTAATTAGCATTTATCATGTTTAGGTTTGTATAACTAAAATGAAGTTAGACCATGCACACTAGCGGACTACTGTTTCCTTATTGGGTGATAACAGAGTGGACAGGGCTTTGATTGTTTGTTTTTTATTTTATGCCGCACTCAGCAATATTCCAGCTATATGACGGCAGTCTGTAAATATTCGAGTCTGGACCAGACAATCCAGTAATTGACATCATGAGCATCAATGCCCGCAATTGGGATACGATGACATGCATCAGCCAAGTCAGCGAGCCTTACTACCTGATCCCGTTAGTCTTACGACAAGCATAGTCGCCTCTTACAGCAAAAATGGGTTGCTGAAGACCTATTCTACCCCGGGTCTTCACGGGTCAGCTTTGAATGCATTAGTTTGCTGAATGATGTCACTGATTTCATACTGTTTTGTGTGTTAATGATTAAAGAAGTAGTCTGTGAAGTTTTTATTGTTGACTTATTTATTTATTAGAATTCATTTCAATGTATTTTTTGCATTTATGGAGGTATAGCATAAAAATGGGTGTGCACAAATTCATAAGAAAGTATGGATTGTCATGTTAATTTTCAGGCTAAGTACCAAGTTCTTATAAAAGTTACTTACAGACAGGTCTAGAAGTAAGTCAGTGAATGGGGCGATTAGTAAGGCAAATTCAGTAACTGGGATAACTGAGAAACATTAAGCCTCATCTCTCTAATTTCAATGTCTGTGTTATGTAGATGTTTTCCCACAGTAGATAGCCATGTTAAGAAGCTGCATTCATTCATCATATTGATCATTACTGTTCTCCAGTATATATACTGTATACTGACAAGTGACTATGGTATGGTAGACTAACATTTAGTCTCTGAAATCTTATACTACACAATATCCTTCTTGACTCTAAAAATAAAAAAAATCCCTATGCTGATTTCAGAGCTAGCTTGAGCTGGCTAGACTTGCTTTTGTATGCATTTCTAGATTATTATTTTTTCATAAAATAAATATATTCCACGGTCATGGTGCAGGACTAATGGTATGGCTGTCAGTCCCTGTGTATGGTAAAGATGTGATACACTTTTATTTACTTCTAAGCATTGTCTGATGCCAACAGTGTACCTTCTCTCAGTTGGTAATATTGTTGTGTCACTTTACTTCTAAGCATTGTCTGACCCCCAACGGTGTATCTTCTTTCAGTTGGTAATATTGTTGTATAACTTTACTTCTAAGCATTGTCTGACCCCAAACAGTGTACATTCTTCCATTTGGTAATATTGTTGTATAACTTTACTTCTAAGCATTGTCTGACCCCCAACAGTGTACATTCTTTCAGTTGGTAATATTGTTGTATAACTTTCCTCCTACACATTGTCTGACCCCCAACAGTGTACATTCTTCCAGTTGGTAATATTGTTGTATAACTTTACTCCTACACATTGTCTGACCCCCAACAATGTACCTTCTTTCATTTGGTAATATTGTTGTATAACTTTACTTCTAAGCATTGTCTGACCCTCAACAGTGTACTTCCTTTCGTTTGGTAATATTTTTGTATATGAATAATATAAAATGCACGGTAAATAATGAAAGTGAAATAATATGCAGGGATTCTGTTCGTTAAAACATCAATCAAATGGTTGCTTTGCTTTCCTGAAGGTAATTTTGTAGAGCCTCGTTTGATGGACATATAGGACATATAGGGGCACAGATGACCCTAAAGCGCCATAATTCACTGTGCATAGTTACATCCCTTGTGTGCCAGAAACCTTTGATCATGGGATCGAAGCCCTGTTTGTCCTAATTGTTTCTTGGTTTGTCAGCACCATACCCATGCTTGTGGTTTTCACCATAATGGTAAACGTCTAAAAATGCATCACAACAGGCATGAACATAAACAGGATCAAGCTGACTTGCCATGATATGACTGAAATATTGCGAAACCCAACTCCATGACTCATCATGCTCATAGACATGTAACACAATGTGATCATAATATGCCAACATTATTCTAAAGAGCATGGCAACTGGTGAAAGGCAGACATCACTGTCACAATCAAGAAACAGTCAAAACTCTACTCTATTTGATAAGGATGGGAATGGTTGAAATGAAACCAAATGGCAAAGATTTACAATGGTAATGTCCGGCATTTCCATGAAACCAAATGGAAGCACAGAAATTAAAATTAAACCAAACTATATGTTAGATATCCTGTGTCAGTCAAACTAACACTGGCTTGAGAATTCTAGTCCACACAATCAGAAAAATAGTAGTTTGCAATTAATTTCACACCATACTTTTTGTATATTGATACATGACCTTGAAACATGATGCCATACCTTGACTTAGAACGAATCTGTCTTGGCTATTAATGTCCCATCATGATTCTCATACTCATTTTTCTTCCAGGAGACCTGTTATGTGAGAGCAGACGTGAACTGAAATACTTGGCAGTATGTTGGACAAGGTTGCGTACGGTGTTGCGGGGGCAGCAGGGGTGTCTGTTGTGGCCTGGAAGACCATGTTTCCTTGGATAAACCATGACCTCAAGGTCATGAAGGTCGGGAAGAATGTAAAATCTCAGATGGAGAAAGACGCAGAAAGTGGAGAGTTTCTGATTGACAGATTTGAGAAACATGTCTACAATCAACCAAGGAAGCCATTCATTATTTTTGAGGGCAGTGTTTTCACTTATGAATATGTTAACCAGCAGGCTAATAGGGTAGCAAATGTTGTGAAGACATGGGGACTTTCTGTGGGAGACACAGTGGCCATAATGATCTACAATGAACCAGCTTTTGTGTGGACGTTTCTAGGTGAGATATGACCATTTATTCCCTAGTATTTGGTGTTAGTGATGTCTTGTCCATTGTAGATTATTGCTAGGTAAGATATGAGCATTTGCTATGTATTTAGTGATGGTGGTGAAATACCATGTTTGGTGAAATTATAAACTTGATATATTTCTCCACATATTGCTCAAGTGGTATAACACTTTATGCCGGAAATAATTGCAGTCTGCATCATTGACACTTATGTTTTCAGACTCAAATCAATGAGAAAATATGTAAATAATACGGTAGAATGTAATACTTTTCTTGTCCAGTGACATTTTTGTCTCATTTTATAAGCTGAAATTGGTGATATTTTCACTTACGGCTTTGTCAGTGATGAAAATATAAAAATGTGCTGATTGCAATCCGTCCAAAATCCAGATGGAACAGCGTTTGTTTTTGTATCAGTCCACGATGGTTGTAGTCAGTTTCAGTTTCACTGATACAGGAACAGTAAGGATGATATACAGGCCCTGCTAACTATTTGAATAAGAAGCGTTGAATGAAATTGTAGCACAGCTTCAGCATTTTTGTAAACAAATGCAAACACTTTGTGAGCGAAAAGAAATTCTGTCAGATTTTACAGTGGTCGTCAGCGCAATACATGCACAGTTGGGAATAACTTTGGCTGTATCTGTCAATACCCGATCGTAGTCTATTGACAACACCTTTTCTGGAAAAACTGTGCGAGAAATGGCGATAAACAAACGAATAGGCGACAAGCAAAGTAATTCTTTTGGTTAGTCCGACTCGTAGTCTTGACTATAATGCATAAAATCAATGGTACTGATTAGCCAACAGTCATGTATAACAAAATTTGTTATCTAAAGTGGGAGACATGTTTTCTTGTATCAGCAAATAAACGGCAAAAAAAGCAGGGCAGTAGTCAGGTAAAGTCTTAGAAAACACTTAAGGTGACACAGTTTCTGGAATTGTAGTGAAGTCAAAACTCTTGACATCTCGCCCATCCGTCCACTTGGTATCAGTGTGGAGCCCAAACAAACACTTCATGGCCTGGAATTGTATCCATTAATAAAATTAATTTAGTTAACATAGTTTAAGTCCCAGTCAGCAACAGACAAACTGCCTACTGGGTATTAGCTCTATTAATATCAACAATTATTGGGAAAATACTGACTCTGGCTCTAAGACGGTAACAGTGAATCAAGTTGTGTGGGAAGTCATTTATCTAGCTTTAAGACTTGATAAACTTTTCATTGACATGATCAAAATACAATAATGCATACAAAATACATATTATTCCAGATATAACAGACGTGTGGTAACCATGGTAACTTTTGTGTATGATGTTACAGGTCTCCAGAAATTGGGAATAGCAGCAGCTCTCATTAATTTCAACTTGCGTCAGAAACAGCTGAGTCATTCTGTCAATGTCAGCGGAGCCAAGGCATTCATTGTTGGACAAGGTGATTTTATTATATTTCAACCATTTTATGATTGTGCTACTGTGTATGCTTCCTTTTTTTTTAAGATTTGACATTAGTTGCCCCAAAATGACCTCCTTGTTCAAGAGGTGTCATGGTTGTCAGACGAAGTCACTGGAGTGAGTGAGTGATTTGACTTTTAACTGTTCAAAAAAGCATTCTTGCATATCCAGCGAATTATATCTCCATTCTATTTTGATAACTACCCTCGACTCAGTTGCCACTAAAGCTGCGTTTCAGGCACAACATCACCTTTTCCATCCCTCTTAGCACAGAATGTCTGTCACTCTTGAGTTTAAAATTAACAACCATTCACAAATGTATTAACAAGAGTTTGGCATAGGCATTTTTTCAAGATTGCAGCCTTGTGCGGGCATGCCCTCGAAAAATTTAATCAAATCAGAAGATTGATCTAAATTATATTTTACCAGTAGATGGAAAAAATATTATTTTTTACTTCTCCTGCATTACTGCTTAATGCATTTACTGCTTACTTTTGAAAGAATTTAAGCTGTGTGAGTTCCAGCAGAAGAAGTTGTTCCAACCAGAAGTGAAGCCGACCCTCACAGCTTCCACGTGATCAACTGTAAGTGATGACATCATGGAATCATCATATTACTACTTGTCACCAGACAGACATTTTGTATCAATAAAATTGTCCCGCAATTGGAGTATTTCTGTGGCTTATTTTCTTGTGCTGAATGTATATTATACCCTATTGGTATCGGTATTGGTTCACAGTACACATGTAATTGTGCTAAAGCAGTAATATATTGCATGTGAAGGTGGCATTTGTCAATGTAACATTGACCTGTTTGTTGTACAAATCCACCATTTTGAATTACTAACATGGTCTCGTATTTTCGAGGTATGCGATTATATTTTTTTTCTGTTTGGTATTATAATATCTTTAAATACCTTAAAGCCTCTGGTTGGCTTCTACAGTGTTTACACTTTCATGTAGTGTATCTGTAAAACCTTTTATTAGATGACGATGTGACTTTTTATCCTTTATAATTGGGTACTCATGGTCATTGCGGTTTCTACTTAATTGTAAATTTATGCCTGCTAATTGTGTCTGTTGCTGTGGTAAGAAATTCTTCTTAGTTGCTGCTTCCATGGTGGCTTGATTGTCTGCAGTGTCGCCCTTGGTGGACTTGGGTACGCCGTCTTCTCTCAGGGCCCAGCATCACATGGGTCAGCATCACACAGAGTAACCTCCAGGCAATCTTCCATTCACCTACCTGCCACTCGCTGCACTACTACTCAGATTACGAGACATCCTCTGAGTGGGACAACCATCTCAGCCTTACCTAGATGCCGGACTTGATCATAGACCGCCAGATTGCGGTACCACCTGACTGCAGCAGCAAGCGACGTGGTTAAACGAGACACTATCTGGTCCAAGCTTACCTCTATTCTGCCAGATCTGATGCTGAAGGATCTGGTCTCAGCATTGGACAAAGAATTTGCGATATTATCTTTATCACTGGCGGAGGTTCCTCAGTTTAGGAAGGACAATTTCTCCATCCATGCTTTGGAGGTGGCAGAAATGGCACACACCCGAAATGAGGATCTCCATCATATGACAGGGTCGTCTAAGCCAACGACTCTCCAGATACCGGACTCGTGATTTGTACAGTGGAGGTCTGACATTCCCTCAAGCCTTTGGCAGTGCCTGGCCTCATGGTGGAGGTTCTGTGAAAGTTCCCGCCAATTCTCCCTGTCTAATCAGTGTAGGTTCAAGATTGACTGAACAATTCCACGGAGAGGGTGATCATACTCTTGTAGAATTTGTTTCATATGGCTTCTGGTAGACATGATCTGTATCAAAACTTGAAGATCATCACAAATTCTTTATCGATTAGACATTTGCAGAATCATCATATGCTACCGGGTACCCACCTCTCGGGATCATCGTTCACAAGACAGGACCAGATGTCACAAATATCACGGAGATCAACTTGCTCCTACACTGGCCATGTGACACATTCTATACAGAACTCGGAAACATCACTTGTCTGTCTACCACACTGTTCATAGTGGATTGTCCATGTGTGGAGCTTGAACCTTGAAAAATGAAAAATGCGGGATTCTAGGTTACTGGGCTAGGTGATTTAAATGTCACGTGTCAAGGACTCTCTGAGTTCTGATTGGTTTGCATGCTCACTTGTATGTAATGCAGCAACCTCTCAATCAGATGCTTGTCGCTGTATATCTGTGTGACCGAGCCACCAACTTCAGTAGACCCCCGATGTTATCATGCGAAGTAATGAGTCGCCAACCGTCAATGTCGCCTCGATATAAGAACGGGAGATGCCCAGGGGATGGAAACAATCACCTTACTGAGTACGGTACGATCTTTCACACCAAAGAATTATATTTATTCAGCCTTATTTAGCAGATACAGCATCTATTTTATAATTCTTCCCACGACCGCTACGTCAATGCCACTGTGATCAGTTGGGGAGCACGTTTATTTAGTCTATATGGGATCTGGCATTGGTTAGTAGACACAATTATCCACGTACCATCAAAGCACGACACGATCAGAAAAACTCCTGAAGTTGACTTTTCAACTTTACAGTCTTGTAGACAGCCTTATCTAAATCTGCTACCCACTCTTCAACAGCCGCTGACACTTCGTCAGAGGCAAGTGCTCCTGGGATTTCTCACATCAGGCGTCAGGAACCCAGCGTATACGTCGCTCTACTGTCGTAGGAGGTGTCTCCTGAACATAGTTATCACGAATGTCACACCTATTCGTAGATGCCTATCTTCAGGGTTGGGGTGTGCTTCTAGAGGACCAGATGACCTCAAGGCTTTGGTCTGGCACACAATGCAATTGGCACATCAATAACCTGGAGTTGGAGGTGCTCATCTTGGTGATATCACACTAGCAGGAGCCCCTACGGTACACTCACCTCGCCATCTCCACCGACAACATCAATGTGGTCTGGTGCCTGCACAATCAGGGGACGACGCACTCTCACTCCTTCCATCAATAGAAGTTCTGGTTTTTCCATCTGGTTGATTGGCTGGGTCTATCATTTCTGGTCCAGCACATTCCTGATTGTCGGAACGTTCTGGCAGAAGTTTCCTCCCAAGGTGTTTCTTGTCGTGTGTCAGCGCCTCGGTTATCCCAACATTGACCTCTTCGCCACACGACAGAACTACCAGATACAGACTTATCTCTCTCCAATCCCAGATCCGCAGGATTGGGCGGTGGATGCATTCAGCATCCCTTGGGAAGGACTAAGCGGTACACTTTTCCGCTACCTGTACTTCTTCCCAAAGTGATGCAGAAGATCAGAGCAACCAAGAGCCTCGCTTTGATTTTGATCACGCCTTGGTGGTCGCCAAGATGGTGGTTTGTAGACCTCAGAAGTCATGCAGGAAGCAATCCACTGGGAACTGGAGAAAACAGCCACCGCGCTATTGGAAAAAACGTCTGCTGCATAAGAGAAAATGGCCACCACGATTGGAGAAAACGTCCACCGTCCGGCCTCTTTATCTATAATAGAAAAGGGGGTAACTAAATCAGTTTTAATAGCATTCAACAATGGATTTTGTGATATTTTAGTTCACTTTCAGCATGACATTTGTAATTTACATGCCTGATTCACATTGAGTCCTCACATCACACAATTGTTATCTCATATGTCAATCACAGGTCGATGGACAAGACTGGTCAGTAGTTCACCGGCAGTCAGCTGATCATACTCTGCAACCACTTCCTCTTGCTTTATGCTGGCATTCTGCCTTACATAGGTTCACACAAGGCATTCAGGAGGAGTTGGGCTTCTAGATGAAGGGACGCTGTCAGTTCATTGAGATTGCCAGCCTGAACAAAATGTTGAATGATCAGTACTGATTTACAAATAAGAATAATGACTATACATATATATGTAATGAATATATATATTGAATATAAACCTACCTCCACATGATTAATAGTGCAGACTGACTGGTTGAAGGAGCTGATGGACTGAAGAGGGAACGTGTTGCTAGATATCCACTGTTATAAGTCAGCGAACTTGACCATGGTCTTTCACTTTAGATGTGATCTCTGCAAACAGGGGGCAGATGTGAAGATAAGAAAGGATGGCCATCAGCTTGTTGACAAACTTGGTCAGGTACCAGTTACCATGACTTGTATAAGCACTCTATAAATAGACAAATAAAACTGAAAGTAAAAAACTGAAAGTAAAGATGTCGAAGGCGTTCATAGCCCAGCAGGTCACCAATCCTCGTCCCCATTAAAATGCTCCTCCCATCCAGAGACAGCATTACCTGACTGGCATATTGTTTACACCCTCGACAGTAATTGGCTTGGTAAATCAGTTTCCAGACTTTAGTATATGCAAATTTCTCGTGGATGTTTTTGCATCTGTGCAAAGTGATATACTACTGCAGAGTTTATGTCACTGAGGACTACATCTGAAGGTATGCCCTCCAACGTACCGTCCGATACAGATGCATTAAGGAGTAATGCAGGAAATGTAAAAAATTTAGTAAGATCTAAATTTTTTTACATTTGTATACTTATCCTGCATTACTACATATAAGGGCCCACCCGTCACAGACATACCTTCCCACAACATCTTCAGATGAAATTATGTGTGACTTGTAGTAAAATAGAGATCTTGTTATGTCATCACTTCCGGTTGATCACATGGCAGCTGTGAGAGGGTCAGCTTCACAACTGGTTGGAACAACTTCTGCTGGACCTCACACAGCTTCGTTTCTGTCAAAAGTAAGCAGTAAATGCATTAAGCAGTAATGCAGGATAAGTATACAAATGTAAAAACTATTTAGACTTTACTACTTCCTGAGTTTTAAGATTGTGGAAGGGAAGTCTTCATGCCTTGACAGGTGTATCTGAGACGGTGAGTGCAACAAATGAAGTCGGGCACTGGAGATAGCGTAGCTTGTTTTGATCATGAAGGAACAGAGTTATTTGAATTTGAACTATTATTAACATCTTGTCTTAAGAATGTGACTGAAATAAAGATTCCATACTGGGGCAGATGGGTCCAGGATATTCATCATAATAGAGATATTTTTCACTGGAGGATATTTAAAGAGGTATTGGAGCCTGATACCAGTTTCCAATCTAGCTCTAGACATTGTAGTTTGTGCAATGTGTGTAACTGAGACCCTGCTGTCTCTCCTGTTTTTGACTGGGGACACAGGTGACCCAGCCGTCTAATGTGCCCCAATTCAGTGTGCAGAGTTTCGTTCCTGGGGCATACCAGTAACCAGTGATTGTGGGTTTAAAATCCTAGTTTGCCCAGATTATGTTTCTAGGTTTGTCAGCGCCATACCAATGCTTGTTTGTTTCTTCAAAGTGGTTGACGTCTGAGAACTGCATCACTTATGGCTTTCCTCCCACATTTAGCTGACATGCCGTGATATAACTGGAATACTGTTAAAGCAGTGTTAAACTGAAGTCACTGGCTCTTTGTGGTTTGTTATTTCATAAATGCAATGGTATCCAAATCATTGCAGGAGCGGAGCTGTTTGAAGCAGTCCACGTGGAGGAAGGAGAGTTCAGTGGCATGCCGATATATATCCAAGGATGTACAGCCAATCAGCTGCCAGCTGGTTACAACTCATTCGATGATCTCATGGTGGTGTCGTCTCCTGTTGGTGTTGACCCCAGCGTCCGTGCAACTGTAACATTGATGACCACGGCATGTTATATTTACACATCAGGAACTACGGGTAATGCTGTCCTACATTCTGAGTTTGTTTCTGAATAGTTATGTATTCTTTATGAAGAGAACAAGTTTCAAAAGTGCTTGAATTAACCTGTCTAATAAAAAGTGCTTTGAACGTTTTACCATCAAGTTCTGGAATATTATTGACAGTTTTTAAAAGTACTGGAATGCAAATAAGATCAGTCCAGATGTGACAAAATCGCTATTGAAAATTAATATTGATGGAGTTTCAATGCATTGTTTACTTCCTGCTGCTACAACATATAAAAAGACATCTTTCTATCATGGGTTATGTCCATTAATTTCTTTGTGCATTCCATTACTGACTACACTTTAATTATCATGTTATCATGAGGAGAACTGGAGCCTTGTTCTTCCTGAAATCGTGAATGTTACATCGACTCCCCGGGGGTCACTCACGACATATGACAGAAGCAGGACAGAAAGTTAGCTTTGAAATGTATTCTAATCATGGAGCACTGTTTTTCATTGTACTCCGGTTTCAAAGTACCAATGGGTGACAGAAACAAGTCATTGTGTTACACTACACACTACACACTACACTACAGTAACTGTTCTAAAGAATCATTTAGCTTATCAATAATACAGTACACTGCTGTTGAATTCTTAGCGCAAACAAATTTCTGCATGGTTGTGACCTTGGGATGGTTTTTGTAACTGTAGTGTATGCTCTGATGATATGACATCGATAAACAATTAATGCAACTGAGACATTTCCCTTTATGGATGCACTTACCTTTCAGCTCACTCAGTGTACCCAGAAAGCAGCAGTGGCCAATCTCATTAAAATCAGACCTCAGTTCTCGCTACCGCTAAACAAAGACTTTAACTCCGAACGATAGTTACGGGTTTAACGACTGAATCCATACAATCTGGACTACAGATTAGCCACTTCAGAATGTTCTTTTGTTCAGGTTTCAAATTTGTAATCAAGAGTTTGTCAAAATATGTTTCGAAGCGTAGTCGCCAATTTGAAATTAGTGCTGTAAAGCACAAGAAAGCTTCCTTCTGATTGGTCATTCCATTGGTTGGTCAAAGTTCGCGCAAGGTCGGTCTGACGTGACCCGTAATGGGATGTCCTCAGATGTTTGTTTAGTGGTAGCGAGAACTAAGATCTGATTTTAATGAGATTGCAGCAGTGGCTGGATGGAGTAAAATACAAATACTCCTTTGCTACACTGACATATTTTGGATGGAGAGTTACAATTTTTAGCTCACCTGACTAAAAGTCGAGTGACCATGTGTTGTGGCCTGTTGTCTGGTGTCCGTCTTTCTTCTCCTCAGAAACCACTAGGCCAATGGAACTGAAACTTGCTTGTTCCCTCCAATGATGATACTCAAATTTGTTCAGTAGGTTCAAATTCAGTTTGAAAAAAGCTATTTATTACCACTACTCTGCTATTTTTGTATATAGGTATAATTTTGTACATGCATAGTTAGCAGTGGGGTTCAACATATGTGTTCCATATTTTTGCAACATTTTAAATGTTGACTTTTCATGCTCTTGCAATGCATTTCCTCTCACTGTAAACATCTTCTACCACTGGGCCAATGAATCTGAAACTTCACAAGCTTGTTTCCATCAATAATGACACCTGAATTTGTTCAAGAGGTTTGAATACGATTTCAATAAAACCACCACAGCCGCAAACTATTTTTGGCCATTACTCGTTTTTATTAAAATGTTTGTTTAATGCTACACTCAGCAATAATGAAATCCGTGCATGTGTGGCTAGCAGTGGGGATCAACATAGATATATATTCTTTTTTTGCTGATTTTTTGCTAATTTAAATTTTAACTTTGTTTGACACATGTGGAATTCTCTCATCTGCATATTTGCTAAGGCCAACTTCTTCTCCCCTGAGGCCCGTGAAGATCCGGGTTAGAATAGGTCTTCAGCAACCCATGCTTACCGTAAAAGGCGACTAACGGGATCGGGTGGTCAGGCTTGCTGACTTGGTTGATGCATGTCATTGGTCACAATTGCGTGGATTGATGCTCATGATGTCAATCACTGTATTGTCTGGTCCAGACTCAATTATTTACAGACCACTGTCATGTAGCTGGAGTATTGCTTAAACAACAAACAAACAAACTCCCCTGAAGTTGCCAGACGGAGGGAGCTGAACTTTGCCATGTATATTCCTCCTGTTCATGAGATATTTTGTTCTGTTCATTGAAGTTTAATGTTAGTTTTTAGTATTTACTCATAAAATATTTGAATATCATTGCTGACAGCAACTTTTGTTCAGTGTCTGTCTTTGGTTTTTGAAGTGTTGAATACATATCCAGGTGAGCTACAGTGGGTCCAGGTAACATTTGATAATTCATCTTTCAAACCTAAATTTCCAACTTAAAAGTTCTACATCGCATACAACTTCTCACTTCCAAAATCTGTTTTGAAAGATGGAAGTTTAATAAGCTCAACACCCCTTCCAACTTCTTACCTCCATACACCATTTTGGAAAGATGGAAAGCTTGAAAAGTCTGCATCAAATCTCACTTCCCACTTCACAAATGTACAAAACAATGCTACCATGATAACTTGTGGGTTTACCTGTCATGATTTTTGGGGTAGGCTTCCCCTCTCCAACCACTTTTTATAATCCTCGATCCATCCCTGCACACACACCATCACACCTTCTGCATCCGCCTTTGCTGTAAAGATTACTTTACCATTTAATTTATGAATAAAAGGTAGCTAGCTATACCATGGTTTATTCTCCCAGCAGTATCTTGTTGTACTTTAAACAACTCCCACTTGTCATTTATTTCTTAATTAATGTAGGATAATTACAAATTTCCCTGTTTTATTTTGTACTACATCTATTTAGTATTTAGCTTATGGGCTTAAGATACCATCCAGTGTCTTAAAAGAGAATGTATGTTGTAAAATCTCATTTCTGACAGGAGGTGTATCATTTACGAAAAAATGACCTTTTTATCATTAGCTTCCCAAACTATGAAATAGGAAGTTTAAAGTTTGCAGCAAATTCAAGTTTTTAAGGTTTCTAACTCCTAAACATCCTTCAAAGCGAAGTAGAGCTTTCGAGTTTTCGAGCTTTCCATCTTTCCAAAATGGTGTATGGAAGTAAGAAGTTGGAGTTTAGAGTTTTCGAGCTTTCAATCTTTCCAAAATGGTGTACGGAAGTAAGAATTTGGAAGCCATGTAGAGTTTTCGAGCTTTCCATCTTTCCAAAATGAAGTTTGAAAGATGAATTGTCAAGTGTTATCTGGACCACAGTGCCATTACCAGTATTCAACCTTTTTATGGCCAATGACAATGTGCTGCTGAAATGTTAAGATTTACTCAAAGTTCGTCTTTTCCTGATTTTTTTCACCAGGAAAGATGACCTGATGGTGGGCTGGCTAGTTTTGTCATTGTACCCTAATGCTGCTCACTCTATCGACCATTGCTTTCTTTACAGGAAGCAGTGTCCCTTTAGGGAGCAGTTCAGAAGTTTGATTGGGATACAAAACTTTATTCCTTTTGTTTGTGGCAACAACAACAACAACAACAACAACAATCACGCCCTCCCCCATACATTTTTGTTGTTCATATGTGAAAATCTTGACCTGCTTTGCGACCTAACATGCTCAGTAATGTTTCCTCCCTTATGACCCTAGGATACCCCAAACCATCTATTATCCCCCAGAAGAAGATGATGGGCTATACCCTGGGGCTTCAAGTTGTTTCATTGAGTGTCACTGACACAGTGTACAACTGCCTTCCGATGTACCATGTCTCGGGAATTGGTGTTGGCGTTGGAGGGGTTGTGTCAGTTGGTATGTTGTTGTTAACAAGAATCGGGAACTTGCAATTCCTGTGTATATGTATTGAGGACTCAGAACTATGGCAGGTCTCCCATCTGTGACACATCGTCTAATTTATGGCAGAAATGTACACATCCATTTTGGCTTGGATCCTGCTGGAAGTTGACAGTGGTGTGATGTCATTAAAGGATCACATCCTATTAAATTTTGGGGTTGTTCTTACAGTCTTAGCCACGGGGCACAATGTAATGTCCTTTTGGGTTTTTTTTAGAGTAAGGTGGTGATTGATCAATTCTAACTTTATTGCCCAATTTTGCAGACATGTCAAAGTAGATGATCTACCACAGAATGACAGATATAAATTACCGATATGCCACAAATCTGAGAATCTGCCATTGATTTGAGTCCCACCTTAGATGTGAGTGTTTCTAGTGCTTACATGTAGTCATATCATCCTCATTTGGCTCTCAGGACTGCCCAAGCCAGCATCCATTGTTCAGGTGAAGGCATTGGGTATCGGCAACTGCCTTACCATTGTCAGCCTCACCAGCAATGACATCGTGTACACCGTACTTCCACTTTATCACAGCTCAGGTGGAGGGATTGGCATGATGGGAACAATCAAAGCTGGTATGTTGATGAGGCGAAAAAAATTCTATTCCAAATTCCAAAATCTGTTTTATGCTTAATCCAGGACTGCCCAAACCAGTGTTTATAAGGCAAATGAAACTCACGTCATTGAGTGGTGGTTTCTTGTTGGTGGACTTCAACAAGGATGATGTGTTGTACATGACGTTGCCGCTGTACCACAGCGCCGGCGGCGGGCTGGGTCACTACGGTTGTATCCGTGCTGGTATGATGTCAAACTCTTGTCTTGTCTGTTCCACAGCGCAACCTTTTGGACCCTCCTGATGAGTTTTATTCACTCTAGCGAAATACAACTCAACACCACTATTGTGCATTTAATGGAAAATGCAAATGTCCTTTTAGTTGTGAAAAAAACAAAACCCAAAAAACTCTCATCTTGGCTAAATTTTAGCTCACATTCTGTTCCTTAGTACTTACCTGATGATAGGCAAGAAGTAGCCCTGAAAAGATGCTTCAAATGATAAATATGTTGTTATGCTTCAACGTTGCTGGTATTCATGTTCTTCCAACGCCCCTTAAAGAATTAAGTTACAGTGTGTAGTTGTAAAAGTGGAAAAGCAACAAGACTTAAACTAGCTGTTGTGTTGTCCCTTTGTTATTCTATAACTTTGAGACAGTGTCATGGTGCTTGGTTCAAGCTGTCAGGTTAAACATAAATCCCATGAAAAAAACGCATTCTAAAATTTATTTTTTTTTGGCCTCAAGGCACTCATGATAATTTTTAGGTGTGCCTCAAACAAATTAAATGAACCAAGATATATGTATATCCTAATCATAGAAAATGCAATGTATTTGTACTCATAGCCACATTCGTCTGTTTCACAGCTTGTTAAAAGTTCAAAATGTTAATCGTATTTGTAGCCACAAAACAATGACACCACAAACAAACATCGCTATGCCCATAGAAGTTAATATTATGGCAAGTGAAATGATATCCTCGTTGAAATTTTTATTCTTAACATAATTGCAGTCAATTAAATATTTCAAGTTAGCGTTTGAAAAATCGATTTGAGATAGTTGTTATATATTCTTAAAATTGCAGGCCTGCTGTGCCATAAGGGCATTGGGAGTTTGTTTTAACCATAATAACATCTTAATCAGGATTTTAACCATACAATCGACACACTTGTATGTATATATTTTTAACCCTAGTATTTTTATTTAGGTTGAGATTAATGAAAGTCTGTAATGAATCAGCGTGGCTGAATCAAATAATTTTATCTTACTCTATTTGTTTATATTAATTCTCTGGGTCAGCTAACTTGCAAGTGTTGTTCTGTGTTGCTTCTTGTGTTGTCATGACAATGTGACAGGCTCACTGCAGTCATTTTGTAATTCGTTGTATATGTGTTAGTGTAGGAGGCTTTGGCTTTGTACTGCTTGCATCTTTGCAATGTTGTGTCTGTTGCAGTTTAGGTGATGTATTTATAAACAATTGAATAAATACTGTATTCAACATGCTGGTATTATAAAACGGGGCTAAGGAAACTAAATTTGTAAACTGTTTTGTTGCTATGAGAAATCAATCATGAGCCAATCATCTTCAATTGTATCATTCTAAATATTTTGATTGTTTTTATCTTCACAATTTATGTTGATTTAGATGAATTTCTCAAGAAAACACTTTAACTATTGAAACTTTTTTTGAATGCTCTCAAGATAATTATAAGGAAATACAAATGGACAATACTCACACAGCAGGTATTCAAATAAGACAATAAAGATACATCAACAAAATCAGTGATTAATGATTGTGGCTGCCTGGTCTTGCAGGTGCAACTATGGTCCTGCGAGGGAAGTTCTCAGCGTCACACTTCTGGGAGGACTGCTGTCGCTACAGAGTGACAGTCATACAGTATATCGGGGAACTGTTCCGGTACCTCCTCTCACGGCCAGAGGTGAGTGTACAGGGTGTCTGTCATACAGTATATCGGGGAACTGTTCCGGTACCTCCTCTCACGGCCAGAGGTGAGTGTACAGGGTGACAGTCATACAGTATATCGAGGAACTGTTCCGGTACCTCCTCTCACGGCCAGAGGTGAGTGTACAGGGTGTCTGTCATACAGTATATCGGAGAACTGTTCCGGTACCTCCTCTCACGGCCAGAGGTGAGTGTACAGGGTGTCTGTCATACAGTATATCGGGGAACTGCTCTGGTACCTCCTCTCACGGCCAGAGGTGAGTGTACAGGGTGACAGTCATACAGTATATCGGGGAACTGTTCCGGTACCTCCTCTCACGTAGGATTGGTTTGACTGGGCTGATTGGTTGCCATCATACCTGACAACATCCTCTTGCTCTGGCAACTGACTCTCATTACAGGCTGCTGTGGTATGGTTTGAATACTGCACATGGTGGAATACTGGTTCATCTCATCCAGGCTTTAGGCAGTCGGTAGCCTAGTGGTTAAAGCATTTGCTCGTCATGCCGAAGATCTGGGTTCGATTCCCGACATGGGTACAATGTGTGAAGCCCATTTCTGGTGTCCCCCGCTGTGATATTGCTGGAATATTGCTTAAAGCGGCATAAAACCATACTCACTCACTCACTCACTCACTCACTCACTCACTCACTCACTCACTCACTCACTCACTCACTCACTCACTCACTCACTCACTCACTCACTCACTCACTCAGGCTTCATTGTGATGTAAATGTCGTGTATGTATATAGCTATACAAATGGACTATGAACTCATTGACATATTCACTGCAGGGAAGTGCTGTTTTGCTTTCAGAGCCCTGAAGAGAAGAGTCATCAAGTGCGAGCCGCGTTCGGCAATGGTCTGCGGAGAGACATTTGGGAGCAGGTGCAGGCAAGATTCAGAATACCCCAAATAACTGAGTTCTTCGGGGCAACAGAAGGAAACACGATGTTGTTCAATGTCAGCAATAAACCTGGGGCTATTGGAAGACTCTCTCCACTCTTGGTGAGTTCAGTGTATTGACAGTTGCCTCGGTTACAGTGTGTCCAAGGCCCACTTGCCTGAAAAAAACCACCTTACGGCTAAAACTATTGAACTCCTAATTTTTAATATTGACTGTGCTGGAGTATTGCTTATTGCAGAATAACATAACATTCACTCACTTCAAAAATCTGCAGAAATTCAACAAGGTTATCAGTACATTGAAACCTTTTATGACAGATAATAGCCTTTGACCATTTGTTCTTTTTTTTCATAGATGTTTGAATCATTAATAGGGAGTAGCCAAACGGTTTGAGTAATTTGGCAATGATTATAATAATGTCCTCATCAAATAATTATGAAGCAATGTTTTCGTTTGGTTTTAATTTTTTATGTCTATTGCTTTAACAGCGGAAGTTGACTCCGAATTACCAAACTTTGGTCAAATACGACTTTGCAACAGCTGAACCAGTTCGAGACAGCAATGGACATTGTATAGAAATTAAACCAGGTTAGCTTTTCTTTCACATTCAATCTACCTGTCAATCTATTCAGTGAAATAAGCTAGAAGTGTTGGTATTCTGTTATTATTGTATGGATTTTTGAATAATTATCTTTTGCAAAACGATACCAAAAGATAAGTGATTGGCTTTTTTTTATTAGAATAAAGATTTTTATACATATTATTCACCATTAATTTTATTGCAAACAGCAGTGTTACAATCTCACGTGTGTTTTTCATTTCACCTAATTGTAAACAGTGTCAGTTCAATTTGTTTTGTCACGTAATATTTTCATAATTTCATTGTTTATTTGTCATCAGTCTTGTAAACGTGGTAGCAGTAGGGCCTTGTAAACTAACTGAAAATCAATATAAGAACTTGGTATTTTTTTACTCCTTGTTTGAAATATGTCATTAAATGTGAGTTAGCAGACAATTGGTTTTGAATGACATAACTGTTCTACAACTTCCTTGGATGTTTTCTTTCAGTAAAGGCTTATTAAGAATTCATGAGGATTTGCACAGTGTGCACACTGCTTTACATGTTCATACCTTCATGAACGCTAAAATATATTTGAGTCAATTATTATGAATTAATAAGTCAACAACGATAACTTCACAGATTGTTTATTTAAGCATTTACCAAAAAAATTGTTCAGTGTAGTACACAACCAATTTTCTGACAATAAAATTGCTTGGTTAGCCAATCAAATGCCATGGAATGACTTGCAATTTATTTAATGACAAACAACATAAAACCCTTTGATATATCAGATACCAATTTCAATTTGAAAATTATTACAGAGTATTTTTGTGTATTTAATGAAGGAGAGAAGGGCTTGTTTATATCGGCCATTGCTCCCGAGATGGAAGGAGTCGAGTTCTACAAAGCATCAAAAGCAGCCAATGAAAAGAAGCTTGTTCGTAACGCCTTCAAGAAAGGCGACTCTTACTTCAATTTCGGTGACCTCTTCTACCTCGACCGAGAATACTTCGTGTACTTTGTTGACAGAATCGGTGACACATTCAGGTTGGTAGCCCAGTGTGATGAAACTATGCATTGCTAGGGTTATGTTAAGCAAGCTAATTACAATCAGATCTTTTACTCTGATGCAATACCTCTCTCTGCATGACACCACAGGAGGTCGTGCCAGGTTATCTTTCAAATCAGCCAATCAGCATCGAGGCTTCTGCAACTGATTTTATTTGTAATTGAGGTAATCCCATTGTGAAAAAATAACGCTTCGCTATTATATTGGATGGATATGTTTTTATTACTTGTCCGTGAAGAGATCACCCGTTTAATAAACATACAGCTGTATTGCACATTGTGTAATACCAAAATGCATGCTTATGTACTGTCGGAACAAGTTTCACGAACAAATATCTGAGAGGAGCTTATGCACACTCGATGACCCCAGTAACCTTGTTGCTAGGCTGACGTCACATGACATTGTTTCGCTGATGGATCTTGCAACAAAATTCCACAAATTATGTCATCGGGTATTGTGACGTGATTGTAAACTTTGTGGTTCAGAACCACGTCCCACAAGAAGATCGTACTGTAGCGCAACAACAGTTGTAAGTCTATGTAAAAGTATGTGAGTTGCGATAACCTATGCACTACGATAACTATCTGGAACGGACACCTGAATTCTAAAGGTGGAAAGTTGTATGGTATTATATTAATACGTTTCAACGTTTGACGTGTTTGAAGTTTTATTCTGTTAAACTCAATTAGATATTATGCCGTGGATCATGTAGGTGTCAGCCTATTCACACACGACAGTTTAATTCTAAAAACGTAAATGCAAGTAATAAATAAAATACTAAACGAGCTCCCATGTAAAACCAATTTTATGAAACTCTTCAATGGTTGTGGTATCTGAATTGCTTTCAATCGTCAGAAACCACAACTATTCACTCGTTTCATAAAATTGGTCTTACACAGGAGTTTGTTTAGCATTCTATATATATCCTGTTGTTTGTGAGTGTTGTGACATCTACACCCAAAAGGATAACAATGGAGGCATAGGTGTGTTGTTTGGCTTTCTTTAGCAGAGACTGAAATTTCTGACACTAGTTGTTTTAGAGAGCTGAACCCACACATCCTTCAATTTAATTGGGCGATTAAAGTTCGGTGAGGATTCACCTCACCGACCTTCTCTGGGGTGTCCTCAGATCGTGATTTGACAGGAATCATATTTGAGTGAAAGTTCTGATTTTAATGAGACTATGTTTGAAGTTGTATACTGAAAGGTGTCATCTAAGGGCGACTGACTGGTTGACACATCTACTTCTTCCTACAACTGGAGCCAATGTCTTAATGATCTGTCTCCATGGTCTAGTACCGCCTCCGTGGTCTAGTGGTACAGCGTCCGCCCGGAGAGCGGAAGGTCCGGGGTTCAATCCCCAGCCGCGTCATACCAAAAGATGTTAAAAGATGGTACTTGTTGTTACCCTGTCTGGCGCTCGGCATTAAGGGGTTAAAGCAAGGACTGGTCAGCTCGGAGTCAGTATACTGTGTCTGAGTGGGGTATTCATGTTAAACTCTGGCATGGTATCTCAGTGGGCTAGCACTATAAATCGGCATCAGTCCGGACTAGTACAAGCAGCCACACAAACACACACACGAACATGCACGTCACTATATAAGTGCAATAATCTTGGAAGCAACGTTAAACCCAATTTCACCTCACCTCACCATGGTCTAGTAGAGCGTCTGCCCAGTGAGTGAAGGTCAGGGTTAATTCAAGGGCTGCTTCATACCAAAAGATGTTGAAGTAAAGTACTTGTTGTTACCTTGCCTGGCGCTCCGCATTAAGGTGCTAAAACGAGGACTGGTCAGATCGGAGTCAGTATACTGTGTCGGAGTAGGGTATTCATGTTCAACTCTGGCATGGTATTTCAGTTAGGAAGCACTATAAAATTTGCATTAGTCTGGACTAGTACAAGCAGACACACACACATACACACACACGCACACACACACAACGTACCCAGATATCAATCACAGGATCATCTTGTGCAGCCTCCATTATTTACAGACCACTTCATATGGCTGGAATAATGCTGAGTGTAGTGTTAAACAACAAACAAACAAACAAACATCTATACTTGATTTTAGCTACCACAACATGTGTCATGGCATGGCTGTTTTCTTTCTATCATCTACATGATGGCTTGTCCTCCAATGTTGTAAGTCAGGTACCATTCAAAACATTAAATGTCCTCAGAATAAAACATTAAGCTTGTAATAAATAATTTGTTGTGGCTTAGGCTATCTTAATGGAAACAGTTATCACATCGATATTATTATTATCGACTCCAATATTTGTTTCTAGATGGAAGGGTGAGAATGTGTCCACAACAGAGGTGGCCAACATTTTGTCCTCCCTGGACTTTGTCCATGATGCCAACGTCTATGGTGTCACTGTTCCAGGTAAGATATTTCATTTCTGTGGAAAACATTAATCAGTAAATTGATGTGAAATCTGGGATTTGTTCCTGATAGCATGCTTGTGTTATTTATCCAATGTATTGTGGATCAGTTACGATCAAAGTAAAAAGACCTTTAGTCCTAGCTTGTTATCTTGATTGCAAGTACCCCAAGTTTTCCATTTGTGAACCCCGAGGACCAATGCATCACACTGGGTGCATCCTGTCTGACGAAGGGTTCATTACAGAACCAAATATCATATCCATATATCAACATATGTAAGTCTGCTGCACTCACCCTTAGCGGTGTAATGTCATATATAAGATAGTTATGCGATAAATTGCAAAGGATAATTAAGAAAAAGCGGGGTTTATTTCATGATAAAACGTTGTTCTATCATGACGTCTTTTCTGGAGATTCAAACACGCGCTCGCAACTTGATGACGCCATAATTTGGATAACGTTATTTTTGAGAGGGAAGTGTCTAGTGAGTTGTTCCCCACAGATGTAGCTTGGCAACGTAGAGAAACGCAATGCCCAAACGATCGCTTCAAAAAGTGAGAGAGATATGACAATCGGTATTTGGAGAAAAGGTGCAGATAATTGAAGTGAAAATTGTGAGAATGTGTGGGAAAGACCAAATTTAACCCCCTTGTTCATAAAATGGACTTGTCTGACATTGACGCGGCCAAATTCTATTCAGGGAGTCATCATTATTTAAATACGGTCAAATATTTATTAAAGCGTGTACTTTTTACTAACATCCTTAAAGAGGCTGTATGTAATGTTGATATCTCATTTAAGAAATAAACAACTCTTGATCATTGTTTACTGTACAGTAAAACACTGCAGGGAAAATAAATCATGAGGGGTGCAGCACTCCCTGCACTCGCAAACTGCCCAATCTCAATGAAGGATGTGTTGGTTTTGGGACCAACCGATTGTCAGCTATCGAAAATGATTCAGTTTCATTTCTTTACCTCGATTCTGGTATTTTGATCCTAACAATAGAAAACTCTAGAAAATGTACAAATATTCTCGCAAAATTACTACTTTTGGGTGTGGATGCCATGGTGCCAGAAATTCCAATTGATGACATATATAGTGCAGCCTTATTTTATTTATTTATTTCCATTCCTAACAACCAGTTTTTGGTTGTTGAAATACAGATATCCGACATTCTGCTCTAAAATTATTCACTCGCTCATACTTAGAATTTAGAAGCCTTGAGTCTATTCACCTAACTTAACCTACCTATATCTTCACTCAGATAGGTATCTTATTGATGTTTAAGATGGGGTTTTAATGAAATTGAGGTTCCTGAAAATCAATGTATTGTGTTGGCCATTGCTTCACAAAATGGTGATGTATGACTGTGTCTTGAGACACCTATTTTTATAATCAACAGATTATTTGAGCATATTGTGTATTATAGGGCACGATGGTCGTGCAGGCATGGCAGCCCTGACGCTGTATGACGATAGACCTTTGACCCCTGAGCTCCTGCGAACCATTTGGAAACACAGCGAGGAACATCTAGCTACATATGCCCGTCCAATGTTTCTGCGACTTCAAAAAGAGGCTACGCTGACAGCTACATTCAAACAGCGGAAGGTTGAGCTGGTCGAGGAAGGATTCGACATCAACAAAATCCTGGATCCTCTGTATTATGCTGACCAAGTCACCAAGTCCTACATTCCCATAAAACAGGATACGTACTCCAGAATCTTGACCACGTCCAAGTTGTAGGGGTGGCAGGTGAACCCTATCCAAGTTGTAGGGGTGTACAGATGTACCTTAAACCACTGGTGCCTTGTAACTGATGTAGGGAACCTTATATTCCTAATTTTACTACATAGAGTCAATACTAGGTATTAAGTCTAAGGAATATTAACATTAGCTGATTTTATCTGATATTCCCTTTTCACACGAACAATGAGCTTTGTTACTGCATTATATCTGGAGTTTACAGTTTATTTCATCCTACATGAAACAAAGATAACTGTCCATTTAATAATTATTATTAATAATTTTACATTTACAGCACCATCTTGATAGTAATGAGGGATGTGGTCAAGCACACAACATATTTTTACCCAAGTTAGTGTATCATCTTACATTCATGTTTTCCATTCTCAGCTCCATGGGGAGTATACAAGAATCCAGTCACATCAACAAGAAGAACTGAATTTGAAATTTCCTAGTGATGGAATTAATCATACCGTACCTAAATGGAGCTTACAGATATTAGTCAGTATCTTTCTTCAGAAACAGCTAAAATATATGTCCTGGTTTTTAACATATATTAATGAGACTTGTGCCTGAAATGAACAATTGCTCAAAAGCGGTTGCTGATTTTTGTGTTACCTGTTTTCAGATGAACTAATGATTCCTCTACATGCTACTGGTTTATGTATCATGGCATGAAAGACGTGACTATGTACAGGATATTTGCCTTTTTCTTGTCAAATGTGACCCGACGAAATTGCTGTATTCATGTGTGGTGCAGCCATGAGAGAAATTGTCATCTTTTCTAGGTCACGAGATAAACATGTTTGATGAAAAAGATAAATGTTCTATTTCTTACCGGGTAAGTATTTTCTTACTGATCTTACTTACGTTGTTATGAAATAGACTGAAAGTAGTTCCTGCGTAGTGTTATTTCACTCGAGTGAGATGTAGAAAATCTCTCCCTTGTGTCTTTTGATATCAAATATATCAGCCCTCGTCGATGAAAGTTTAAAACTATGAAGCTTGGCGAAAGATAGCAGGCAACCTCATTGAGGCTTGCCAAGGACTTTTAAACTTTCAGTGTTGATGTATATTTGATATAAAAAGATCTGAGGGTGAGCTTCAGTTTACCATAAAGAATCATTCTTCCCTCTGTCTATGTGTAAACAGTAATAACCAGTGTCTTGGGTTTAATAAGTACAGCTAACAAGTTTCAGTGTAAGAGAGATTAGTGATGTCATTTGATTATGACATCATGGTAATTGATGATGTCACAATGGCCTTCAAAACATTGTGATGCAATTTCCTTGTTGCAATTCAGTATTTCATCACTGAAAACATTAGTCCATGTTTAATTGGCTGCAGGAAGTTAAGAATTGTACAGAGCCTATATTGATGTTCCATTCACAACATTATGTATACTAAACAGATAAAAGCAAAATGGCAGCAGGTATCGGAAAATATTTCCTAAACCCGTTTCTTCAATTGTCTACAGTCTGTGGCACGAGTCAAATATCAGCGATGCATGTGCTTAATGACCCTGTTAAAATTGTCCAGTTTTCATTGGTTGATGTCTGTTATATGTGTTGAAGACTATATTCTAACCATCTTGAGTAACGCACAATAATGAGGACAAGGCTCTCTGTGATAATTTTAGCAATAGATCATTTACTCTGATAGGATACTTTTCCGCGTGATCTAAGGACACCTGTAAATAATCAAGTTTGAACCAGACAATCCAGTCATCAATTTTAATTCACGCCATCCATGAACATTGACATGCCATCAACCAAGTCACTGAGTCTGACAACCTGATCAATTAAGACACCAACATTAGTTTCTGGGAACCAATTATAACCAGGAATCGATAACTTTCTTAAAAGCCATATTAGCTTCAAGGCTTGTAGATTTTCATAACAAATTAGCAAAGTCAATCCAGCATATCTTGAAAACGAACTAAAATGACAACTTCTAAATGTAGATAAGAAAAGCAGCATTATTATAGCGTTGAGGATATTTTATACACCCTGTTGGTTCTGAAAGTCATGGCATCTACACCCAAACAAGATTATCATCAAAGGAATATTTGTGTTTTGTGTGAGTTTTCATGTGTGTAAATTTGATCATATTACTCCAGACAAATTCATTTCAATTATTATTTTACCAGATTCTGCTAAACAGGCGGGGTTCAGTTATCATAGAATCATATGATGTCATCCATTGTATCATGGCGTCACTGGACCTGTGAAGATCTAGGTTAGAATTAGTTTTCAACCACCCATATTTGTTGTAAGAGACAACTAATGGTATCAGGTACGCAGGCTCCCTGACTTGGTTGATGCATGTCATTGTATCCAATTGCGTAGATTGATGCTCATGATGTCAGTCACTTAATTGTGTGGTCCAGGCATGATTATTTGCAGACCTCTGTCATATAGCTGGAATATTGCTGAGTGTGGTGGTAAATAACAAACAAAGTCAATGTCATCACATTCCAGTGTGATGTGTGAGTCAGGTCCAGACAATCCAGTGATTGACATCATGAGCATCGATCTACACAATTGGGATACGATGATAGCATCGACAAAGTCAGCAAGACTAACCAACCAATCCCGTTGGTCACCTCTTACGATAAGCATGGGTTACTGAAGACCTATTCTAACCCACATCTTAAAGGTATGATGTGTGAGTGTTCATGTAGAGAGAAAGTTCTCTAGAAACTTACTGATAACTGTTGTAATTTACAATGTCAATGAACTTATGTGTTTTTCAAACTTATGCTGATTCCAAATCAAACTTCTATGCATTGAATATAAAATAACAACCTCAAATCTGAAAACACATACTATTTGTCTCCTAATTTTAGATGACAATGTTATAATGTGCTCTTGTACTATCGGATTTTACGTCAAAGTGTGCATTAATAATATAATTCAGCTTTTTTGGTTGACACATTAATTGTTTGTTGTAATTGGAAAAAGTATGGTTGTAGTGTTCAAAACTATACATGAAAGCCTAGGGGTCCTTAGTTAGCACAAACTTTGGGGAGCCCCCAGATTCAAATACCATAGAAACAAACCTCTATGACCCCAGGACCCTTGTATTTTCGAAGTCTTGTTTCCATGGTCTGGTGGGTAATCCCTACCTCAAAATTTATAAAAATTATAACGCCTGGGTAGAAGTATTAAAAACCATCAATATTTTGGGTTGGGTTTGAAGCAATTTTACCCGAGTCATCTGATTATGTGTATTGGCAAATGTAAAGATGAGACACTGAACTTGTATTTGCCATCCGTAGTATGGTTGAAATGAAATTCACTGGTTCGTCATAGTGGCTTCCACATTCTGGCCAGGCAACATCTTCTGGTTCCTTGGTTTGTTGATTTTATAGGAGTGAGTGAGTTTGGTTTAACGTCACTTTTAACAGTATTCCAGTTATATCGCGGCGTGTCAGCTTAATGTGGGAGGAAAGCCTGAAGTGATTCAGGTCTCAGACGTATCACTTCGGTGAAACCCATTGGTATGGTGCTGACAAACCTAGAAACATAATCGGGGCGAACAGGGTTTCAAACCCACATTCATAGGTTTCTAGCGTGCCCAAGGGACGCAACTCTGCACAGCGAATCACAGCGCCTTAGACGACTGGGCCACCCGTGTCCCCAATTTTATAGGAGGATAGATTTTGTACTACTCTATGTTCGCACCATAGGTGACTTTGGACCATGAATACATTTTGTCAAATATCCAAATGAGTTTTCTTGCTGATGTATCACGTGCATAGGTTCAATGAGATAATTGAAAAAACTGTTTCATTTGCTATGTTATTTCATTTATAGGTGGGGCTTAAACATTAAGATGAAATGACTTTTGTTATGATTGTGTGTCAGGTGTTCATGCCAGACATGTTGACTAAGAAATATTCATGTTTTTGTCTGTTTAGTGACTGTTTTTTATATTCAGATTTTTATATGTTCCAACCCCATCGTGTCAGGTTATGGTTCAAGAAGATGTTGTTTCATGTACTTATGTTGATGTCTTTTTGCATCTGAAGTCATTTATCGTTGGTTAATCATCACTGTGGTAGTGTTGTCATATGTTTTGAACTATTGAGTAGCAAAAGTCAACATGCCATATTGTCTAGTGCACAGTAGTTGGGTATACAGTAAACTACGGTTATTACGAACTCAAAGTGACAGATAATTTTACTTCATTATAACCATACAGTAAACTATGGTTATAACGAACACGCTTATAACGAACTGGTGGATATAGCGAACGTGTTTTTAGGTCCCTGCCATTTGCTGTAGCTCTGCTGTATATATGCTTATAACGAATTACGGTTATAACGAACTAGAATTTGTGGTCCCTTTGAGTTCGCTGTGACCGTAGTTTACTGTAGTTTGTTATAAGCATATATACAGCAAATGCATATGGACCAAAAATAAGGTTGTTATATCCGCCAGTTCATTATAAACAGAGTTCCTGAAGTTTTTGTTACTGTCCTCTGTCCAACCGCTATAATGTTTTAGCTGCACTGATTTTAGCCTGTGGCAACTTGTTGGAACTAATACATGTGTTTCATTCACCTTGAACCTGGGAATGATAATACTGATTTCTGGATATACATGCCAACCTGAGCCAATGCCAATAACTTCAAGATTGAGGTGTAATATTTTGTACGAAAACTTACTCTCAATAGTTATTTTGATAATTTTTGTTTTGAGATCAATTAAAATACCTTACAAGTCATTTAATGTGCTTCCATTCTATAAAGCAGGTTTAAATAAGAAATTTTGCAAAGAAATGGCAATGGGTCATTTTCATGATTTTGTCAATTTTCTTGATAGGACATTTTTCTAAGTTTGGATAACTATTAGTCATGTCCGAGAATATGAACCAATCAGAAACCCTGGAAAGAAACCCCACATTTGACTTATACAGTTTATGTCTCAGACCGTACTTATATTGATAACAGTTGAAATATGTTACCTGTAGAAACTGTTTTGCAGTTTGTCCTCTGTGTAACTATGAAACATATAATTTTCTTAGCAGCTCCAGCTAGATTTACTCTTGATGTTACCAAATACCAAACTTACTTACCTGTCTTCCATTGCTCATATTAGGGAAATAGACAGTAGCTTGTGTAATACCTTGAATATACACTATTTCCTAAGTTTGATCATTTTCAGATGATTGTTTGCTGTTTGTATAACTGATAATAGATTGATTACGGCATTTGATGCCAGACTTGATTATTACGATCCAGTGAAATCAGTGTGTGATGTGTGATGACTGATTTGAGAGCTGTGATACATGTATAAAATGGGAAGTAATCCTACCAGATTCAAATAAAGTCTGTTTTTGAAGAAGATTGTTTTTGCTGAAACATGAATATGGAGAAAAGTAGTCAAGATTCTTGAATAAGTGGTCTAGTCAAAGACGGGGATAAACCACAAGTTTCACTTTCAGAGCACACGTTTGTTATGTGCCACCAAACTTTCCACTGTCTCAGCCCACATTTGCCTCAATCTCATTAAAATTAGATCTTAGTTCTCGCTATCGCTAAACAAAGATCTGAGGACACCCCATTACAGGTCACGTCAGGATGACCTTTCATCCGACCAATCAAGGCGTCACTTACCAGATCTTGAAAGTGACAGTCGGAATGTGTTTTCTAATCATGCAACCTCGAAAACGTTAACACGGGGTATTCCGAATGACAGTTACGGCCCGTACGACTGATTCCATCAAAATTATCGTCTATCTCTCGCTTCCGTGGGATAGACATTTGAATAGAGGAGGCGTTGCACAGTACGTAGGAAGCACTGCCATGCAATCTCAACTATATATTAGACATTCTAGAATGTTCGTTGGTTCAGTTTTCAAAATATTAATCGAGAACTGTGTCAACATATTTTTCAAGCGTTGTCCCCATGTTTAAACGAGTGCCGTAAAGGTCGAGAAAGCTGCTTTCTAATTGGCTGATGTCGACTTCTTGTTAGTCATTTCAGTGGTCGGTCAAAGTTCGCGAAAGGTCATTCTGACATGTCCCGTAAGAGGATGTCCTCAGATCTTTGTTTAGAGGCAGCGAGAACTTAGATATGATTTTAATGAGATTGACATTTGCCTTGGGTATGAATGACAACACAAGGCATAAGTAAATGTTAGAAATTATTTATTTCTCTGAAACAGTTTATATTTTTAAAGCATAAATGAACAAAGAAAAGAGATAAAATTAAACTTTAGATGAAACTGTTTCTTAAATTTAAAGCACCAATGAACAGAATAATTAAACAATTATTTACACAGTTGGGTTCAACAATTATGGAGTTGATACAAAATCTAAACAGGCTACCTTTATGATGTTTTAATTTATGATTTATTTGACACAGTGAATGTGTACCAGTTTTCAGCTTATTTACACATTGTATACAAACTACTGGTCTAACTAAACAGTGGCCTCCACCTCCCCTTCTAGCCACGCCTACACCACCTGCACTAGCCCTGACTTTAATATACTATGAACGGATACCTTTACTGATGTTTTAATAATCACAAGGAAAATACATTAAGCAGGCAATTCATTTTAATGTTAACTGATCTTCAGATTATTTACATACTACATACAAACTACTAGCCTAGCCAAACAGTGGCCTCCACCTCCCCTTCTAGCCATGCCTACACCTCCTGACTTTAACATTATATCTTATAAGTGGTTGATAGAAAATATATCAGATGTCAAACAGAATTTAGTCTATGATTTTGAGCCCAAATAAATATTGCCATAGTTTTATCTGCACAGATTATGTTTTAATACAAAGTTTGAACTAATGTCCAGTCAGTTCTGGATAATACATGCGCTTTGTTTTTTAACACTGACTTATTACTACCTGTCTTACTTTTTCATGTACAAAGCTTACCAGATATTCTTTAAGGCAACATTGATTGTATTATTCATACCATTTGGTATTATTTGATTACTGTATCATTAACCAGGTAATGTTAGCTTGAGCAAGGGTTATGAATGCGAGTTGCCAGTACCTCTGAAAGGGGCAGGAGTAGGGGATATAAGTACTGACAGAACTAAGGACGACAACCACTAGCCAGGCGTGGACCACTGGCTGGAACATCAATAGGAGATACAACTACTGGCGGCGACAGGAATAGGAGCTACAACTACTGGCAGGGACAAGAATAGGAGCTACAAAAACTGACAGGGTCAGGAACAGGAGCTACAACAACTGGCAGGGACATCAATAGGAGCTACACCTACTGACAGGGACAGGAATAGAAGCTACAACCACTGACATGTACAGGAATAGAGCTACAGCTACTGGTAGGGACAGGAATAAGAGCTACAACTACTGACAGGGACTGGAATAGGAGCTAAAACTACTGACAGGGACAGGAATATGAGCTACAACTACTGACAGTAATAGAAGCTACAACTACTGACAGGGACAGTAATAGGAGTTACAACCACTGACAGGGAGATGATTAGGAGCTACAACCACTGACATGGACAGGAATAGGAGTTATAACTACTGGCAGGAACAGGAATAGAAGCTACAACCACTGACATGGACAGGAATAGGAGCTACAACTACTGGCAGGGACAGGAATAGGAGCTACAACAACTGACAGGGACAGGAATAGGAGCAAAAACTACTGACAGGGACAGGAATAGGAGCTACAACCACTGACAGGGACAGGAATAGGAGCTACAACTACTGACAGGGACAGGAACAGGAACTAAAACTACTGACAGGGAGAGGATTAGGAGCTACAACCACTGACAGGGACAGGAATAGGAGCTACAACAACTTACAGGGACAGGAACAGGAGCTAAAACTACTGACAGGGACAGGAATAGGAGCTACAACCACTGACAGGGACAGGAATAGGAGCTACAACCATACAGAGGGACAGGAGTAGGAGCTAAAACTACTGACAGGGACATCAATAGGAGCTACACCTACTGACAGGGACAGGAATAGAAGCTACAACCACTGACATGTACAGGAATAGAGCTACAGCTACTGGTAGGGACAGGAATAAGAGCT